AAAATTTATGAATGCTAAAGAAGAGTGTATCACCGTCAAAAGTTATCAGCCTATCAATCTTTATGTGGATTTGATCGTGAGCACATATAAAAAAATCTGAGGGATGGTCTTGTCATAACGTGTTCGCTATGGCTCTCGTGCTGGTCATCCGAGGTCGGCTTGACTACTGTAATTTCGAGCACGATTTAATCAATTGAATGCAAATTTGAGCCTTCTGTTGACGATTGAATAAGATTGCCGACTTTGACCTTCCAAGCTCTGAAGAAGGCGAAACCGCCAAAACTCGGCCAATAAAAGCTCATAACAATCTTGTCTCTTTGCTAAAGATGCAAACGATTTTCAATTTTTTAAGCACCCATAACTTTTTAGTGATTTAACTTGAGGTAAATCGAAGCTGATGCAAAAGCATAAAAGCCATCTTATAGAGCTTTGCCCTATCGAATAGAACCCTAATTTCTATTTAGACTAACAAGGGAAGGATACCGGATGGCCGTGGACTTTCGAGACGAGATCTATACTAACATAGGTTCTTCGGTACGCTGAACTCAAATCTGTGCTTGGTTTCTGCTGCGCGGTCCTGTGTGGAAAGTTATGAGGGTATTTTCGCCCCGAGCTCGCTCGGACGGACAATAAGTGCGAGCCTCGCCGCTTGACCTGCCAGCAGCGTGTGGCCTAGTGGATAGTGTGCTAGACTGCGGAGCGGATGCTTTTTTTGGTTCGATTCCTTTTGAGGGCAATCTTTTTGCTGATGTATATAAAGTCTCTATTCGTGCGCAGAACCATTTCAGTCATCAAATCACGTCCTTTTTCTATTAAAAATTGATCAAAAAAGACTTCTTTCTCAAATTTTAAACACTTTATTAGGTCAAACAATCAAAAAAGGGGAAAAAATCTGTGCTATGCGCAAATGTGATGCTCGATAACGAAATGACTGAAACAGAGAAGATGCTGGCAATGAGCGCAGCGTATGAAAAACATTTCATTACAATTTTCCTTCTCACACTGTCCCAACAAATCACGCGCAAAGCAGTATTGCACGGGAGTTTCAAACTGATCAGGATGTGCATCCAAATACCCTGCGGCGTACCAAGGATAGACAAGGAAATTTCGGAACCGTGGTGCACAGAATTGAAAATATATCAGGGAAAGGAGGCGTAAAATGGAATCTCGACTGTGCACAACGAAGTCCAAGTCGTGGGCTATTATGTAGGAAGTGAATCTTTTATACATTGCCTTGAATGGACGGAAAAAATACACGTCCAGCGGTTGGATGGAGGAGGTGGTTCCTGGTGGAATGTTCATGATTTTGACCATCTTGTTATCTGGTACGAGCGACAGCATGGCATTATGGTCTTTGAACGAACTCCAAGGCCTGTAGTAAACCCCCCGTATGTGCTGACGTATAGCTCGGAGTCTGCTGTGACATGTGCTGACTACCATGGAGCGAGGCAGGCAAGGCGGCTATCCTTTATCATTGCCGGCGGATGCAATCAATGCGAAGCGCCAGGGTAGTCCCACTTTTTCGCTATATGTCGCGACATATCGCGACATATAGCGACATATTGCGACATGTCGTGACGGACGAGACGGCGAAATACTTTGTCCATCATGGAGACGCAGAGACATAGCGCAAGACCAGAGCTCGACTACGCCAACCTCGCAATAGGTCGCACATGCACACAGTTCTCTATGACGCACGTCAACCGCAATCAATATCAACAGCTGATAAGCGCCTAACTGTTCGAGCAATGCGCCTCTCCCTATTCTTTAAGTATTTCTGCTGCTGCCGCTTTGGTATTTGAAAAAAGGGTGAGTTTATTTCAACTAAAAAGTATGTTAGACTCATATACTTAGCCATATTTTTCGTACTTATGCAGTTTTCCTTCTTTATTTTTGCTATGCACCTTGTTTGAGCAAAAAGTCCATTCTTTGTGCCAAACTTTCGCAATTTTTGATCTTTTCATCATTCTTGGCAGTTTCGACCACATATCTTTGCTGGTTGCTGTTCGTTAGCCATGCACTTCTCGTATCCTTTCGTTTTTATGAGAAAGGACCGTCTGGCGTTATGGCTAATGGAATAGCCCATTTTTGAACGGATTGAATGCTGATGATAATATTTTGATTTTTTTTTGCACTTTCAATATGTATTCTACTTTAACCATTTTCTATCAAAAAGAAAATTCTAATTTACGTTCCTTTGCAAAATTCAGTTTGCCAGCAAAAAAAGATAGTGTAGCATGGAACTTGTACCCTTAACGTCTAGCACACCGGCCTCTCAACTGGCACTGCGCTAACTACAAGCTATGTTGAGTTGTTGAGCTGTTTCACAATAATTGCAAAAGTAGTAGCTAACCCTTCAACAATACTTACGGATAAAGCATGCATATCGTTTTCCCATACTGATTTGCTGCAACTGCTCCATTTACTACATTCCTCTCCCTAGCAAAGCACGGCGTAGTAGCATACAGCGCGGCGAATGTGCGCGCTGCTAGACCATCAGTGTCTTGGCACGGAGCTGGCACAAATCTGGCACGGCTGACACGCTCAAATTTTATTGAGGGCAACAGACAAATATGGTCCTGCCATAGCGGATATTGGCGCTTCTTAATGGTGCACAAAGATAAGCATAATTCTGCAACAGACATTGATCAACTGCGTTTTCCTATCAATATTGATGAACATGAGATAATGAGTCAAAATATGGGGAAATAGGTGCGCTCACGCGAGGATAGTCAGTTATTGGATTTCCTTTAATTGATTTGCCTGCTTTGGCAATAATAGCATACTGCATTCTTGCCTTGCTAAGCAAATACTCCACGGCATATCTGTACTCATAGCGCAGCGCGTGTGAGCGCTGTTATCGCGATCATCAGCGGTTCGATGACGCGCGGAGGCGCTCGTTTTGCGGCGCCCTGCGGAAAGCTCGCTATAGTCTTGCGAGATACTCTGAGCTATCACGACATAGTCCCTCTATGTTGTGACAACCACGAGGGGTTTACTACGGGCCCAAGAGTCGACCAACAAAAGTATGGACGTTGAGTCCGCCGAAGTCAGGCACGATTGGACCCATTCCAGCAGCAACGGTTTGTTCATTATGTGGGACGTGTGGGCCCGAACCTCCAAATTCCTTGCTTGAAAATGGCCTCTATCCGGAAATTTTCCTTGCGCCTCCTTCAAAAGAAAATTTTGCTTGTAGAGGAGTACGGCGAATCACAGACCTGCATTACTATAAATAATTTTTCTCCCAGATGTCCGTCTATGTACAACATGGGCATGACGGTAAAGGAGTGTGTGGTCGCAGCGACTGATTGAACCACTCTCGTTACCTTCTTCAGCCCCTTTGTTGCAAGAGTCCGGGTAGAATGCAGCTCTTTAAAAAAGCCGCTTTGGTCTACATTACATACCATACGCCAGTTTTCCATCTCTACAAGAAAAATCCTGCAAAAATCGTAACACCATTTTTCGTATGTAATCACCTTTCCGCACTGCACTGACGAATAATTCAGCATCGGATGAAAGACGGTCGTGGTTCAAGAAATTTCTTTTAGACGTGAAAGTTGTTACTCGTCTTGATACTATGCCATTCCTTTTCTTGAACTCTTGGAGCCATCGATGGCTTGCCTTGAAATTTGGAATACCGACTTCATCCATATTCAATTTTAGTGCAATCTGTCGAATATCGCTGTCATGGAGAGCGATGCCCATTTGAAATTTCGACGCAACAGCATTCTTTAATTTTGATGCCAAAGCTCGCAGGCTCGATATGCGATCGGCTCGGATGACCTCTGCATATATATTCAGATTACAAAACTGTTCTGAACTGTAGCTTATTTTCAAGTTAATTTACTTACGCTTTTTCTCAATTTCTCTCAACTTTTTCAGGTGGTATTCGTTCGTTATAAATCGAAACCTGCTTTTCATACTTGATAAGGGCCTGGAGCCTTTTTCTGTCGATCGATAATATTCTATTGCGCTTTTTACCTGCAGAAGTTAGAGTTAGGAAAAAAATTCTTTCAAAGTTATTGTGGCATACCACTTCTTCCGATACATCCACCTCTGCAAATCGAACGGGTTCCTTATTCTCAACGTCTTCCTCATCCGTATCCTCAGCAGACCACGATGAGTCTGTATCAGAATCGTCCATAACCTCACTTTCATCACTTTCCACATCCAGGAATCCATAAGTGGCTTCACGCAAAATCGCAGCCATGTGGTCTATGAACTTCTGCTCCATCCTGGTAGGAGCGCGCGTCTCCTTACATGGACCAAATTCCTCTGCTAGGCGTGAAACAACCAGTTCCGGACAAAACATAATTGAGTTCAGAGGTTAATGAGTCATGAAACTCTCCCTCTCTCATCGATTGATAGGTCATAGCTTATGTGCACGTAGGCATATTGCGCCTACTTGCTCAAAATCACGTTCGTTGCAATCGCGTGCAATCGTACATCAGTGAACCTTATTTGTTAGCTCTCACTGCTTTAACGACGATTTTCTTCTATTCGTCGTGATATATGCATCTACTGGGTTTTTGGAGTGGTTCTATATACGAAAAGAGACTTTATGTACATCAGCAAAAAGATTGCCCTCAAAAGGAATCGAACTAAAAAGAGCATCCGCTCCGCAGTCTAGCACACTATCCACTAGGCCACACGCTGCTGGCAGGTCAAGCGGCGAGGCTCGCACTTATTGTCGGTCCGAGCGAGCTCGGGGCGAAAATACCCTCATAACTTTCCACCCAGGACCGCGCAGCAGAAACCAAGCACAGATTTGAGTTCAGCGTACCGAAGAACCTATGTTAGTATAGATCTCGACTCGAAAGTCCACGGCCATCCGGTATCCTTCCCTTGTAAGAAGTGTCTGATTTACTACAGCGAAAACTCAAGAATGAAAAGAGTTGTGGGACAACCTAACAGAAAGGCTTTTCCTCACTAACAAACAATCCTCATACCATAGCCAGCACTTTCAAGCATAAGCCGAAAAGTTTTTTTTCACTTTGCAGATGATGATGACGGAACCTATAACAATAAAAGGTGTTTATGGGTTTTACTCGACCATAGACAATAGAGCCAGGGACTTATTTCAATGCATGAAAGAAAAGTTTGACCAAGCAGTAAAAAAGTCAAAAAAGGGCAGAAAAAAAGACGGAGGATTGCCTATTAGCGTGTAAGTCGTTATCATTAACTAGTCATTGTAAGCATGTTATGAGGTGGTGTTCACGGCATCGCGCATAAGTGATAATAAGGCTTGAGAAAAACAGTGCAGGCGAAAGCGATGTTCTTGCACTAGTAATCGCTACCGCCTCTTCTTCGGTCTCAAAACTCAAATGATTACCAACAGTCAATGAGAGAGGTATTTTACGATGGTAGAATGAGTCATGCGTACTACGCGATGCCATGCTTCTGAACTCCACAAATTTTCTTTTCAACTTTAAAGCCAGCAATCAACGAAGACCAAGAACAAAAATAAGTTTAGGGGACTCTTGGTCGTAATTATTGTTGGCAGCGTTCTTCTAATAGGTACAATAGTTGTGCTTATCCCATTCTTAAGGAAATGGCACAAAGCTCGACATAAGGTAGGCCGTATCTGGGTACATTTAAGCAATAAAAATTTTGGAATAAAATGCAGAAATGGCTTGAAGAAACTTGGGAAGAACGTGTGCGACAAGCTGCCAAGGAGCTTAACGTTCAAAATAGCAAGGAAACCGGCGAAACGGAAAAAGCAAAGTACGACAAAAAGACAAGAGCAGGACGAAAAGCACTCAAAACGTTGATTGAATCTAAAGAAGGATCGAAAGAATCGCAAGAAAAGGGATCGAAAGACGACCTGTTTCCAATGGCAATAGGACCGAACGAACAGAGACCATCAGCAGAAAAGTTTTCTGCGGAACCAGCAAAAGGTTCAGCAGAAGCAGGCGGCTTTCCTGAGAGAGGCTTTGGTGGATTTGGTGCTCCTGTGGGTAGAGGCTTTTCAAATGAAGCTCAGGGGATGGGTGTGCAGTAGCTAAAAAGAAGATTTTGTCGACACTCTGCTTACATTCGTAATGAAAACCATCTTCCTAACTGTCATTAAGTCACTTTTATGGCACACGTTTATGTAATGAATAAATTGATTGGTTATTGTTGCAAAGTAACACTGAACAAATGCAAGTGCATCATTCTAAGGGAACGGCGATAGGTTGCCTACAACGTTGCCGAAGTTGCCGAGGAGGTTGCTGGGGTTGCCAGCGTTGCCGGGGGTGGAGGACTATATGTCGCCGAATTTGGAAGAGTCCCGCGCGGATTCCTTGCAGGAACGCATGTCCGCGCATGTACAAAGGTGCGTATTTGTCGCAAATGACCGCGAGGACCGCCCTTTTTCGGCGACATATAGCCCTCCACCCCGTTGCCGGGGTCAGAGACGGCTTGGAGAGCGTGCGAAAGATGGAGGCTATTATGAGGTCCTACAACGATCGGCAACGCCGGCAACTTCTGCAACGCCGACAACCTCGGCAACTGTTGCCGGCAACCTATGGTCATTCCCTAGAAAATGACCTTGTAGAATTGCACAGACCGTAGTTCATATTCTGCTGATTTGCCCTCCTTCTTAGTGAAAGCGATTCTTTAGTCTCGTCGGCAAATCTCGTTCAATGATTCATAGTTTGAATATCGACGCAACTGCTTCCTACGAGCGCAGCCATATGATTTGCTGCCATATATGTATGGGTGTTCCTATTCATGGGTATGGATTAGTTACAGGCGAAAGCGATTGGAATAAAACGAGGCGTACGCGAGCACTGCTAGCTCTAACGACAAAAATAACCGCATTCGCGTCCACTTTGCAAGTTTGTACACGCAACGTCTCCCGAAGTGTTTTTCACCAACAAGCATTTGGTTCAAAGTCTTCCATTTTTTATCATTTTCTCAAGTTGGCTCTTTACAGCAATAAGTCGTGTTCCTCAATTCCTAAATAAATCCTAAAAACATTGACGGGGAAAAGCAACGATTTTTTAAACATGCACGCAAAGCTTGATCCAAATGAAGTTTGAACCCTTTAAAAATTTCAAATGTCTTACAATCAACAACATATCGGCTTCGTCCAAAAATATTGCTAATCTTCCGCTTGCTCTTGCTCACATATTATCACACCAAACTGCTAAATGTGCTATCTGTATAATTTGGATTCGCCTTTAGGGTTCTGAGCTTTCGGGTGTGCTCTAAGGTAAGTGCCTCAGTGCTTGAAAAATATCAGTTTAAGGTCAAATAGAAAAAAATCATAGGAAAACCTTGTAGAAGGAGCCGTTCATAATTAAGACCAATGAAGTTGAGGTTTTATTGCATTTTCATGATTTGTGCTATTTTGCAGTTCAGATATGAGTCCCTTATTTTCGCGACTCAAATGATACCAGGTTTTTGAGAGGTGTGGGGTTTGTATTTGCTTCAGCCCAGAAACTGCGTTCTATGTATTCAGAGGCGATTAGGTGTGGTAGTGGTAAATCTCATCAAAATATCCAGAAAAGAGTTATTGAGCAGCACAACAAAACATTGTTTACTTCCAGATATAAATTCCATCCCACTTGAGGATAGCAACCATGAAATGTCTTCAAATTCCTATGTGTCTTTCGGTGTCTTCTTCGCGAGCTTCGCTAGATCAGGAGCCTTCAATATAAGTGATTTAAAGTTTAACAGTTTTTTGAAAATCAAGTAGCTCCTACACTTTCTCCGTAGTAAAAATACCCTGATATAGCCATGAAAACAGCAATCACAAGAAGAATGATGAGGTTTCGTTTGATTGCCCAGTCGAGATATCTGAATCGTATATTGGCGCGAACTTTTCTTCGTCTAAAATGCACTCTTAACAGTTAACAAAACTGTCTGCAAGTAATAAGGACTCGCCAGACTTATAAGTACGTCTGGCGGTTTCACAATTTCGGTTCGCGTAGGGAGGAGAGCAACTAAAAAATTTTTGAAGATGCGCGGCGCTAGCCGCGCACTCCAAAAAAATTTTCGGATGCTTGCCAAAATTCTTTTTTGTTCTCTCATGTCTCAGTTTAGGAAAAAGGGGCGTTGCTACAGCCACTCCACGATTAATTTGGGGAGGGGAGGGGCACATTGATCGCATATGTTATGTTCACCTGCGATAACGCCTTTGGGATTAGGCTCTCTCCAGATTTGCCCTTGTGTCCGTCCCGTGCTCGGCAGGGGAGGGCACACGACGCCGCGACGCCGCCTGCGGTGCCTACGTCAGCACACATTCTCGAGAAAGCAAGCACAGTCGGAGGTATTTAGATTCGCGGATGCTTCATACTACTTCCGAAACAACAACTTCTTGAACAGGAGATTTTTATTGGAAGAAAGACACAGAAAACACCGAAAGTTGCTTGAATAAGATCCTGCCTATTCTCATGCAGAATTTTGTCGCAACAAAGGATGTATAAATCATTCTAAAAATCGTGACGACGGATTTGACTGCGATCTTTGTGCACACAGGAGCATAAAACACTCATACATACAGGCATCTCACTTCAACGCCCAGCTTAGTCGCTTCCAATGTCTGAATACTATCATATGTAATCAGAAAAAATGTTCGATTGGAGATAAAAACCAAGAAAATGCGGTTGCTACAAGTGCGTGTGTATCGCGCGCGGTCGCGCCATCGCCATGATTTTTCGAATGCCCTATACAACATCAAAAAATTCTAGTTTAATACCTTTGCATTGAGTGTGTTTGAAATGTTTTCACCTTCACGCAATGATCGACGGCGTTGCGGCGCTGTGTGCCCATGCTGTCAGCATACGAGCTGTGAACGGAGTCTTATGGAAGATGTGTTTGCAATTTCCTACCGTAATCCTATAAGGATAAGATAATTTGCGATCAGTATGCCATACCCCTATGCAAACTTTGAGAAAATTCTGGAGTGTTAGTAATTTGATAAAAACCTTTATCTAAACTCAATTTTCATTTTTCGAGGTAACAGCAGCTTCACATCACCTCAGTAAACAACGAGATGACTAGTCGAAACCGCTGGTTAGACCATTTTTACATTTTGAAATTGGCAAAGCGATGTTGTTGAAGAGTATTGAACCTCCAAGCATTCTCATGCATGTCCGGCTTCCGCATTCTAGCGAATTTGCAGTCAGTCCAGTCTGCAGCCTGCATTTCCCCATAAAAAAAGTAATCATGCAAAACTCCTTATAGTAACTTTCAGAATGATCTTCCTCACTTCCCTTGACGCGTGGAACCAATATTAGTATCTTCAAATAGAAAATGTCTGGAGTACTTTTTTTATTCTAAACAATGATGTGGTGGTTTCACGTCTGCGTCTCATGAAAAGAAGTGCTGTTATTACCCTATCTGACACAAAACAATGATGTTAACTTGCTGGATACGTCGCAGTTTAGATAGAATGAAACAATCATGAAACAACTGCTGTAGCTTGCTGCTTACTTGCTTACTTGCTTGTTACATTTCATACGATCACTTGAACCGAGAGGCCGTCAAAAAAGATCATGATTACCAAAATGTAACCATGATACCATCACATCATATGATGGATTCGACCAAAATTACCTACCACTACTGAGGCACTACTGAGTGTTTGCATATCCTTGAATCATGGCATCTGCCAAATCGTTTTGAGGGCAGCGCCCAGACAAAATCTAACCCCTCAAACCCTCCTCTAATCTAACTCTAATCGAAGATTACCTCCCCTGAATATAGCCTCATGAAAGCGGTATCTGCGTTGGTTCGGTCCTCCAATGCTTCCTTAAACAAGAAAAAAGCTAGCGAATGCTAGAAGCAGCAAACTACTTCAGTACTTGTCCTTATCTTTTCATTTTGATAATAACTTGCAGAGAGTTTGATGCTTTTAATTTTCACGAGTAAAGCGTAGAAGCATCTATAGTGCACATTTCCAGGTTTTGCGCCTCATGGTGAATATTTTGTCAATCTTCATTTCTACACGTAAGGCTTTGGCCATAATTTACCCGTGTTACCCGTGTTATTGTTGTTACCAGTGTTACTCGTGTTACTCGTGTTACCCGTTAACAGTGTTACCCCTGTTACCTTGTTACCTGTGTTACCAGTGTTACTCGTGTTACCACTGTTACTCGTGTTACTCGTGTTACTACTGTTACTGCTTTTATTGCTATTGAGTAGTGAAATGAACACATAAACAGTTTCATTGTAAAACGCAATCTCAATGACTGGTGAGTAACACGAGTAAAGCGAGTAACTCTGGTAACACCGGTAACAAGTAAAGTATGGCCAAAGCCTAACGATGTTTACGGCCCTGGAGTCCACGAAAGCCGTATAAAATGAAGAAAGAAACAAAACGCTTGGGATGCATGTATTTGCGAAGGGTGTCGTAGCACATAATTTGGCATCTGATTTATAGGTTTTGCAAGTACCTATGCAAGTGCAAAATAGAGCAACACCCGAAGAATAAAGGGAATACTGGTCAGAGGCGAGTCAAGATGATTATTGGGGCTGTAAGGTAGCATGCAACTGCATTCGAAAACAAGCTTGTGCGTGTAATGGTCATTCGACCGTTCGTGAATTAAAGGCAGTGTCTCACCAAAGTTGAGGTCGCGCGGATCTTCACATTCTATAATAGTGAGCTCTAAATAGGCCGTTGCAACAGGTCCCACTCAGTTTGACCCCCTCCACGCTGAGAAAAATTCGCTCAAAGTGGTACGCGGAAAGCGAGTTGGTACGCGCGGACGACTCCTTCGGTCTCCCCCTTTACGCGTTTAAACATGTCCCTCCACTTGGCATCCACCTCCCCTCTGTTGCTGCCACTGTGGCTGAGGCTGAAATTGGAAGATACAACTCGTTCACGTTGCCTCCACGGGGCCTCCAGAAAACGGGGTTTTTGGGAACTTCGTGCGATTTTAAGCCCATACAGTGCTAGACAGGGTCCGACAGGCTTGCAAAATGCAAAAATCTCGGCAACTAAATTTTGGTGAGACACTGCCTTTAAGTAACGGCTAAGTGATCATAGAGAAAAATGAACCTTTGTTATGCAGCTCTCGCATGCGGGGGGCACGCGAAAGACGACAATGCGCACAAAATGCAAGCAGTGGAGAAACGCTCTTGCTACGTTTTACAAAATTTTACTAATGGCATCGAGTCGTGTACCTGCCCCCACCTCCACCCCTCTACCTTGGCGCCGTGTCACTTTAGCACCGAAGAGATTTGAAAGGCACAAGATTTGGGGATTGTCGCCTTCCGCACCACACCCCTCGTATTCTTCAAAACCTTGTAAATCGTTCCTCACTGTGTTTTAGTTAGGTCCTAGGTATGCTTCAAATAATTTCACTTTCTACACGACTTGGCACTATTCCAGTTATCTGTAACTCATTGTGAGCCCATTCTGAATGTAAAAAATATAAATGCAAATGCATAATGGTGCACGACTCTTGCGGACCAGTCCGCAAGAGTTGCAACATTATGCACTTGTGGTTGGTAAGTGTTGCATAGAACACATTGAACACAACTGCTAAATCGCGCCACTGTAATCGTGTGAAGTATGCCCGGGGCCTTACTGCAAAACTACGCATGACGGTTGAGGCGCGTGTTGTAACTCAGACAGTCGAAGGGATACCTCCGGCGGGCATATGGCGCGAGTCTGCCACTTCGCGCTCCGGAGCCCTGCCATTTCACGCATTTTTGTGCTCCGGGGCTCTCCCAAAAGTGGCGCACCTCCGGAGCAAAGATTTGCGCGTCGCGGAGAGGGGTACCATTCATTCACCGTGACGTCACGGTGACGTCACAAACAGGACGAATGGGACCCCTCTCCGCGACGCGAAATCTCTGCTCCGGAGGTGCGCCACTTTTGGGAGAGCCCCGGAGCACAAAAATGCGTGAAATGGCAGGGCTCCGGAGGCGAAGTGGCAATCCTTCGCTGGGGAAAGCCCGCGACCCTGCCACTTCTGCTCCGGAGGTATCCCATCGACTGTCTGAGAAGGCGTGGTATTCGACAATGCATCTGAAATTTCTGAATGGCAAAAACTGACATCTTTGCTTCTTCGCTCAGATATGGCCTCTTCGGATGACTGGCGGTCTCAAAAGGCTGAAAATGATGTTTTCAATCAAGCTGGCATTACTAACAATAGGCTCACTGTATGTGTAAGCTCTTGTGTTGGTTGCGCCAAAGTTGTACTTCTGAAATCGAAAAGATTGATAAAGCTCTGAATTTGCCACTGAATTGGCACTTCAGTCAAAATTTGACCGAGACTATTGAGACTGCTCTTATGTTAGAGTAAAGATACTCTTTTTGCACTTTTCCTACTACAAAATAACTCTGGCCCAATTACAGGTTGTGAAGTAGTCTTTAGGCATAGCATTTTGACGATGTTTCCGTTATCCTGTTCATAGAGATGTTCACCTTTAATAAGGAGGAAAACGAGTCCAAAGCGACGGGTTTCCTGATAAAAACTAAAGTTTTTGAGCTTGGGTTTTGTTGTAACCTCAGAACTCAATTTTTCGAAGGAAGCTAGGTCTACCTTGCAGTTCGTAGGGTGGGCATACATAACAGACATACGGAATTCATTGAAACTCAAAATCAACCCAAAATTCCACAGTCTATCCCAAATGGAATCCACCCGACACCTTAGCGTAAGTTTGCGCGCTCGCAGCGTGAGGGATTTGCGCTGCATATGCGCATTTTCAGAATTAACTGAATTAGCTTCCAAAGAAAGGTCAGTGGAAGGTTTTTTACCTAGCCGTAAATCTCCCAAGATACAAATAAATTCATATTCAAGTGGTATTCGAAAATCTATTCCTCTTTCCTAGAGCTTGGTATTATAAGTCACTCCTTTGAAGACCGCAGAAAAATCTCCGAGTTTTCCAGCCCATCGCTGCATCTCTTCCAAATTTGAAATTTACATTTGTATTCAAATCGCTCAAGAACGACAGATAAAGCCATGACTTTGCAATGCTTTTTCGCATCCAGCTGTTTTCAAAAATGATTGCTGACAAGTTGCAAGCTTCAGAGGAATAGCGAAATGCATATTTGTACTGAACACCTAGGAAACATCAAATTCGAAGTTCGGTTCTTACATCCATCTTGCAAAGAACAGGAGCGGTCCCCACGTTGACCTATGTAGAGATATATACATTAAAATTTTGGACTAGGGTAGCTGTGACCAATTTTAAAATCTCTAGTAACTCAGACAGTCGACGGCATACCTCCGGAGCAGAAATGGCCGAGCCGCGGGGTTTCCCCAGCTGGGGATTGCCACTCGTGTTCCGGAGCCCTCCCATTTTGTGCTCCGGAGACCTCCCACTTGCGCTCCGGAGACCTCCCATTTGTGCTCCGGAGCCCTGCCATTTTCTGCTCCGGAGGTGTCCCAAATCTGGCGCACTCGCGGCGGGCAAGTCTCTCCGCCGCGGCTCTCCCAAATCTGGCGTACCTCCGGAGCAGAGATTTGCGCGTCCCGGAGAAGAGTCCTATTCGCCTCAGAGGTGCGATAGGGGGAGCCAAGTCTCCCCCTACCTTCACTTTTGAGCTGGTACGGGGTGACCACCTTCACTTTTGGAATAAAAAATTTTTCGCTGGACGACAAAGAAGGAAAATAAGCAAAACAAACGCAAAAAAGATTATTGAAAGCATATATTTATGTATACGGCGGCATATATATTTAAAATAAAGGTTTTTAGTAAATGGTGTATTTGGAAGTAAAGCTTAGCAAAACTGTACGGATTTTATTGAGCAAATTATGTTATAACGTATAGCGAAGGAAGTAGGTCGATCCAGGCAGTAACGGCGGAGAACCAGAATTTTGAATATTTAAATAGTGAAAAATCATGCAAAATTTCCACTGTTATAAATCTGTTGTTTGAAGATGTCAGCAGTTGCGACTTCATAGGTTTTAAAGAGTAAATGTTGCTCTATCAGCTAGTGAAGGAATCGGGTCGATTTAAGAGATAGTCGTTGAAAACCAGAGTTCTAAAACTTTACGCCATTTTTGCGTGTTTTTTGACTGTTGAGAGTTAAACTCTTATAAATCTTGAATGTGGAAGTGTATGATGTTGCGACTTCATAGGTTTTATAGAGTAAGGTTTGCCTTATCAGAATATGTCTTGTCCGTTCCGATCCATTGAAACACCTCCGAGATCCAGAGTCATGAAAAAGCAGGTAAAAAAGAGCTTTTTGAACTTCAACAGCTCATAACTTCTTCAGAACTGCATGAATCATGTTGCGACTTCATAGGTTAGATTCCTCTCATCAAGGGCTTTCAGACGATATATAATATGTGGGGGTTTAGAGCCTCCTGCGAATTATGACCGGGGGGGAGACTTTTTAGGCCAAAGTCTCCCCCTCGCCCATTTTAATGTATTGGCTGGAGGCTGCCGGGGGAGACTTTGGCCTAAAAAGTCTCCCCCCCCCCCGGGCATATGCCGTAAGAGGCGCGAAACCCCCACATATTATATATCATCTGAAAGCTCTTGACGAGAAGAATCTAACCTATGAAGTCGCAACATGATTCGTGAAATCCTGAAGAAGTTATGAGCTGTTGAAGTTCAAAAAGCTCTTTTTTACCTGCTTTTTCATGACTCTGGATCTCGGAGGTGTTTCAATGGATCGGAACGGACAAGACATACTCTGATAAAGCAAACCTTACTCTATAAAACCTATGAAGTCGCAACATCATACACTTCCACATTCAAGATTTATAAGAGTTTAACTCTCAACAGTCAAAAAACACGCAAAAATGGCGTAAAGTTTTAGAACTCTGGTTTTCAAAGACTATCTCTTAAATCGACCAGATTCCTTCACTAGCTGATAGAGCAACATTTACTCTTTAAAACCTATGAAGTCGCAACTGCTGACATCTTCAAACAACAGATTTATAACAGTGGAAATTTTGCATGATTTTTCACTATTTATTTATTCGAAATTCTGATTCTCGGCCGTTACTGCCTGGATCGATCTACTTTCTTCGCTGTACGTTATAACAAAATTTGCTTAATAAAATCCGTACAGTCCAACAAACTTCTACTTCCAAATACACCATTTACTAAACACGTCTATTTTAAATTTTTATAAATAAAATTTATAGATATTTTTAATATTCATCGTATCTGTGGCCCTAAAGAGGGCCGTTGGGTCGACGTTAGACCTAGAAAGATAGCTCCGTTCGTCCGTTCTATCCTCCCCCCGCACCTCCCCCCCCCCCCTCCCGTCGACGTTTTTGGGAGGTGAGTGTCCGACACTACCACCTTCACTTTTGGCCGGCCAGTGGTAGCTGAAACCACCTTCACTTTTGGGGGACCCGGCTCCCCCTATCGCACCTCTGATTCGCCTGCTTGTAACATCACCGTGACCTACAAGAAGGGACCGCCCTCTCGCCCCGCTCTCATTGGTCATTTGGGTCCTCCGCAGCTCTGCCAGATTTCGACTGTCCGCCGCGACTACGGCACCGACTGTCTGAGAAGTGTCTCTTACGTTTTGTGCGTATGTTCCGAATAGAATCACTTCTGAACCAATCTAGACTAAACTTTGCACACATACACTTTGGGGTGGGCAGGTATCATAGAGTACTTTTTATTATCGATCAATATCGATTTTATCGATTTTTTTGCAAACTAATCTTCGGGCTGTGAGTTGGTACAGAGGGGAGTGAACATGCTGATGAAAACAAAAACGTTGTGGAGGAGGGAAATTGGCATATGGAAGTGGGTCATAGGGAAAATTGTACGGAACTAGGGCTTGACGATGTTTATCATCACAGTGTGTTGACAGGACCGGGTAGGAAGGTTTGCACTATCCGCTGCCTGCATAATCTCTTTTGAGATTGAGAACATTATGAATCAGCGTGAACAAAAAACCTTGGGCTCCAGCTATTACCTAGATGACCTCAGAAAAGGATCTTGGAAACAAGGTGTTGAGAAGGGGAAATGATTTAGCGTCGATACTCGGTGCTTGATTTATCTCTGTTTTATACATGATCTGAACGGGCCTAATATTTTGGTAGGCACGTCGGATGAACCTTCCAACCAGAATTTGACGACAACTAACATTACTTACAGTGCAGGAATTGTTAGAAAAGCATCTGAAAAGCAGAGCTTCATTTAGTTGTTAATATAATCGACTAACTCACTGTTTTTGAGATTATCCTCGAAGCATTGATAGTACATGCGCTTATCCTCATTTCTCAGTTTCTTTCCGATTTGCTCCTAGAAAGCAAAAAAACTGCAAACTACAACGCTTGTTCTTAGAGAAAAATGGCCATTTCCAATCGTAGGTATTTACCTCAAAAGAAGAAAACATGCCCGCACAATATGGATTTGACCAACAGTAGCACACAATCCTGTATGTTTCTGGTTTTGATATACTTTCATCCGCATGGTCTATTCTTTCACTGCAGTGTCCTTCCTTTATGTTTGGTGACTGTCAAAAGAATCATGCAGTGCGTTTCAAAATTACATCACACCATCTCTTCAACCACTTTCCCCACTCTTCCTCCATCCTCCCCCACCCCTTCCCGCCACCCTTTTTGCATGCGTTTTAGATCGAGTTTATTATGAGTTTAGTCTCCTTGCAGGAAGAATAAAACCTGAAATGGTTTGGATAGAAATCCGGGTGATATGCAAATAATAGTCAAACTTTACAACGACGACCAAAAATTTCAGCTAACAGTCTCCATACAACCACCACGTTTCATGTCTCAAGATTAGCTTAAACTCAATTGATTTTCTCCCTCGTTTCATTATCTGCTGAGGCATATACATAGGCATGGCATAGGCATGTAGTTTTGGCATAACTTTGATGGTCCCATTTGATGTGACTTTATATTGTAGACAGTTTATAAATACAAAAAAATGTGCAGCTTGAAATTAGAAGTCAATTTTTCAAAATGGTTCTGGTAGGGTAAGAGAATACGTGTTGGACCTCTAACCAATTAGGGCCGTATGCATTAACATCCCCGCTAAAAAGAAAATCGCAGCTCAAGAAAATTTATATCCTGAACTTCCAGATATATGAATTTACATGTCCACACATCTAGCGTATTCCAACTACCCTTCACTAACATATCAAGATATGATCCCCTGGTGATCATATCTTGGCATGATCTCCAGTGACCGACCTCTTTTCTTGCGATCATTTGTATTTTTTATCGAATTGAAAACATCTCGGAATTGTGTAAATTGTCTGAACAATGCTAAGCATGATTTTAATAAGAACAGCTATATGCGAGTAACGAAAATCTATATGAATTTCGAGTCGAAACTTGAGGTTTATCGACATTCTCATATTTTTGATAACTCATTTGTTTATATCTATATATAAATAAAATTCAATCTCTATAAATTTGTTCGTATGTAAGTATGTGGCTGATAGACTCTTTTATTTGTAAGCCATAATGGGCTAAAATTTGTTCCCCTACAAATGAGGCCAGGCGCAGAAGATAGGCTACTTTTCGCAACGATTCACTGAGCCCTTCAATTGCTTTATTGATTTGTTTACTCACATGTAAATAATAAACTTATCAATCATTCCTGGATCATAGCTGAGTAAGCGGGGCGGTAAAGATCATTCACATTTTGCGGCGAGGAGGATCCGGTTCTTCGAGTCAGCGGGATATGTCCCGGAATTCTTCAGACATGGATAAGGAAGGTGAGTCTTGACGCTTTTGAATTCTAATGCCTTATACCGGGCATTAGAGCCCGTTTCCCGGGCAGGACCGGGGATGCCATCTAGTCAGAAATAAGCTTCCGTTGGACTCGATAGTTAGTACACCTTTAGGAGGGCTCCATAGACAAAGAAAGAAGAATGATTTTAAAGAAAAGACGAACGTCCGCTCGGGATCACCAGAGGATGGTCAAAAGAAACCGCCGCTCATACAACTGCGCTACTTTTGATATGTTCATAGTGACTTTTAGTAAGAACACTTACGGACGGATAGAAATAGAGTGTCTGAAGCTTCAGGTTACGAAGCTTTCTTTTAGCTACCCTTTCTGACGAGGATGTTGATGCATTCGACCCTGAACATCACGGTGCGCCCTGAGATAATTGCATAAGAAAGAGTTCGCGCGAACTTCATTGCGGGCCTCGTTCTGCAAAGCACTATCACGAATCTTGGGCAGTACTACAGTAATCAGTTAGTATGTAAATTGAAGACAAAGAATGGAGTTTCCGTGCCAACTTTTCCACTTCCTTTTTTTAACAGTGCGAAGACTACCTTAGACATTCTTGCAAATTCTGAATTCCCTCAGGCAAAAAACATTGGTAGTTCAAAGATGAGTTGAAAGACTTGGCTGGACGCTGTCTCAAAACTACGGCCACTATAGTCGTGACTTATGAGACGTTTGCTCCCGTTGAGATTAAAAATGAGGGAGAGGGCATTAGCGTATGATAATTTTGAGGGAATTCTATTTGAGCATTGCCTTCAAATTCCCACGCTATCAAACTCGCAGTCTCCGCCTACCACAATGAGTGTTATGTATGCCTGTCAGCTTGCTCTTTTCTCACAAATAGAATTTCTATTTTGTGAGATGCCGCGGGGGAGGCACGGGGAGAGGGAGGTTAGGTGCGATGTTCACGAGGTAAATTCTGATAACACTGCGCACAAACTTTCTTCATTCTTCAAACTTACTCTTCTTCCTCCCCAAAGTTCATACGAATATATACTGCAGTTTCCAAGATAGTAATGAACAGTAACAGCACATACACCAGCTGGCTAAAGCCACTTAGCATTGCAACAAACACAAATAGGATATGCACTCCTTACGCGTGGAGTCTGTTTTGTTCTGTAGCACATCAACCCCTCTATTTCATCTTCTGCCTTAAGCAAATTTGTGAATAGTATGGCAGTGATTGATGCGTAATACACTGGAACATCATTATTTGCACTGCAATTTAATTAAGAGTAAGAAAAATTTCAAAAGAGGGCTCATATTTAACCACTGAAAATCCTCTGCTTCGCAGGGCTTGCATTGATCGTTATGGAAGCTGTCAAAAACTTACTGGTAGCGTATCTCTGAAACTTTGATGACCAAAGCGAATGATTATCAAAAAATGAACCTTCCTCGTTAATGAACCTTCCAAAATTTGTAAATTATTTTTCAACGATTTTCGTGACAGACAAACTCTAAAGAATTAAGCGGCTAAAAGCCATGATGGACAAACAAGCTATCAATAGGAGCATCCAGCACACTTCATTTTTCGGTACTCTTTCGCTATGCGCACCTATTTTTTCAAAAGGCTCTGATATTATATGTTCTATAATCTAAGGATTGTTTCCGTAGATTCTGCGAGGACTGTCTCCTTGTCGCGTACCATGAAAAAATTGGTAAGTTTTAGTCCAATTCAAAGTGTTTTCTTTTTGAAATCATTACCGGTAAGAAATAACTGTTTTACATAAGCACGAAACAATCAAGGACTTATTCTGAACATCTTGCTTGCTTTTTCTTCGAACACTTTTTACCATGCGAATTTAGCCGAAAAGACTATGAATGACAGCTTAAGAAACCTTGCTGCTTTTTTTCCTCTTAAATGACGGAATCCTGGCGCACTTCTCTATCCTGAGCAAGTCTAATAGTCAGCTTTAAGCTAATGGACGGAATGTTTCAACATGTTGCTGCATGCCGGCAAAAGTTGTTGCATATCACCAACATGTCAGCTATGCCCCAGGTCAGAGAGGTAGGGCAGATATAGCACCGATCGTGGAACGGACGATACATTGAGAAAAGCAGATTGATTTCCCCGGAATTTCTCACACGCAAAACAGGCCTCCAATCTTCTATCTAATATATAAAGAATCGTAAACGCAATTCAAAATTCATCAGACAGCGGGAAACCAAGCGGGTCTCGAAGCGAGTGCGCCTTCTAGCACCTTTGAGACTACTGGTTCACTAGTGATCTCATAAAGTACGGCAAAACGCATAGTATAAATCTATGGCTTTCCTCAATTTATAGAATTCCAGATATAATCTTGTAATGGCCATAGGCGTGCATGTGGTAAGCACGACTTAGAAATTGAGGCTTTCCCCACCAAACTTTCCAACACCAAGAGCGCACAAGAAGCTGATTAGTCTCAACGCCAGGAAAGAAGGTAAGGTACGTGCCATATTGTTTGTCATATGAGCTCGTAAGGCAAAAATAGACTTATAAGGCAAGGAAGAACTTAGAAAGCAACATTCTCTCCCTGAGGCTCCCACCAGAGTGCCGAAGTTATGCCAGCGCTACGCCAGCATTTCGATCGATACACGTGTATTTCGTTGGGGACGTCAGCTAGCCCCGCCCAACGAAATACACGTGTATCGATCGAAATGCTGGCGTAGCGCTGGCATAACTTCGGCACTCTGGCGGGAGCCTGAATATTGTCTAAATCAAAGCGATGTTGTTTTGTTTATGTTTCGTTGTATGAGTTGTGACTGCATTAATATAGAGTCTGCCTACATACTGTATCAAAAATATTAACATCAAATATCTTCGCCTCCAAATTCGTATGAAGGCCTAGTCGTGGCAGCTCAAAGCGTGGCGGCTTTGGTAGCGGGAAAGTACGAAAAGCTGTGAAGTTTTCGCAAGTTCTCCACGTTATCAGACGAAGTACGCAATCCGCTTCTGTACAAATATGGAAGCCGATCACATGTGATATGTGATGCCCTCCTGGCAATAGTCGCTCCTACCGACATTTCTAGATTGCAGTAAGAGCCAACGAAAATGGGTAAGGGGCAGGCAGGTAGCACTCTTTCCTTTATAAACATATGCCTTACTATTCACAATCACTTCATCACTTTTCCACCGCTTAGAAACAAAACGCAGCACTACGAATTTTCATTAGCTTCACAACAGAGATGAAGAAGATAAGTACGGCATAGTAATGTGCCATGAATAGCAGAGACTACTTGAACTGAACTCGTGGCGTTGCGAACGCGCATCATAGCTGTTCGTACTTGATTCGGAGCATAGGTGCGATGGGGAGAGCCGGGCTCTCTCCAGGTGAAGGGGGTCTCGGTTGTTCCCGACCTTCCAGGGTGAAGGGGGGATGTGAGTCTAAGGGGGGGGGGGGGGGAGGAAGAGAGAAAAGGTAAAAAAGCGTGGTATAAAAAGCTCTAATTTGTACCTTATTTAGGCACAAACTGAAAAAAAAATTTAAAAATTTTAAAAGAAATTAAAATTAAAAAAATTGACTTCATGAAGATCTGTGCTCCTGTTTCATTGCATCAACAAAAAACGAAAGCAATAAAGTTTATCCCAAGAGATGTACAAGTTAGGAACAACTTCAATTCCTGAACATCATAATCAACAATATCACTACCGCTAACGGCAGAGACAACAAGTTCGCCGCCTAAAAAATCTTCTTCTTCCTCCAAAAAGTCATCGGAGTAGAAGTAGAATTGCGTGCAAAAGCGTTCTGAGTCGAAAATGGATTTGAACTTTCTTCTTCTTCTAAGCGCTTTTGTGATTTTTTCCTGGCCCTCTGGTAGCACCAGGAAAGTCAGCAGGTAGGTGACCAGTTTCTTCATACCATCTTTTAGGATATTTCAAAAAGTCATACGGTAGCAGCCTGTCCGAACCACTTATACCAATCCTTTAAATGAAGTTTTTAGATAACAATATGTTCAGTAGAAGGTTGACAAACCTTAAGTAGTTGCTTAGATGCTCCATCGTTGTATGACTTCTGCGTGGTATTTTGATACCAGAGTAGATAGAAGATTTCTTTCTCCACCTCTGCCGTGCTAGTCGGAATGGAAACTAGCTTTGCTAGTAAGTCCATCAGATCTTTACGGTAAGGGGAAAAGAGCCAGATCGCATATGCCTTCGCAACACGGGAAGGAAATATTGCATACTTTTTTGGGCCTTGTCGAACTCTGGCTTCACCTCCTCTGGCATACGTCCTGTTAGCTTATGAGAAAGCTGCTCAAATTCTTCTTTAACAGCATCTGCGGAATAGCCGAAAAAAGTAGATACTATGCTGCACGTCGGTTTTTTTTTTCAATATCATAGGTCATAATGTCACAAGGCGAATAACTTCCAAAAGCATAAAGCACAGAGTTGGGTTCGCACTCCAGTCGGGATCTAGTAGCTATGCTTTGTACTAACACCTTCCTTTTGTTCATATCCATGTTTGTGAATTTAGCAGACTTGAAATCTTCAGCAACCTGAAGATCAGCAATGAACTTCCTGGACATTTCCTCATTGAAACTAGGCAATCTGCTTGGATTCCTTATGTAGGAAATCAGGGAGTTCCGCTCAACTGTCAACTCTGTATCAATGTCGACAACACTTTCGTCGGCGTAAGATTCTCCTTCTGCCTCGCTGTTGAACTGGAACACAAGCGAGTCATCTGCGATTTTGTAAAGTATTCTGCCTGCCGTTTCCTCTTCAAACCGCCAACCTTTCCAAAACATTGAGGGTATTTTGATAACATGTTATTCTTCTGAATGTCTTGAAGTTTTTGATTCATTGAAACCAACCATTCTCTACAAATTAGGTAAGGTGAGTCTAGAGCGTTTTCATGAAAGTGACCTTCTTCAGCACTAGGTTTACAGAGTATAGATTCCAGAAATGGGCGGGTTTTTGTGTGAAGGTGTGGAAATTCACCAATCTCCCATAGCTTCTTGAGTGTGTGCTAATAATGATGGCATAACTGTCAATCTAAAGCGCATTTTTTACCAAAAAAACATAAACATATAACAACGATAAGCACGTTTAAATAGACAAGGTTCGCTCACGTTCCCGTTAGTGCTGATAACGATGTCAATCCACAGCACATTTTTTACTATTAACTTGCTCCACCTCGCTCTTATTAGGTCGTCCCGAAAGTTTTTGCGCACGATTTTTAAAAATTCATAACATTTGATTTTTCCAACCGATTTGACTGCTTTCACTTTTATGTGAAAGGGTAAGTCATGCTCTTTATAATGACATCTCAGCTGTTTAGTAATGGTCATCTTGTGCGTAGATAGGAGCGACAGAAGAAAAATGGTTAAAATTTGAATTTTCTTGCATTCTTGCAACAAAGACATTCTTGCAACAAAGACGGAGACTTGCAACAAAAATCGGAGCAGTCAAAATTGTAGTTTCTTTCACTAGCTCTTTCTAACAGTGCAAAGTTTGCGCCGATTGAGCGTTTCTATGGAAAGTTATGATTTCCCTGAAAAATGACAAAATAAACCGAATTCGCCCTTTTGTATCGCTTGCTCGAAAATCATAATTTTTCATGGAGACCCTCAATTAGCGCAAACTTTGCACTGTTAGAAAGAGCTGGTGAAGGAATCTACAATACTGACTGCTTCGATTTTTCATGACCCTACACAGATAATTCAAATTTTAACCAATTTTCTTCTATAGCTCATATCTATGCAACAGATGACCATTACTAAGCAGATAAGATGTCATTATAAAAAATTTGGCTTACTATTTCATGCGAAAATAGAAGCACTCAAATTGGTTGGAAAAATCAGAAGTTATGAAGTTTTAAAAATCGTGCGCAAAAACTTTCGAGACGACCTATACAATGTGTTGGCTTTTACGGGTCACCGGAGCAAATGATTTTTATAGCCGGGAAGCAAAAAAGCCCTAACATACTTTATATAATTCGAAAGCTGAGATCATGGAGAAGATCATGGAGAATCGACGTAGACCGTCGACTTTTTTCTAGGTCTTCTATGCCGCGAGATATGAGGGATTTTATGTACTCCAAAAACCAACTCGTTTTTTGTCCTCACTTTCTGCTCTCCAAATGAATGCTATGAGGATAAATAAATAATATAAATAAAACAAATACCGTTTCTTTTGCAAATTTGTGAGTGTACTTGTTGTTTGAAGTACTTAGCCTGCAAAACCTTTTAGTAACGATTTTTATCATATTCTCAGAGTACAATACCAATCTTAGCCCAGGTGAAGGGGGTCATCGGGAGTTTGACCTCAAAGTGAAAGGGTAAGAGTAAGATCCATCACTCCCCCTATCGCAACTATGATTCGAAGTACAGACTGTATTGACTTACGCATCAAAAATCTGTAACTATATCAAAGCCTATGAAACATCTTGAAATTTACATTCTTAAAAGGTTCCAAATCATTTTGTTGACTTCTCAGGCAAAAATATCGGCCGAGCGCCCCACTAATTGGAGGATTCCGGCCGAGCGCCCTCATTAACCGGGCAAGCACTCGGCTAACAAAGAGTACCGGCCGGGCGGCCGTCAATCGACCGGCCGGCCGGTATACGATTGAAAGTTGCCGCGCGAGCGCTTACAACCGCCGGCCGAGCGGCATCACTGACCGGCCGACCATCCCACGATCAAAGCGCGGGAAATCGATTGGTTCAAATGTCGGTTAGATTTCACAGGACAAGACGTGTTAAAACGAGCCTTGCCAAGAGGTGCTCTATCTCCCCCCCCCCCCCCCCAACAAAGGCAGGGACCGTAATCAGGCTGTTAGTGCAAGGACCCGAGCGCGCTTTCTCCACGGTCCTTTAAACTTTCATGCCCCGTCTCAGTAAATCCCACCAGTACTCAAAAGCTGAATTTCCGCTAATTCGAAGACTGCTTTTCTGATATCAAGCTCCTACAGCCACTTGTCGCCTGTTGAGTCGCCCCACTTCGTCATTGGCATGGTGTCGCTTCATCCGTCCACGGCTAATCTCTTCTGACATCTGTCATACACACCACTACATGTTTCTGCTCTTGTACCTCCAGTACATGCCATGAAACTTCTTGTTTCCATAAGTGTTCGAATAAACTGATGGAATATGTAAGTCAAGAAGTGCTCAAATCTCGCATTTTCAGCCATTCCTTTACAAATTGGTGCATAGGTTTCATATTTTTATGTCATTTACTTTGCAGTACTCACTGGATATCTTCACGTGTAATAAATTAGTGCAAAATTCAGTCCAGTCTTGATTAATCTCAACAAAACTTGAAACTCCTGCGCGTAATTACAAACATCGTATCAGCTTTGATTTTTGTTGCTTGGTGTTTTTCGATGTTTGTACTCACGCGTAGGAGTTCCTAATTTTGTTAGGACTAAACAAAATTGGCCTGAATTTCCGCACTAATTTTCGATAGGAGGTTATAAATTTTTGGAGACGTAATGACCATTTTCATGGCGACTAATCTGTGATTTTGATCCTGCCAAGGAAAACAGACCCAAATAGTTTCAAGCGACCTCCGATTCCAAAACCCTTTACTAGTCATCTTCAAACAATGGATTGTCAATCAGAACCCACAAGTTCTGATTATTTTGATTGTACTTGCGATGGGTTTATAGTAGTAAAAATTTCACAAAAGGTATTCTATAGGCATTTGAAGAGATTACCGTGACTTGATAGTGCGATACCCTTGTTTGATAGGAAGGTAGCACCTCAAACCGCATTTAGCAATATATAAGATTCATAGCTTTGGCTTGATGTTACTTAACGTTGGAATTCTGTTCTGGAATGAAGCTGATGAACTTAGTAGTGACAAATTTAAAATCAGCGCTGAGATCACATCCCCCTGATTGCAAGCTGTGTCTAGGTCGAGTCACTGCTCTAAATTTGCAAACCATACTGCGATCCTTCAATCAATCGGAAATTAAGATGTTGACTAAGGCAACGCTATACTGCTTCAAGTCACAAAACGTCTCAATGACCTTGCACCGTGAATCTGCAACGCAGAAAAGGATTTTCTGCCAGAACACTTGTGCGACTCCTCAGATCTTTGAAGCAGATACTTTTAAGCAATTCTCCGATGAATTCACTTAAAAGAAATTACTGAGCCTTCGTGGAAACGAACAACGAATTAGATCAGCATATGATACATATAAAATGAGAACAAATTGTCAGGATCAAGTTTGAAAATTCAGGAAATCCTCTCTTTCGGTTCCATGATTACGACCGAATTTCCGCGAATTACTACCATTCCAAGAGACACAGGATCACCGTTTTTTGGGTATTCAATAGCGTCCTGAATTGTAGATTTATGCAAATCTAGACAAACTGACTCATGCTCTGTCTTTGGTGTGATATTCGCTTTCAGTCATAGTCTTTCAAAAGGCTCACGAAAACCTTAGTCTATTCTGTTGGTTAAAAAAAGAAGTTTGGAGTATGAGGGCTCCAAATCTTTCAGGTCACATATTTAACTGTCATTACATGTGATTACGCCGTTTGATTTGTAAACTAGAAAATAACTGATAAGTAGACTGAATGAAAGCTTTAAGGAATTGGATGGACTGACTGAAGTCCTAGATTCCGCAAAAACAATGGGCCATTCTCGTTAGACTCATCTCTTGACTCACTTCAAAGCCAAAAATGTTGACAGACAGAACTCTAACCCCGATAACCATGTTTATGAAAGGATCGAAACCTCTAAGAACACCTGATACACGACGATTCCCATTGAGCTTCAAGTCCATCTCCTTATCCATATACTTCTTCAACTCTGGCGGATGTGTTTTGCTCATTTTCTGCATGCAAAATTCTTTGTTGAATATTCGAGCCGCTACAAACGGCATCAGATCACGAAGATCATCAGACAGCACACAAAATATGGTTAAAACTACTGATAAAGAACAAAGGCATGGGATCCAGAAAGGAATTCCTTGTAAGCAGATACACTCACGTTAAAGATGTCCAGAAGTGCAGATGTATCAGTTGCTCAATTTAAAGGACAGTGAGAAAATCGCCATCGGGTCCCGGCACGAACAGCCTGATTACGGTCCCTGCCTTTGTTGGGGGGGGCAGATAGGGCACCTCGCCTTGCCAATCCTTCCCTCGTTAAGCATCATTCATTCGCACTTCCTCTTTGTGGTTATATGCTTGCGTCATGCACTCTCGCTTTATCAATTTTTTATTATTTCCCTTTCTTAAACTACTTTTTCAGTTCGGAGTGGAAGGCTGCAGCGGAGATGGAATCCAGGAGGATCACCCATATCCAACAACGTCGAAGATATGGATGTGAGTTGTTCTCTAAGTTTGATCGCTGCCACCATTTATGATACCAAATTTAGTATCAAGTCTTCGTTTCTTTCAATTCCTTTTAATTCAATTCAATTCAATTTCTTCGTTCTTTTCACATCCTTTCCTTACACCATTCTCTCAGTTCAGCAGTGTACCTTTTGCGACCATGCTTGCCATTTGTTTCCTGCCATATCTCTCAACATGTCCTCCAGCTTTTGTGTCCGACGAAACGGCAAACATTTCCACTTTCGCGCTAACTTTTTGCAATTTATATTCGTACCTATAGTTACAAATGGCTGCGAAGAGCGCGCCCCATGACCCAATGCACATTTGACCGGCGCGCAGGGCGTTTGGTGTTGGAGCGCGCGATTCAGACGACCGGTAACCACACGGCGCTGAAACGGCTGGATTCGCCGTGGAGCGCGGCTGTCGAGCGGAGCGTGTTATTGGCACGGAACTTGAATTTTTAGCGTTTGATGAAAGATGATTCAAAGGTTTTCTTTTTTTTTTGACTCAACTGCTTCTTTTTACCATGTTTGCTTAAAGAGTCCGCTCCGGTTAAGTGCACATGTACTTATTTTGCGATAATTTCCGAAGTGGCAGACCCTCCCAACTGAGGCTAGATGCTTGTACTAACTACAGAAACGGGAATTGGTTGTTGCAGAAAGGTGAACCATGTAGGTATTGATATTTGGAACGTATAACATAATCAACATCTCTTGCATAGGTTGCAACAACTAGGCGAAAGTGAAGAAGCAGAACAAAAGAGCGATTATACGGAAGTGGTGCATAAGATGTGGTCGTTATGATTAGCAAGACAGTAATCCCTGGATACTTGATCAAAATAAGGTTGCAAGATAAAAGAGAAGGTAGACCGAAATTAGTTCTTCTAACGGCACGTTTGTTCTTGCACATGCTGTCATGTAATCCAAAGTTGTTTTCAAGTACGCTGGCTTGTTCACTGTATGGTTTGTGCATCAGAGGGGTTCTCGTAAGTATAGGCTGCTGCATAACGAAAGCGCAATTTCTTCAGGAGCGAACGCGGCGTGCGCCAATGTTCACCGTTGTAAATACTCCGCCGGCAATCCAGTTTTCCAAAATAGATCGTCTTACGCGCATGGTAGAGATTGGAGGAAAGGAGCAACAAAGTCTAGCCGTGGAAGAAGAGGGCCTCACTATCTCGATTCACAATTGCACTCGAGAGTGGAAGCTAGAGACCATCGCCATTTCTGCATGTAAGGAATAAAGAGCAATAAGAAAAACAAAACAACTTTCAGACTAGCCTGAGTAACTTGGTTGTCAACTATCAAACAAAAGCTGGCGATACCCCCTTCAAGATGTTCATGAGCTTTTACAGATACATCCTGGTGCAGGTAATGCGTTATAACTTGCAAAGGTTCTGGTACCATTATAATTTTTACAGATAACTGAGCCGCTACAATCCATTCAAGATTATTCCCTAAGGCTCAACGGAAAAGGAGGCCGAAGTTCAAATCTTATAAACTTGCCGTCTAATGTTGAAACTGCACTCTTAGGTATGTATTTAATATCGAAATAGTTCAGGACTCCTGACTTTAGACTTTGGAGAAGACACAATCGGCTATGGGCATCCAGAACTCAAAATGCCAGCCGTCAATGTCGACAGTACGAGGTGTAGAGTAAATTCTCCAAAAAGTTACAGTTTCAATTTTTTACAGCTTTTTCGAAAGTCTCGGAGAAACAAGAGAGGAAAGGGCGGAAGCATTCGAAAGGATGGCACATGAAAGGATTGTGTATAGGCGGGACCTCTTCAAAGCCCTGCAAATGGCGTTGTGAGTAAAGGAACCTTTTCCTAACGCTACATCTCATAGACCATTTGTTTAGAAGAGATATTCGCGCATACGAATATGACGTCGAAAACGATAAATGGAGGCTTTATGATGTAACTTTTTTCTAAACAAAAGTTTATGTAGTATAATGCACATATTTTTCAGAGAAAGAAAAAGCGTGCACGGCCGAATGACGATTGTAATGGTCCATAGCCGTTTTCTCAATATGCGCTGTCGTCGTCGTAAGGGTGGAGATAGTGAGCATTTTTAGGTTTTTTACATTCCATTGTTTCTAGGCTGTTTTGAGCAGCTAAAGAGCTGAGTTGTTGATTGATTTAGTTTATTTCACAGATTTATGTTGTGTTGTGACATTTTGTCACAATGTGTTGTGACACGTTTTTCAGTGTTATCTATTTTACGATGTAAGATTCTAAATAAAATTACTAATCTTAATTTGTGCTCTTGTACTTTATGGGTAACAAGAATCTTGTGTTAACAGAACAAGTACCGCACGAGCATACACAAGTAAGGCGCCAACATCCACAAAGACCGCGTGAGCATCCACAAGTACCGCGCGAGCATACACAAGTACCGCGCCAACATCCACAAAGACCGCGCCAACATCCACAAAGACCGCGCCAACTTCCACAAAGACCGCGCGAGCATCCACAAAGACCGCGCGAGCATCCACAAAGACCGCGCGAGCATACACAAGTACCGCGCCAACATCCACAAGTACCGCGCCAACATCCACAAAGACCGCGCGAGCATACACAAGTACCGCGTGAGCATCCACAAGTACCGCATGAGCATATACAAGTACCGCGCCAATTTCCACAAAGACCGCGCGAGCATCCACAAAGACCGCGCCAGTAACCACAAGTACCGCGCTAGTAACCACAAAGACCGCGCCGTAACCACATGTACCGCGCCAGTAACCACAAAGACCGGCCGAGCGCTTAGCGTTTTCATTGCTGGCCGCTGAGCGCTCGCAATGACCGTGCGAACGGTCGCAAATACCGGCCGGGCGCTCGCGTCTACCGGACGAGCCGGAAAAGTGAAAACCGCTCGGCCGGTACTTGTGGCCGCTCGTCCGGTATTTTTGCCTGAGAAAGTGTGCTTATTTTACTTACTTAGGTTGAAATCCCGCCACTCGCGAGAAGAACCAAACTGCGAATGAGTATCCGCTGAAAAGTTGACTGAATAAATTACATCTCAAGTCATTCGCACCAGCAACTCTATTTGCACAAAAAGAATGCGTTTTCTCTCACACTTCACTACTATTTTGAAAAGCTTGAGGATATATGTCTGCGCCCCAGGGAGGTTCCCATAGGTACCACGTCATCTCGCTGCCTTTCGCACTTTGAACGTGTTAACCTCCGGCATTTTCGTTGAAATCTCAGGAGAAACGTGTCAAAAAGAGCGAAAGGCAGCGTCGCACCACGTACGCACGCTGGTTCACATGGGAACCTCTCTGGGGTGCAGACGGTATGCTTACAAGACTTCTGTCGAAAACTCTGTTGTCAGCTTTTCTTGGTGAAAAAGGAAAACAAAGCCAGATCGAGGTAGAAATTTTGGGAATAAATGTACATAAATCATCCATTCAGAAATTAGAATACTCGATAACGCTGCTACACTCATTCTCTAACAAGTTTGGAGATGTTTAATCAAGGATTTTGAGTAACAAGCACTCAAAACGCGCTAACGCACAAGTATAAACACCTTCGACTGGACGTCATTGGGTTTGGTAAGATAATGCGTGGTCAGAAGTTACAGCAGACAGTCAGAAGAATGAAAGTGCGCTTGTTCTGAGAGGCTCCTTCCAGACTGCCCGGCTTGTGCCAGCGTCAGGACGGCGCCAAGACAGCGTCGTGCTAGCACAGCAACGGCACAACGCCACCCAAAGTTCCGATGGTTTGGACCAATATCCGCTGCCTCAACTTGTCCAGGGATGATAAAACTTGCTTTTTTGCCTACACAGATTGTTCAGATGCTTTGACGTTCGACTGTAGCCAGCCTCGCTTTGCAGCGCAGGAAACTGCGATTTTACTAAATTTTGAACTCAAAGTCCAGATGCGATTTTCATTCAAATGGGTTGGAAATTGGTATATAAAAATTGTCTATCACGGTGTTTCCAAACACGCTAGTGATTTTGCTTAAAGCGTCGTCCAGGCAGATCTGGACTTATGGGGCTTTTACGTGGAAAGTACTTTTGAGGCCCTAACTAAGGCACTGCCCAAGTGGCAGCTCAGGTAGTGCTCTAATGGCTGAGATATACCCCTCGAAACTGGCCCCCGCGAACGTATTCCCATGGATTCATGGCAGTTTCGCGCCAGGATCCACGCTTTGCGCCATGAATCCATTCGAAACACGGTCGCGGGGGCCAGTTTCGAGGGGAATATCTCAGCCATTAGAGCACTACCTGAGCTGCCACTTGGGCAGTGCCTTAGTTAGGGCCCCAAAAGTACTTTCCATGTAGAAGCCCCATGGGTCCAGATCTGCCTGGACGCTGCCTTTAAAGGCAGTGTCCGGGCAAAAAGTCGATTTTGAGATTTTGTGCTTACCCGGGCCTACTCACTATGCTGGATCAGAAAATCCACATTGGAAAGCGCGAAAACTGCAAAAAGGGGCTCTAACGCAGGAGGGAAATTGGAAGTGGGTGGGGTCCTCCCCACTGTGAATTTTGCAGTCCCAGCTTCTGGAGCGAGCTTCCCAATTCCTTTAACCCCCTGAGATCTCCACCGGCCAGGTGTGAATGCGTTACTTGAAATCGGAACCGAGAAGATCGCTCTGGAAGCTGGGAGCGTGAATTCACAGTGGGGAGGGCCCCGCCCACCTGCTGATTTCTCTCCCGTGTTAGAGCCGTTTTTCGCTGTTTTCGCGCTCTCCAACGTGCATTTTCAGATTCAGCACAGCGAATAGGCCCGGGTAAGCAAAAAATCTCAAAATCGAGTTTTTGCCCGGACACTGCCTTTAAAATGTCAGTATTTGAAATATAATGTTTTTCTAAATTTCACTGCAAATTTGAAACGATACCATTAAGCACTTCATGGTGTTTTCACAGGTTTCCTCATAACCTTTGCGTTTTAATTTTATCTTTGGAACATGAATTTTTTCTATAGATTATGATGCAAAACTGGAGAGATTGAAAAACAAGCGGGGAAAAATCTGCTAGAACAATTAAATCAACAACTCCGAATCCAATCAAAATATTACGTACCATCGCTTTTCCAGACTTAAAAATAAAGTATGAATTTTTACCAAGTTTTCAGTTCCGATTTGACTTTTCGAATAAAAATTCATCTTCGAGGTTTCGGTTTCTAAAAAAACAACAGCATATTCGCGAACACAATTAGATAAAGCCTCCTAAACATCTCACCTCATTCGATTGGTTCACTACTGAACTATGTGTTCAAAAATTCAATGAAATCTACGTTTTCATGTATTGCATGAGGATGAGCGTAAACTACTGCGTGTGCAAACTCCACTCCCTTAGGCCCCGGGCAGACTTCACGCGATTTGATCGCCGCGACTGAATCGCGACGAGACAACTGTTACAACATCATTCCATGCCGATAAACTTGCATTCGGTTGTGATACTTTTCCAGCCCGAAATTTTTGAATGTGAAATGAAAATGAATGGAAATCTTAGCGATTAGATCGCGACGATTGAGTCGCGTGAAGTCTGACCGGGGCCTTAGGCCCCGGACAGACTTCACGCGATTTGATCGTCGCGATTCAGTCGCCGAGATTTCCATTCATTTTCATTTCACATTCAAAAATTTCGGGCTGGAAAAGTATCACAATCGAAATGCAAGTTGATTGGCTGGAATGATGTTGTAACAGTTGTCTCGTCGCGATTCAGTCGCGGCGATCAAATCGCGTGAAGTCTGTCCGGGGCCTTATGGTCATGGATGCTAATTAGTGTTGTTGACAGTCTGTAAACCCAATCACGTAAATCACGTAAATACTTGCAACTATCCCGCTAATAATGATAACCTGTCGAAACTTTGCATCACTTGGGTTTGCTCTCCCGCATCGTTCGCTAGCGTTTGTGGCGTCATGCAGTTTTCTTATAGATTTAGAAGGTGACTGTTTGAAGTCTTGTAATATTTTGAAGAATTTATTAACCTCGTAAAGAAACTTTAGAGGGCGTGGCTTCCGCCACGTTACCTTTTCTAAATTTTGGGCCCGCAAACATTTTGAGAAACACCCCAAAATTTTGCGGGGTGCATGGCTAACCTACGCACCTTCATTTGAGAAAAGTTTTTGCCGCGACTCCCCCCCCCCCCCTCCCAGACGAAAATCCTGAGGACCGCCACTGCTAGCCAGTTATATGCCCGTCCATCTGCGGAAAATAACGTGCTTTAAACAAAATGACCCCTAATTTTTAAGTTGAATTTTTGTGTCACTGGGTTACTTCTCACGGCGGAATCCGGAGTGATAACTGTTTGCAAATCCTGTGCGCCTTGTACGCGTGAAATTAAGGTACGATAGTAGCCACTAGAGTCTAACTTTTCTAACGAATAAGTGTTACAATGACAATGCATAACTGATTTGAAAATGACAAAAACTGTACTACAAAAACTTAGTGCACTTTGTCTCACCTCAGATACTTTCTCCGGCTGGTGACCGGGCGACGACGGCCTTCCGGCCGAGGGCCGCGCCATGTTTTGGGGCGGAGCCTAAAACCGGCCGAGGAGCGGGCTAGAAACTACCACCGGCTGGCTTCCGGTCGCGTCCGCAAAAGCGCGCGAAGGCGCACAAAATCGTGAATACCGTCAGATTCAATAGTGAGCATGCGATTTCATCATCACTACGCGCCTTACAAGACCTTTTGATTCTTGTTTTTTCGTCATTATTTTTGTGGTACTGTGTCTTTCTTTACATGCTGTTCGTGTATCGTCATGTTTCATCGCTCATCTTTGTTTTCAGTTTCAGCAGACTAGGAAAGCTTCCATGTCGTCACTAAACTGTCATATTGTTTGTGCTCAAAAATGTTTACTAGTGTTTTCATGTGATTTCCCTTTGTTATTTGGTCATTTGGTCTGCTTCCATCCCCACGAAAAAGGAGGACCCTCATAGGTACATGTTTGACTTTCTTTATCGACCAGCATATCCTCAAACATTTTTCAGATTGGAGTGCGTTAGTTCACAAGTTGAAATGCTTGAGACTGTTAATGATGGAGTTTCTGTTGTGGTTGAGCTTGGATTATCTGCTTATTTGTCTGCTCTGGAGAACATTCTGTCTATATAATAAGTGCTCTAACAACTTGGTGGTTGGTTATTTATTGATGGTTGGGAAAATAAGTGGATACATATGGAAATAAATAGTCTATTCATCGGTGTTGTCCATGCATACTGCAACAGGTGAGCAATTTGTTTCTTGTTTAATCTTCCTCTTTAGAGTTGGAACTTGTAATGAATGTAACCTAATGCAGTTGGTTCTCATCTTCATAAGATCCCTATTATCTTTATTTGCAGGTATACGCGGCTGACTTCTTACTTTTTTGTGAGATACGTGTCAGGAATCTTGGGAGCGGAGTCGTTTCTTCTAGCTTCAGTTTCTAAGCTCAAGTCTACATGCGGATTTGCTCACTGTTTGTGTCGTGCATCCCAGAATTGTTCCCATATAAGCCATCAGCGTGCCTGTCTTTCGATCATTTCAACGCGTTGACTCCAGCAAATAAGGCGCTTATCCGAAGCTGACTGTTGAAATGGTCGAAAGACAGCCACGTTGAAGTTCCGATGGGAACAGTTTTGGAGAATGCACCATATGTAATGCAATATGTTCTTTGTATTGTGTTTACACATGTTGTATGTTGTACATATGTTGAACATAATTCGTGTCTTCTTTGTTGTCCCTCTTCTAGATATCGAATAAAATATTATAAGAGATTTTTGTACAACACTATATGACCAGAATAATAATATAATCAACGAAACTAAACCCGGCGGGTCGTGCCCCAATAATCCGCTGCGCTGGAAAGCCGGCTGGCGTCCGCGCCGTTTGCGTGCAAACAACGGCTGGCGGGCGGCCGGCCGCCGGCTCGCCCGGAATTGAGGTGTTGCCTCAGCCGGTCATCGCCCGGTCACCAGCCGGAGAAAGTATCTGAGACTCTACCTGAGCATTGTCTGTTACTGCAGACTAAAGCTGCAACCACCAGAAAACCGACATCCCGCCCTGAGAATGAGATTTCGAAAGCCTAAGTGACGTTTTTGAATAGGTAGCGATTGAGCCAAAATGATAATAAAAGGAAGAGAAGATATGACGTTCTATAATTGAATAGAAAGCAAAAAAAGCGAGTGTTGCTAATATGCTCCGCTGAGAGCAGTGCGTTTGTGCAGCGATGGCTGCTTCTCAGTCGCCTGCCGTTTGCACTCTTTTATGCAAATTTTCATGTTCACTTTGCAAGGGTATTTTTCTTGCAGAACTTCACCACAGATACCATTTCAGATTTCTAAAAGTCTTGACAGTAAGTGAGCACTGTGAATTTGCAGTCTTATCCAATTCCATAAGACGAGCGTTGCTTAGTGCATGTTAGGGGACAAACCATTATGTGCTAAAGGTCGGACATGTCCAAAAACTACAGTATACTCTTCCCCGCAGGACACACAGCCGCAGCTGGCAACTAGCCAGCGCGGCTGATTCAAATCACATGGCGGCGTCTTTCGGTTTTGCGTGTTTTTCACTGTCATTTTCAACTATTTCTTTATTGTTTTTAGCTTTTCGAATTTTCCCTTGTCACCTACCGTGCCTAGAAGCGGATTTGCACTTGCAGAGCACCTTGTGTCCGCGGTATGTGCGTTGTGAACGCAAATGAGGAAGACGCGAGAGTAGATGGACGACATAGGTGAGCTTTTTCTCCTTTTTTCTACTGTCCTCGGAGTTTTCGTGGTCTTCATACTTCCAGTGCGCCGCTTCCCCGTGTTGCCTGCCCAGTCCGTGTTTTTTACACTTCTAATGCCCCGCTTCCCGGTACTGCATGCCTTGTTCGTGGTCCTAGCACTCCCACTGCACTACCTTCGCGTGCTGCGTGCCCAAGGGACCGAAACCATAAAAACGAGCAGGTGCTCGAGTCAGAAAAATAGGATTTTTTTCTTTTCTCCCGGTTTTTCGAACTCTTCGTGGTTTTTATCTTTCTAGTCCCCTTCTTCCCCGTACTGCATGCCTTGTTCGTGGTCCTAGCACTTCCAGTGCACTACCTTCGCGTGCTGCGTGCCCAAGGGACCGAAAACATAGAAACGAGCAGGTGCTCGAGTCAGAAAGGTAGGATTTTTTTCTTTTTTCCCAGTTTTTCGAAGTCTTCGTGGTTTTTATCTTTCTAGTCCCCCTCTTCCCCGTACTGCATGCCTTGTTCGTGGTCCTAGCACTTCCACTGCACTACCTTCGCGTGCTGCTTGCCTAAGGGACCGAAACCATAGAAACGAGCAGGTGCTCGAGTCAGAAAGGTAGGATTTTTTCTTTTTTCCCAGTTTTTCGAACTCTTCGTGGTTTTTATCTTTCTAGTGCCTCGCTTCCCGGTGCTGCATGCCTTGTTCGTGGTCCTAGCACTTCCACTGCACTACCTTCGCGTGCTGCGTGCCCAGGGGACCGAAACCATAGAAACGAGCAGGTGCTCGAGTCAGAAAGGTAGGATTATTTTTCTTTTTTTCCCAGTTTCTCGAACCCTTCGTGGTTTTAATCTTTCTAGTCCCCTTCTTCCCCGTACTGCATGCCTTGTTCGTGGTCCTAGCACTTCCAGTGCACTACCTTCGCGTGCTGCGTGCCCAAGGGACCGAAACCATAGAAACGAGCAGGTGCTCGAGTCAGAAAGGTGGGATTTTTTTCTTTTTTCCCAGTTTTTCGAAGTCTTCGTGGTTTTTATCTTTCTAGTCCCCCTCTTCCCCGTACTGCATGCCTTGTTCGTGGTCCTAGCACTTCCACTGCAATACCTTCGCGTGCTGCTTGCCTAAGGGACCGAAACCATAGAAACGAGCAGGTGCTCGAGTCAGAAAGGTAGGATTTTTTCTTTTTTCCCAGTTTTTCGAACTCTTCGTGGTTTTCATATTTCTAGTGCCTCGCTTCCCCGTACTGCGTGCCCTGTTCGTGGTATTAGCACTCTTAGTGCCGCGCGTCCTCGTACTACATGCTCAAAAAGCCCAGATCACGAAAATGAGGCAGTTGAGCCACAAAAGTGAGATTTCTCTCTTTTCTCCTTTTTCGAAATTTATAGGTTTCCTGTGGTCATTGCAGCCCAAATGCGTCGGATGAGCACACGTCCGATTGTGAAGAAGGTCAGGGAACTGATGTGGTCCAAATTACACGACATCCTCTGAGGGAAATCGGATCAGATCAGTCAAGCGGAATCAAGGTGGGTGGTGTTTGAAGGCAGCGTACAGCATACACGACATGGTGCTTATTCCGACGGTGCAGCGCAGGACGCGCTGATGCTGATGAAAGCGGCTCGAGTCCTCGCGAGCCGACTCGCTAGAGGCTTAGCCGTACTGCCATTCGCACGCACATAGCTTGGAAAATCACTATGTCCTCTTTGAGAGCGAACGCGGCGAGGCTGAAGCAAGGCGGCTCGCGCTCCTGTGATGTAAATCAGTGCAGAGTTTTGTTTGAATGCATGTCAGTGATTTAGATCGCGAGTAACTATTCGCACCCTCGGGTGATGTATCCCGCTCGTCCTGAAAAAAGTTTGGTGTGGTAGCAAAAACAGTCAGCTTACGCTTGATTAGATTGAATAGTAACAAGTGCGATTGCACACCATCATAGTGCCTGGGAAATTGGCGAGTGGCTATAAGGGGAGCAAATGCAGTTCTAAGTGTGCAGGCTTTAAAAAACATGCGATGTACATTCCTGGATGACTTCGCATAATGCTGGATTTTCCGCGCAAAGTGTGTGGCGTGCAATCGGACATAGTATTCGGCGTTTCAATAGAGACACGTTTAGGTCGGGCGAGCCAAAACTCGCGAAAAATGCGTTTTTTGCGGAAAAATTCTCCTACATTATTACTTGATCCAACACCTCAAGAAGCATGGACTCGCGGGGATTAAATTGGCCGAAAAAATGTCACACACAAGAATTGGCACTCTTAAATGCAGTGTAGAAGGATGTTCGTACATGGGGGTGTCCGAAATGGCGCTGAAGAAGCACCAGAGAAGAACACATAAGATGGGCTCACGTCTTTGGTGCTGCCCCATTTGCGAGGCACAAGTCGCAAATCAAATTGATTTCGTGGAACACTGTAGAGAGAAGCATGCCGAAATTGGCAGCGTAGTGTTAGAAAAACGTTTTCCAGCCAAAGAACAATTCGAGGTAAACACTGGGTATTATAAAACTTTGTAGGTAATATACTAATTACCAGGCATGGCGATACGATACCGAGAAACAGAATGTTCTTAAATGGAAAAAATATTTCACCGAAACCAGCATTGAATGTACAACTGTTCATTATGTATGCCATAGGTGGGTGCAGGATAGTTCGATGCTATAATGTTCAATAATAGTACAGGTCTGGAGTTCGAAGAAGCCTTGGGAAAGGCGTCAGAACGGCGAAAAAATCGAGGATTGTTACTCGCCATTGCATCTGTTTTTTGAAGGTTAAGCATCACTACTCCTTATCAATCGTCTAAGTTTTGTTTACAGGCATGTTTCTACGATAGCGGAGTCGTTTCTGTAAGATATTGCCTCGAACACATCGGTCATGCTGTAACAGCAGCGGCTTTGCCACTTTCGCGTACGGATAAAGAATGCATAGCGCATTATATTCAGCTTGGACTCGATGTTCCTACAGTATTGAGAGTCATACGGAAACAACATGTCGACACAAAATACCGACTTTACTGGATCACAGCTGCGGATATTCGGAACACAAGATCTGGGTTGCACTTGCAACCCGGCAGGCTACATGATGACGATTTAGAATCACTGATCCTGAGGAAGGGGATGAATATGGACTCCGACGGCATGAGAAGATTTGATCACCCAAAGGAAGCTGGCGGACGGTTCTGCCTAGTCATAATAACACCTGAGCAACTGCAGTTACTTGACCGTTACAGCGCTCGAGGAGTAGCCCTGGACGACACGCATTGCACAACACGTTATAATCTGAAACTCGCCACAGTAATGCTCGTCGATGATTGTGGACGGGGTGTTCCTGGCGCATTCCTGCTAAGCAGTGCCATGGATGTATGTGCATGTCAAGCTCTCTTTGAGGAAATCAAGAAACTTTATGAGGAATTCAATCCGAAGTTCTTTGTTACTGATGACACCATGGTTTTCTGGAACGCCTATAAAACAGTATTTCCAAGCAATGAAACTATCAAGCTCCTGTGCGCATGGCATTGCCAGCGGGCAATCTTCGAGAAGTTAAATACTTGTCTGCCGAGGAATAGCGAAAAAAGACGCTTGTTGGGAGGTACAAACCCTGCTTCTCCTCTGCAATTATCTATCTTTGAATTTTAGGTTGGCTAAAAACACTTTTCACCCAGTGTAATAAGGTTGAGTTCTCGAAAGCAAAGGGCATGTTGCTTGGTTTGTTGGCTGAGCAGAGAATGACCGATTCCGGCATTCACGCTTTCGAGGATTACTTCCGGCGCTACTATCTGAGAAGAGAAGAAGAATGGGCTCCTTACAATCGTGTGGCATCGATAGCAAATACAACAATGATTTGCGAGAGATGGCATCGGACACTCAAGTATACATTTCTTGGAAGCTCCAGTAACAAAAGGGCAGACGAATTAGTTCATATACTAATAGGTATTACACCAATATTGGCCCGAGAACACCTTATTCAGGTTATTTCCAAAGTAGCTATGCTATAAGCTTGCAAACAAACTTGTTTAGGATGCTCGAGGAATAATAGAAGGAAAATTCCGTGCTAAAGAGAACTGTCTGCGACACAAACGTGCAGTCGAGATCAAGGAGTATGCACCTCAAAAGATGTCATCTAATGAATGGCGCGTGCCATCTTTTGACACACCTCAGAAGTGGTACAAACTCACAGTTGCAGCTTGCCCTTGCGATACTGTCTGTTTTTTCTTAATGGCCTTTCTGCGTTTAGTCCAAGCCTTTAGGATGACACTCATTGTCCACTCTGTCATGTTTGTCCTGTGGCTATTGCGTGCTCGTGCCCCGATGGAATTAAAAGTGGAATGTCATGCAAGCATGCTCATGCTTGGACAATCTACCGCGGCAATGGTGCGTTTTTTTTCTCGATACCGCGTCTGTAGACGTCTATTCAGATGAATCCTCACAAATAGAGCAGCAGAATGCTACAACTGAGAAGACACCGTTTTACTGCTTTCCCGAAACCGATCTGCCACAGGTTGGACGGGGTTTCGAAAGTGAAGAAGACTTATCGTGGATGGATTTGAGGAAAACTATTGTGGCTGAGTTACAAGAGGTAGAGTAGTTCAAAAGACGGCATTACTTTTGACAAATCCAAGATTCTTCTATTACAGTATGTCGACCGCCTATCGTATTCGTGGAATACGAGTACGTCTGCGGATGAAGAAAGAGTCTCCAGCCTGCTTCGAACCCGTGAGCATATCCGAAAAGCGGTGGAGGAGGAGCTAGGTGAGAATAGCAAGCCAATACAAATTACAGCTGTTGCTCTTTTTAGGAGGTGCTAACACTCCTCGTCTGATTCCACGTAGAACATGTCACACAAAGAATGTCAAACAAAGAAGTCAGTCGAAAAAAACTATGTCGAAGGTGTTTTGCGTTTTTGCTTCTGCGCATTTCATTACGAAAGAATCTTGTAGCGCAAATCAAAATCGAAAAGCTCCATGTCTTCAACTTTTCATACGGATGATATCAATACGGAGGAACTCAACATATGTGTCATTTGCAATGACACGCAGCCTCCCCTGGACGACCCCGAGGACGAGGAGATCATGGTGGGTGCACCCGTGCTGTGGTGGTCCTGCACGAACTGCAGAGCATGGGTGCACCGAGACTGCATGACAGCAAGGGAATGCATTGTATGCGATAAAGGATTTTTCGAAGCCTAAATGAATGGCACGCAGATGTAGGATTGTGGTATGTTCGCGCTGTGGTGTTATCGATGTCATGGAGAATTGTTTTTACAGATTCACATATTCATGTATTGCAAAACTGGCAAAATCGACTATTCGACTGTGACGAATCCCATGGTGAGTTTCTCTAGTAATAGTTTAGTAGTTTTAATTCAGTTGGTTATTGTTTTTTTAGGTTTTTTAGTTTGATTTAGTATAATAGTTTCTCCAGTAGAGAAACGTAGTGTTCTGTCTATCATCCGTTTTTTCCACTCCTGCTCATGCTGTTCCTTGAGGAATCAGGCAGAGTTCACGCGATTTAATCGTCGCAATTCAATCGCTACAAGACAAGTGTTACGAGTTCATTGCATGTCAATCTCCTTGAATTTCGGTTGTGAGATTTAGTTCAGATTAGTCGTATTGGAAAACTATCAAAACCGAAATGCGAGAAGATCGGCATACAATGAACTCGTAACACTTGTCTTTAGCGATTGAATCGCGACGATCAAATTGCGTGAACTCTGCCTCTGCCCGAGGCCTAACATTGCGTACTTTTCCTTTCAGGTCGGCAAAACGTCATGACGTATATACGCATATTCATAGTGGAGCCCTTCTTCAATGCACTGATGCGGGTGAGGTATGCCTACATTACAGTCTCCAGCGGCAGGTCGCAAATGGCAAAGGCAAGCAATAACAAGCAAATGACAATTCATTTTCATGGCCGACTGAGATATTCCTTGTGTCAAAACAAACTTATATAGTTTTCATTACAATACACGCATAGTTCAAAAGAATGCGGTATGCAGTTGAATGACGTATGTGCCGTTTCAAGCTTTATTCCTTCTCTAGATGTTTAGAATTGTATCTCTAAATGTTGGAGGTTGTCATGACCACTATGCACTACTCTTTCCTTTGGTTTGAGCGTTTTTGACTCGATGTATCAGTGACTTTCCGAGCGTTTACTGGCAGTTATTAGTTACTACTTTTTGTTGTAGTAATTGCTCTTCCTTTACTGCAACTTTTGATATAAGCTTGACTTCAATTTGAGTTTGCCTGACTTTATGGGCTTTTGTCATGTTATAAACTTGTGACTAACTTTGTGATGTTCAAACTTTTCCATCCTTACTACTTATACACATGACGTGCTCTGCAGCGTACTATTTGCCGAAACTTCGAAATTTTTCTACATCTCCTTATATCAAAAATAATCTATCTCTACAAAAATTCCAACAAGTAAGAGAAGGATGATGTATTCTGTGTGAGTTAAGAATCGAATTCTTGTACAAGATACAGTTGCACGTTCTGACCCAGACATTCAGCATCACTTTCGCCAACAAGCTTTCGATTTCCTGCATTCATTTACGAAGTAGACAATCACACAATGCCATAATTTCTTCCAGGGACTTTTATAGAGCTACCTACAATATGATTTCATTTTTAACAACGTAAAGTTAGAGACCCTAAGCTGCGTATACCAGAAATCCTTCAACCGCAACAAAGCTGCTGTCGCTGTCGAGTACATTTCTGCTCAATACAGTTGCTTGCACGGCAGGTGAATTGCGGTTTTGCGCGTAAACGGCCACACCGATAATGCCCGCATTCTGACGCACAGTTGGAAGGCGTCACAGGCGTAGCTATTTCATCACGAGCATATTTTACCGATATCACCGACAGTGCAAGCACTATATTGAGCGTTAAATCTATTTGACTGTAGACATTCAAATTATTGAGCAAAAGATAAGATAAAAAGCATACACATGTTAGGCGTCACCTTTCGCTCTCATGCCCAAAATATTCTGTGATACATGAATGTTAATAGTTGCATTGCTCGTCTACTTGTACTTGGACTTCTATCTGTACTTGTGGTGGTCCGGGACACTGGTAATTACTAGATTTATTAGTAGACTGGATGTGGATAAGAACATCAGAACATAAGCCCATCATCTCCACTACATAGTCGATTCTGACCGCACGGACTGGACGTCACTGCGGAGCACGCGGCGCGAGTTAAAACGCTTACCCCAGTGCGAATTCGCCGAAGTACAAATCATGCTCCCGCGACATTCCAGCCGCGCCGCGCGTGGTCCATAGCGTTTTAGCAATCCGTGCGGTCAACGAATGGACGATGTGTGCGTAGGCAACTTATACAAAAACAACGGAAGGTTCACCTCGTGCACCGATGAGATTTTTTCGTTTGATGGTTGCTTTTTCCTTGCTTTTCTTTTTGGTTGTTTCATTAACTCGCAACTTCTCTAACGTCTAACTCGCGCACCTTTGATACCCGAGTACGTACTCTATGATCTCTTCTCTCTTCGTCCCTTCTTAGGCAAATGTAAAAAAGTAGTATGTATAAGGTATTGCCTCAGCTCATATTAATTGATTATCATTGTCTAGTGAGGATGTTTTCCTGATATGCACAACATAAACTTGGATGCAAACTTCTATATAGCTGGCTATAGCTAGAAAGATTTTACATGTAGGTACATCCACGAAGCTGCTCACTGCTCACCCTCCCGATCATTTCGTGCATTATTGTGGAGTTCCAAATTATAACGTATAGTGCATTGAGTATCATCAAAGGGATGCCTTAAGCGCTGTAGTAGTTGATTAATTGCAATTGCTTTGATGTCATTATTACATGGCAGAACCGTTCGCTAGTTTCTCTTATGAGTGATCAAATTCTCCTATTCCGTCGTCGATATTCATGCTTTGCCTCAAATTCAGTAAGTCCTAATCATTGGCATGTAGTCTTCCGGGTTGCAACGGTTACCCGGAACTTGTGTCCGTATATCCATAGTGATCAGTAAAGTTGTAGCGTCGACATGCTGTTTACGTATAATGCTCAGTACTGTAAGAACATCACATATGTTGATCATGACGCCAACAGGAACATCAAGTCCATGATGAAGATAATGCGCTATGAATTCTTTAGCTGCACAGATAGCGCTACTGTTGCAGTGTGACCAACTTGCTTGATACAACATCAAACAAAGGTGATACTGCTTTCGTAAAAGCATGCTTGTAAACAAGACTCAGAAACTCAGAATAATAAACATGATGCTCAATCTCCAACAACCAGATGCAGTGGCGAGTTACAGTCTTCGACCGTTCGGCGTTCTTACGCCTTTCCCAAGGCTCCTTCAATTCCGAGCCTATGTCATTGCTGAGCATTATATAACATCGCCTCCTGCACTCACTAACATACATGATATTGCTTGCAAAGATTTGTAATTTGCAAGGACTACCTCAGACTGTTCTTTAGCTGGGAACTTCTTTTCTTTCAATAAACTGCCAATCCCGGGTCTGTAATGATCCGCGAATTAATTTGATTTGCGACTTATGATTCACAGATGGGGCAGCACCAGTGTTAGAGCCTATCTTATGGGCTCTTCATTGAGCTTCTTCAGCCATTTTCCTCAACCCCTGTATATACATGCTTCTACACTTCTATTAGTCGTTCTTGTCGCATGATTGGTAATGTATCATGTTGCTAAAGCATTTGCTATGACTGCAATTGCAGAACGACTTCATGATGTTTTTTCCTTGCATCATTCCCATACGGGGTCTGCCACCCTTGTCATTCTCTTCCATGCTTCATGTTTACAGCTTGATTTTCATCGATTCCAAGTTCTCTCAAGGCTGCGTTCATCTTCTCCGTCCATCGCACGTTGGTCTTCTGCCGGGATCTCCACTGTCATTGTTAGTCTGGTGATGTGTTGTTCTTGTCGTACGCCTCCATGATGTGAAACTTAGGGAATTATTTTCGCATTTTTTCTGTAGTTGTTTGTTATTTTTTGTTATTCCGTTGTTTTTACTTTTTTTGTTGTTCTGTTTTTGTTGTTTTTAGTTTTTTTTTCAACATGGATAAAGTGAGCATTCTGATCATGCCCTCATACAACTTCGGAGACGGAACGAAGAGAGAAATTAAAAGATCAAGAGAACCTAATCGGATATTGAGGATAGGAAGGTACTCTCCGCCGCTATGATAGTCATCGTACCTGTACTGATTGGACTTGAGAAAAAGTGTAGTACTAAACTCAACAGGTTTTTATACCCCTCTATGGCTTGTTCTATGGAAGTGCAAACGAATTGCAATAAAGATCCAAGCTTGTTTTCAAACTGCGCTCTCAAGCTAAATGCGCGGTTCAAGAAACGCATCGAAATGCACGCAAGCAAACAAAGCATCCTTCAGTTAGAAAAGCGACTACTGACAGACAACCATCAAGCGATTTTCAGGGAATTACACAGTTAGCGTTACTCTGTGAATACGCTACAATAAAAGCGTAGTACGAACTATGCTGTGAATGAATCTGATTCAGCGCAAATTATGATAAAGCAAACGTTCAACTGCAAATTTTCAACATTCCCAGAAAGAAAAAAAAGCAATTGTCGCAATTAGACAACAGATCACGATCGGAGACAAAGAAAAGAACACTAAGCTGTATTGTTCTCGGCTCCAAAGATTCTCGTAAATGCACTTCAAGTTAGACGAGATGGTGGGGAACTACCACGTTGGCACCATACAATACCCATTCTCAATGGTTGCACTGAAGTGGAATGAATGGTTGTCGGTTTCAGTCAGAGTATTTTATAGCATCAGCCAAGTAGTATCTGGTTCCTATTTGTCATCCTTTTCGAACCTAATCATAGGTTTTTGTACACCAAATACCAAAACGTGGAGGAAAGTTAGAAGCTTACTTACTTCGATGACTGTATAGTGATATTCAGTACATCCTACACTCGACCTGCTGCAGGGTTACATCAGTACTGAACTTCGCAAGCCAGCAAGCATGTCTGATGCTCGAGTACCTAGGAAAACACAGTAAGACTCAGCGTGATCGGCAGAAAGTACTGTTTTTGTGATTAGCTTAGACTCTGGAGTTTGCAAAAAATTTGTCGACAAACGGCAACTGAAAATTGAACTTTCCGAAGTGAATCACTAGTTTTAGGGTCTTTCGGGTGGTTGTGAGGTGAAAACCCGTGAAGACTTTGATTACTAAATAACAGCTTTTCCAACAAGGTCATAAAAAGGCGAAAACTGAGTGGTTGTGGTCAACGCACATGTAGGTAAGTAAGCTTCACAAAAAAGCCTGGTGAGATAGCAAAATTTGTGCAAAAGAGCTAGATGTGCAGCTGGTGTACCCTATCCAAACAACAATTTTATGAAGAAAATATAGACTACTATCAAATCTTCTCGAATCTATCTGATATTATAAGACTATGACCGAAGAGGCGCGCTAGATTTGAGCGCAGGTTTACTATTACACGGACAATTTCGATAATAAAAAACAACAAGTTGATTGAGAAGAGTGGCAGCATGAAGCTGTCTAAAGATGTGACCTCTGACATAATCAAAAAAGCCTACAAGATGAGCAACAGAGCTGAGCAAGCTTAGCAACAAAAACGATTTTGTATCACAGGTAAATAAAGCAGAACCATGGCATTTTTTTTCTTCAAGCGCGGTCGGATTCATATAGAAAATATTAGAGCTGCTTCAGGACATGTCTCATACAAAAGACAGTAAAGCTAACCAAAACCATAAGCAAATTTTCATCATGTGCGTCTTTTAAGCACAACACGTGTCATGGGTGACTGCTTGCAAATACTCACCCTAAACAGTATGATAGTCTCATATCCATGAGACAAAAAACAAACAAAACAAAATAAAATTTATTTCTGTAGCGAAACAGGATTAAAAATCTCAGAAGGATATGGTATGTCATAAGTGTACTCTTCTGCAGAGATAAACCGCTCATTTGTCGACATACCATCTTCAAGATGAATATACTGCTGTACATGTCCTGTTCCACTCGTAGATATTGACAAGGACGGGCTTCAACTGCGGCTTCCACGACTCTAAATCAGATTGTCACCAAAGTTGTTGTGATGATAGATGATGGACAGTAACTCAAAAGGAATACCCACCAGCGCCGCTCAGAGCTGATGTAAATAAACAGAACGATTCAACAATGAGATCAAACAGCGGTGCCAGAACCACGAACAGGGCATGCAGCACCGGAAAGCGGGGAACTAGAAATATAAAAACCACGAAGAGTTCGAGAAACTGGGAAAAAAAGAAAAATAATCCTACCTTTCTGACTCGAGCACCTGCTCGTTTCTATGGTTTCGGTCCCCTGGGCACGCAGCACGCGAAGGTAGTGCAGTGGAAGTGCCAGGACCACGAACAAAGCATGCAGTACGGGGAAGAAGGGGACTAGAAAGATAAAAACCACGAAGACTTCGAAAAACCGGGAGAAAAGAAAAAAACCTTACCTTTTTGACTGGAGCACCTGCTCGTTTTTATGGTTTCGGTCCCCTGGGCACGCAGCACGCGAAGGTAGTGCACTGGAAGTGCTAGGACCACGAAAAGGCATGCAGCACCGGGAAGCGAGGCACTAGAAATATGAAAACCACGAAGAGTTCGAAAAACTGGGAAAAAAGGAAAAAATCCTACCTTTCTGACTCGAGCACCTGCTCGTTTCTATGGTTTCGGTCCCCTGGGCACGCAGCACGCGAAGGTAGTGCACTGGAAGTGCTAGGACCACGAAAAGGCATGCAGCACCGGGAAGCGAGGCACTAGAAATATGAAAACCACGAAGAGTTCGAAAAACTGGGAAAAAAGGAAAAAATCCTACCTTTCTGACTGGAGCACCTGCTCGTTTCTATGGTTCCGGTCCCCTGGGCACGCAGCACGCGAAGGTAGTGCACTGGAAGTGCTAGGACCACGAACAAGGCATGCAGTACGGGGAAGAAGGGGACTAGAAAGATAAAAACCACGAAGAGTTCGAAAAACCGGGAGAAAAGAAAAAAATCCTACCTTTCTGACTCGAGCACCTGCTCGTTTTTATGGTTTCGGTCCCTTGGGCACGCAGCACGCGAAGGTAGTGCAGTGGGAGTGCTAGGACCACGAACAAGGCATGCAGTACCGGGAAGCGGGGCATTAGAAGCGTAAAAAACACGGACTGGGCAGGCAACACGGGGAAGCGGCGCACTGGAAGTATGAAGACCACAAAAACTCCGAGAACAGTAGAAAAAAGGAGAAAAAGCTCACCTATGTCGTCCATCTACTCTCGCGTCTTCCTCATTTGCGTTCACAACGCACATACCGCGGACACAAGGTGCTCTGCAAGTGCAAATCCGCTTCTAGGCACGGTAGGTGACAAGGGAAAATTCGAAAAGCTAAAAACAATAAAGAAATAGTTGAAAATGACAGTGAAAAACACGCAAAACCGAAAGACGCCGCCATGTGATTTGAATCAGCCGCGCTGGCTAGTTGCCAGCTGCGGCTGTGTGTCCTGCGGGGAAGAGTATACTGTAGTTTTTGGACATGTCCGACCTTTAGCACATAATGGTTTGTTGTTAGGGGTTGCTTGCATCTGTGTTTTCATAGAATGTGTCAATACAGTTTACTAATGTCGTATTTGTCATATTGATAGAGTAATGAAATTGGTTTACAGTAGAATGGCGCCAAAATTAAAGTCATCTGACAAAGTCAAAGAGAAGCAGAAGGGCTTGGAAGTCTTCAGGTGAGTTCATTCTTGTTTCGTTGCAGAATCACCTCGTCTCACTTATTGTTAGTTAACGGTTCCACGTTCTAATTTTACAGTGTTTTGCTTTTCCTTCCACAGGTTCCACTATCCATAAATCTTGGCATTATAAAAATCATCTGGTAAGTGCTTTAACAGAGACCAGGATTGGTACGGATCTTTATTGTGCGGATTATATGGCCGAGTTTCGGCAACTTCGCCTTTTCCAGAGTCTGAAAAAGTTGAAAGTAACCATCAGTAACCAATCCGACCAAACATCCAGTCGATTACAAAGAGGTGTGCCCAACGCTTCAAAAAAAAAATTAGAGCTACTACTAAAACGCTTTAAAATTGTACATCTTGGTCTTTACTAAAGCAATCAACTACAAGATTTCAACAGTTTTACAATGTTTTGCTTGTCTTTCTCGTATTATTTGTAAAAGGAGGTGGCGGATACAAGGCACACCGTACATGCAGTACATCCGCGTAGCTTTGTAAATTCTGTTATCTACTTGCTTGGAAATGAATTTCATGAAGTGGAGTTGATTCCAAAAAGATTGGCTTTGAAAATAATGATTGAGACTGATTTTCTCTCATGCTGCTTAGTTTCAGTGAATCTGCTATGCGAAACAATTATAGTTCCTTGGAGTACAGCCGGACATGTCAAGCGGCAGCGTCAGGAATGGCTGCAGGTTAGCAAACAAAACACTTCTTACAAAACACGATTGGTCCAATCTCATTACTTTACAGGGATTTTGGGACTAACGGGTATACCTGGCTTTATTTTCTACTTCGTAACTGTGGCGATCCAAGTGAGTCTCTACGTTTTTTTACCTTTCTTCAATATGAATCTCCGAACTCGATAAAATATGGTGACCGTTTTAGGCCTTATTCTGGGAAGCGAAAGCTGGATTTGAGTGGAAATCGTATTTTCTTGACCGAACCCTTTCTGTGACATATTCCATTGTTGGAGGCTTATTCACTTACATTCTCTTTTGGGTATTCTTGTATGGAATGGTCCATGTCTACTAGTCGAAATTCTGTATGTTCTCCATTGCTCCACAGTGTAATGCATCATCGATTATTCTGAGATTTTTCGTTGTCAGTGCGAGCACATTCCTAGTTTTACGTTCTTGTTGTACATATCTGTTTGTTGATGTCTCCTTTCTTTTGTTTCAATGTCGATAATGAATAAACGACTTTTAGATGTATGAACGGACTCCATGCCGTAGTAGGTCGCTGTTTACTACTTTGTTAAATTATAAAATATATGATTTTGGAGGGTTTTTGTAGGTCTGTCAGCTGAATCGTGCTTCAGAATCCTGACTCTAAGAATCCTTATGTAATAGCAGTGCTATTTGGTTCTTGAAATGAGGCCAACTAGATAGCAGGACAAAATACTTGTCGTAGCGCAAAAAAAGTGCTCAGAGCTAAGGGATTTTATTTGTTCAGTGCTGGATAATGCAATAGTTAAATTCAAGCGTAAGCAGCAGAGACGAGAAGAGTTCTTTACCTTTTAGTCCTATGCATAGCTCACTGTCAGCTTGAATAAGCTATTAAGTGGGTATTTATTAACCGTGCTGGTTGACATGCTCTAGTGACAAACCGCGTTCATGGGCAAGGCGGTGCGTCATCCTGCCTCTCGATCGCCCATCCAACAAAATGGCCGCACGCGTTTTTGCGACCCGAAAAATCGTCACTCGGTGGGCGTCGCCTTTGGCCGTGTCGTGCTCGGCTTTATATGGAAGTTATGTCGTGACTCATCTTCGCTTTGTACAAGGCAACATCAAGTGCTTTTCAAACTTTGCATTTCATTCTTTGTTGCCGTATATATGTCAAGGAAGGATAGAGATTTTGTATGTTTACTTATTTTTCATTTCAGGATTCATTCCTTGGAGTTTATTGTATCAAAAGTAGTTTCATTTGTAATGGTAGTACGGGCTTCGCTGCAATCATCATTCAATTTCGATCAAGTGAGGACAAAAACTGTCGAGAACCTCATCTTTCAGTTGATCAATGATGTGAGTTTTCTGCGCACTTCTCACCTTGTACCGAAGAGAACTGTGTGATTTGAATTTTTGTTTTTTACCGTTCTTAATACTCCACATTACAACCTTTTCATTGTCTACTGATCTTGTTGATAGTATCACTTGTTTATTTTGCCTGTAAAACTTCTGCCTTCGTTATGTTTTTTGTCGTTTTCTCTTATTCTTTCGCAACCCAAAAATGATATCATTCGTAGAACTGTTTGATTTATCTCGAAAATTTCTTCCTGCATCAGCTCTCTAGTTAATTTGTGAGAGTTTTCCTTTCTAGAATATATTGGAGGGGGGGATTGCGTTTCTTCTACTTTGGGTCTCCCAGTTTCATTCGTAACATCGTCTTTTAAAAAAATCACATAAAAATCCTCATTTTCATACTCACCATCCTATATGGATTACGATTATCTTTCAAATTCATTTATTATATCAAATAAGTTTATAATAGAAGAATTTCGACTGTTGTTCTTCTTTTATGTTCCTCCTGCTTTGTAGGTCACAAATATCACCGAAACATTCCCTCTACAACCTGGCCAAACAGCTGAGAGCCTTGTAGTAGCAGTAGAGCGAAGTGTTCAGCAGTTTCTCGACCAAGGTGATGCAGCTATACGATCGTGTCCGTTAGCTCAAGGATCGGCGTTAGATACATTAACCGATGCGCTCGTTGATGTGCGAGACACTGGTCAGTTTGATATTTTTGTTTTTTCTCGAACTTCTTATGATCAGATATATCTTAGTCTGCTGCTGCATTCAGTCAAGTCAATAAGCATCCAGTCTTTTTCCAGAAGTTTCAAATTTCGTTTCTCTTATCCCTTTGAGTGGTGTGTGTTTCTCAGTTGACTTTTTCCACATGTTGATGTCATAATGGAATCACGAGAAATTTAGACCTCACTTGAGAGCTTTTTGTCCCCCATTTTGCTACATCGGAAAGCCATCAATATTTTTTCTGTGCTCCACTAAAGCTGGGAAAGGTTCTTCGTTTTTGAGTCTTGGTCCAGTTCATGTTATCGTTTCTCTTGGCCACCAGAATGCCATCTTTCCCTTTTTACCGTCTAGTTACTAATTTTAAAAAAGTCTATCTTCTTTCTTTTTTTGTTCTGTGCTAGTGCACTATAAAGGCCAAGTTTTGATTTGAGATTGTGATCGCCTGACAGCCATATGGGATGGCATCAGAATTCATTTTTCGCACTCCTTCCTCTCTGTTCTTCACATGACCCTCTTGACGATTTCCGCTAGTTTCACTTGTTCAGGGCAATCAATGTCATTTGCTGGACGGGATTTCATACGGGACAGTTCATCTTCACAGCGTAGAACTTCTGCGGTAAACGCTGGTAAGACACTATTACAAGTGAGTTCTGCTTTTTGACATTATCTTTTTTTGCGTGTGATGTTTTTATTTTAAGGCGGTGGCACATTTTCTCATTCTTGCGGATTCTATAGATGTCGCATTGATCACTGAAGGCATCGATAAGGTAAGTGTTCAAGCTCAATATATTTGTTCTTGTTTTTTCTTATTCTTTTGAGAGCTCTAGCTTACCCTGCATGTAGTCGTAAGATATACTTCGTCTACAATGTCTCAATCTATGCGCATCTTGTTGATGCCAAGATGTTTTTGTGTCATTCCTTTCTGATCGATACGAAATCTCATTGTGTCGACGAACTCACATCCTTGAATTAGGTGTTTTTGCGAACCTTTTTGGATCTTCACAGGAACACCAATTGCAGTTTGCTCACCTAATGCACCTCATAAAATATGATCACGTAATAATGGGCTAGAAGAATTGCTAATGCTATTCGCATTGCATTGTTATGAGTTTATTCGAAGAGTGAAGGGCTTGAATTAGATTCTCGTATGCAGTTCAGTATGAGTTTTTTTCTACTTCGATGACAGTAGGTTTTATCCAGCGCAGTTTTTTCTTTTCGTATTGCATTTGGTCATTAGTGCGCTGTAATGGTTATAAGCTCAAGTGGAATGCGGCACGGCACTACGGAGAAATTTTGGACTATGTTAGGGACAAGGCGATGTATCCAAAAGTGGCCACCCTTCCGTTTTTCTACTGGATTAAGGCCCTGAGCAAGCGCATCGAGGTCTCGGATGGGGTTTCTACAAACAAAATTCTTGCAGCAGTTTACCCTCCAAAGACTGCTCTGATTATCCATTGAAACTAGTCTGATTACGGACTTTTTCAGATCCGCACTCTTCTCGACGGTATAAGGGCAGCTACATCCAATCAAGAAGTAGTCGATCGTTACCAGCTAATGATTGCTGAAATTGAGGAGATTGAGGAGACCATCAGGTGCCTTTTTTGTTTTTTTTTTCTTCGTTTTTCTGTACTAACAAGTAGATGCACCATTCTTTTCTCTGAAGCTTTATAGTAGTTTACGATCTTTTCCAATGATTTCCAATTGTCCATCGCTTGGGAGTGCTACGTACTTTATGATGAAACAGAGATCGCTTAGGCCGTTTTATGGGTACTTCACTGTTTCTAAGCACCCCATTTAGCGCTTTATTGACATGCACTTATTGTTGCGATGAATTGATAAAATCTTCTTCAGAAGACGCATCGCTGATCTACGTGATCCCAACCAACGAGATGATCTGCTGGCTTGTAAGGGAATACTGAAGACATCATGTCCACTTGTGTTTGCCACAACTAAGGTAAGTAGTTTGGTCTAGTCTTGTTTCCGACCTATTTTGCATATTAGGCCTTTGTACGCCATCCAGAAAATGACGAGTCACGACAGAATCGTGACTATGCCCATGGGGAAGTTCTAGCAGCTTTGAATGCCATGGATGCTATTCTACGGGGTATGTGATTTTTTATTTCTCACCCGTTGCTGTCTGCAGTGAAAGTGCATCTCTACAGGCGAAAAGGCTGATATGTCGTTTACTGCGCAAGGACGGTTAGGTCATCTTATCAGTGAACTTGATCAGTTCCAAGTGAGTTTTTAATCCATTTGAAAGGGACTTCTTCAAAAGTCTACTGTCGTTACAGAATAGAGTGTATCTTGAGCCCGGTACCTATAAAGCTCACATTCACCGTCCGGAGCTGGAGGAACTTCTTGAACGAATCGTCAGTGGCTCAGCGGCGATTGCAGACTCGGGTAACGCTTGATTTTTGATCAATCTATGTTCTCAAAATTTTATCGGTATTACCTCTTCTTCAAGGTTGTTTTCAATCACATTGTACAGCAAATTTTGCTAATCATCTCCAATTTCAGGTAGCACTCGTGCTGATCGCAAACAGAAAATAGTCAATGAATGTAATAATCTCCGGCAAGCCCTGCAAGACTTATTGGGAGAATACGAAAAGAGTGTGAGTCATGTGCAAACTTCCCCTTTTTATGTTATGTACCTTTCTATGTAACGTGCGCTCTTTTTTTACGTTTGCATAACTCTTCAGTTGTTGCTCATTCCATTATCTTGATTCCATTATCATTTTCTTTTTTTCCTTCGGCTTTGCAATCATGTGATTGAGGTAGCTATGAATGTCGCTAATCTTTCACCTTACGCTGAATCTCTTAATCGGCTTTCTTCGCGCGTTCTGTTTGAGGACTCAATCGGGTTGATCGGCAATTCTATTTGCATTAGAAAGCGCAAGTGTTTGCACATTTATCTGATTGGGTTGGGGACGTAAAAAACTCATGTATTTGAACAAGGCGCTAGGACATGTTACCTTCACCTTAACAGGGGAAGGTTTGGTTTTTGGGTTGACTGAATTTCGCGCTTTTTGAGCGTATACATGGATTGTGCAGAGTGCGTCCGGGAACTGGATCCATTTGTTGCATCATTTGCTATAGGAACGTCTCTCCAAATTGTTCGTTTCTTTTCATGGCTAAGTAGTCGATGCACTTCTCAGAAAAAATGTTGCTGAGATTGTCAAAGGAAGCTTTCAACTTGATTGCCTCCGACTTGTTGCAAAGCCTCACGAACTTGAGGCAAATGTACATACGATAGTGGTAGACAGTCTATGAGAACGAAGGGGGGGGGGAGGTAAATCTAAAAAATTGAGATGGATTCAGAGTACTTTGCTGTTATAAAGAATTTGATACAAAGGAAGTAGAATTTTTGAACTCGGTTATTTTCTGACTAGTTTGGCCAATATACGTTTTGTTCTGCAGCATAGGTGCGATGGGGTGAGCAAATGCTCACCCCCCCTTCACTTTCGAGGCCGGGCTACCCCCCCCCCCCTTCACCTGGGACTGAGGAAAAAAAAAATTTCAGGTGAGGAAGTAGTGCATGCGAAAATAAAAACTTATGTGATATAAAAAATACAATTTCAGGGAAATTATGGAACGCAGAATTTAATGAACATAGTTGCGACAGAACAATACATGGACAATGGTCAATAGCAAATATTCAACAGCTTATGGCGCTGATGGACAGCTTATTTGGCATTTACACCTGTAGATAATGTGCTATGATTGTGATTTATTGTCGCAAATAAATTTATTGCGGTATATGGAGTGCAATAAACGAATTAAATGTTTAATTGTGCCGTTTGAAGCATTATAATTGTTGTAGTAATGAGATTAGTGTAGTTTGAGTCAAAGCAGTCTTTAACTGAGCTTTTCCATACAAGATGCAGAAAAAAATGGATCCTGAAGTGAATTTTTTGTCAATTAGGTTGCAAAAAAAATTAGGAAATTCAAAGTGTAATCATTGTTGCACATGAGTATGAACCTGGAAGATAACCGTCTAGGAGGATTGCACTCATGAAGAGCTTCCGATTGATATGTAGTATGCTGGCCTGGAACGACGTCGCCATGGAATCATCACTTTGCTAAAATTTAAAAAATCAAGATTTTCAAAATTATGTAACTCTTGTAAACAACACTGTATGTCGATGGGAAGGGTGTATATGGATTGCACTCATCAAGAGCTTCCGATTGATATGTAGTATGCTGGCCTGGAACGACGTCGCTATGGAATCATCAGTCTGCTGAAATGTAAAAAGTTGGATGAATTAAGGTTTTCAAAATTAAATAACTCTTGAAAATGATAACGAGTCTCGATGGGAAGGGTGTCTGTGGAATGTACTCATTATAAGCTTTCGATTGGTATACAAGAAGTTGGCATGAATGGAGTTCTTTATAGAAAAATCGTGCCTCAAAAAGACAAAATATCACGGTGCAAAAAATCGATTTTTTAAAAATAACTTTTGTATAAGTGGATGAATTAGGAAGGGAAGGGTGTAGGCGAACTGTACTCCTCAAGAGCTTTCGATTGATATATAATACATGGGGGGTCCATGCTGCTGGACTTCGGGAACAGGGGGTGAGCAAATTCGGGCGAAATGCTCACCTACAAGCGGCGAGATAATGATATAAGGTGAGGAGAGCTGAGCATTTCGGCCAAATTTGCTCACCCCCTGTTCCCGAGGTTCAGCAGCATGAACCCCCCATGTATTATATATCAATCGAAAGCTCTTGAGGAGTACAGTTCGCCTACACCCTTCCCTTCCTAATTCATTCACTTATACAAAAGTTATTTTTAAAAAATCGATTTTTTGCACCGTGATATTTTGTCTTTTTGAGGCACGATTTTTCTATAAAGAACTCCATTCATGCCAACTTCTTGTATACCAATCGAAAGCTTATAATGAGTACATTCCACAGACACCCTTCCCATCGAGACTCGTTATCATTTTCAAGAGTTATTTAATTTTGAAAACCTTAATTCATCCAACTTTTTACATTTCAGCAGACTGATGATTCCATAGCGACGTCGTTCCAGGCCAGCATACTACATATCAATCGGAAGCTCTTGATGAGTGCAATCCATATACACCCTTCCCATCGACATACAGTGTTGTTTACAAGAGTTACATAATTTTGAAAATCTTGATTTTTTAAATTTTAGCAAAGTGATGATTCCATGGCGACGTCGTTCCAGGCCAGCATACTACATATCAATCGGAAGCTCTTCATGAGTGCAATCCTCCTAGACGGTTATCTTCCAGGTTCATACTCATGTGCAACAATGATTACACTTTGAATTTCCTAATTTTTTTTGCAACCTAATTGACAAAAAATTCACTTCAGGATCCATTTTTTTCTGCATCTTGTATGGAAAAGCTCAGTTAAAGACTGCTTTGACTCAAACTACACTAATCTCATTACTACAACAATTATAATGCTTCAAACGGCACAATTAAACATTTAATTCGTTTATTGCACTCCATATACCGCAATAAATTTATTTGCGACAATAAATCACAATCATAGCACATTATCTACAGGTGTAAATGCCAAATAAGCTGTCAAGCAGTGGTATCAACGCAGAGTACTTTGCTATTGACCATTGTCCATGTATTGTTCTGTCGCAACTATGTTCATTAAATTCTGCGTTCCATAATTTCCCTGAAATTGTATTTTTTATATCACATAAGTTTAAATTAAAGTTTAAATTACAAAATTATATGAAAAATAAACTAAAAATACAATATATCTTTACTATAATATAATATATACAAATAAAAAAAATACAAAAATCAAATTATGCAATCTCAGCAGAAATTATGTATACAAAATTCTATTAATTACAGAAATTATTAAAAAAATTTTTTGGAAGAAAATTCCCCCCCCCCCCGGTCGACACCCTTCACTTTTGGGGGTCAAAATCAGCTGGGACACCCTTCACTTTGGAAAGACCCTGCTCACCCCATCGCACCTATGTTCTGCAGCTCGTCCGAACTTGTTTGCTCTTTGTTTATCTAGCCTCTCCACTCCGCTGCTAGATTACGCTAAGCACTTAATGCCCTTGTGCGGCAAGATCTGCAGCGTACGGCTCGAATGGAAATGAGGCGCATCACGCAAATTCATCTAGAGCGCTGGTAATTAACTGTTCATGCTGTTGTCTCTTCGTCATCTGGTCGTTTTGTGTGCTTGTTTTCACCAAAGAGGAGATTGCACTATTGACAACGCACTGCGAGAGAGGACTGAGCGAAAAGGGCCGGTTGAAGGGCTATTCAAAAATGGGGGCAGCGTTCGTGAGATTAGGTTGAAAGTGAATTTGAGCGTTCTTTTGCAATTTTTAACGGAAGATTCAGAGCTGATTTTTGGGCAGGGGAGATTCACTGCATTGCTCTCTTCCCGTGAAGCTTTTTATCTGAGAAGAGCTGAACTAATTCTCGACAAAGCAAATGCAACTTAGAGACATCTCTGCGGGATTCGTTCTTTAAACTGTGTCTTATTCTTTTTTTGTATACAGGGTTGGGTGAAGCTTTCCTTTGAATGGTGGTTTTTGTTTGAGTAGTCACTTTGGCACTAACGTTTAGAGTGAATTTTATGCGATCTTATGGTCATTTCTCATGTAGGGCATCCCTTTGAGTCCGTACTTTCTTCAATGCGCTATCTCACTTCTCCGCTGAACTCCTCTTTATAATCGAATTTTGTTCGAGAACTTTGCTGCACGGGGAACAATTGGATATTTCACCAAGTAGTCACTTAGGTCTCCTGTAGACTGTTTTTCAACTTTTTTGAAGGTTCTTTAACGTAATATGTGGAAAACTGAATGCCATCAAAACTTTGTTTCTATCTTTTGTTCTATGTTATCTCAATAACTTCGTGTTCTAGGTCCAGTTTTGTTTTGTCAAAGCGAATCTCGTTTTGACAAATGTGTTTTAGCTCATGTTAATTATTTTCTCATTGTTGTGATTAGCACACCATATGGCAAATATTGATAATTGCCAGCCATTCCAAAACAGTTTGTCGCATTGTGGTAGTTGACGAGGTCAGCAGAGAGTCAGCATGTGTTTACGATGCTGCTGGTAATTGCAGAGGATTAGTGTGCGACGTGGGAAGATGGCTGGTTTACTTCTTGAGCATGGGGGAGTATAAGTTTTATTGAAAAAGGTAGCTACCAGCGTTAGATTACCAAGTTCTTATCATTTTCGCAAAAACACTGACTTTGAGTCTTAGGATTCGTCAGCGAGCGCATTCAAATACGGGTAGCGATCATTGATGCATGCGTAATCACCACGGCGCATGTCAAGGCTAAAGGTCAATGGGACGAATCATAGCGGATCAGGGAAGACTTAACGCAAGTAGAGGGATGGAAATGTGAATAAATTTCAATATCATGGATTTAGGGGTGAGGCTGAGGTCACTGCTAGTTTGATTTGAAGTTGTCAAGGAAAACAATATTTTCCGAATGAACGCATGAACAATGTTGGAGGGTTCTTGCATATCTCCTCATTCACATGTCTAAGTTTCATGTCCATCACAACTGGAATTTTTCATTTCTAACTTGTGTGACCAAGTTCTTTGATTGCATTTTTCTACACTTCATGTATGGTGTCAAATTACAGAGCGGTCGGGAGAACAGTGAAGATGTTGACCTTGCTATGGTTCTTGTTGGACGTAAAGCCAAGGATTTGAGGAGGTAGGGCCTCTGAATTGTGCAGTAAATTATTTCCGTCTTTATCTTGAATATTTGCAAGTATATGTTCTTAATTTAGGCATTTACGAAGAGCAGTAGTAGATCATGTGAGTGATGCATTCCTGGACACAACTACCCCGCTGCTAATTCTGATAGACGCGGCAAAGCGAAGAGACAGTGATGCTACAACGCAGGCTGGACATATGTTCCTTGATCATGCCAGCAAGATTGTTGATGTGAGTTTTGATCGAACATTCTAAAGTTCTTGAAGAAGTAGAAGGAGGATGTTGGCCGTTTAGGTGGCACACTTAGCATGTGAAATGTCGTCAGATGTAGAAGGAGTACGAATAATTCGTTATACAGCAAATCAACTGAAGAAGTTGGCTCCACAGGCACTGTTCCACCTTATCTCCTTGAAAGTTTTTCACAATAATTGGATTTATTTTGAGGTAGTGAATGCTGCACATCTTTTGTGTGCTCGAGGAGACAGCAAAATTGCTCAAGAAAATATGGACTTATTCCGAGATATTTGGCAGGATAAGGTATGTTAATGACTGTTGTTAATCCACAGGACTAGACTTCCTAATTTTGAAAAAATTAGGTGCGACTACTGACGATGGCAATTGACTCGATTATGACTCTTGATGATTTCTTAGCAGTCAGTGAAGCACATATCGTAGAAGATGCTATGACTGGCTTGCAGGTTTGTTCTCTCCTGTTTTTTTTTTCGATTTTCGACTTTTGATCTGTTTTTATGTTCCATCGATCAAAAAGTATCATATATAATTACGTCATGTATACCTGTATGGATACACCTATGATCAACTTTTTCTCTAATTACGACTTTATTTTGATATTCTATATTTTCCGCTCCAGGCTGTTCACGAAGGCGATGGCGACATGCTTGACAGAGCGTCTGGCGCGATTCGTGGCAGATCTTTGAGGGTAAGCAACTGTTCGAATTTCGCGTAAGTGCTGCAACTCCTGACAAATTCTAGGTATGCTCAGCAGTTGATGCTGAAATGGATGCTTTGCAGCCGAGTGCTTACACGGAACGTGTAAAATTAGCTACGAGGAGATTGAGGGATGATAGTGAGTTGTATCCTGAATTCTGAATTTGGTTCGAGCGCTTCACTGAATGAAGACTTGATTTCCTAACTTGAAAGTACGTATATAACGTAAATCTATTGTTCCAGTGCTAAGCCAATACGCTGTTCGCGCGGAAGCAGTTGTTACACGGCTAGAGGCTACGAGTGCAAATTCTACTCAAGAAGAAAGGTAAATTGGTTTTTTATAGCATGCGTTCCTTTTTTGGCAGAAGTGTAGCTGTTGCATTCGTGTAGGTCCATGTAATTCGCTGCTACTGAGCTTTTACAGAGATCGTGACTCGGATGAGTTCATTAACGCTTGCACTTTGGTGCACGATGCAGTGAAGGAGATCCGAAATGCCCTGTTGGTTAATCGACATCCCGAAGATGTCGACTCAGACAATGAGTATGAAGATGATGGACAAACGAATGCACCCGACAACACGAGCAGGGTAAGTATTCATGCATTGGCAGAGTTTTTATGTGTTCATGAGATTTTTATAGATATCAGAGGGAGAAAATCAACAACGAATTATGCGTCGTTTGCCTGAAGAAGACAAGAAGAGAATCCAGGAACAGATTGATGTGTTCAAGGTAGGATAATTCTACTCTTTACTTTAGCTCGTTACATACTCTGCCGTGAATATTCATTTTGTTGTTTACAGATCACTCAGACCAAGTTCGAAAGAGAGGTAGCCAAATGGGATGAGAGTGGTAACGACATCATTGTATTAGCAAAGCATATGTGCATGATTATGACGGATATGACTGATTTTACTAGGTGCTTAACATTTTCTTTTCATTTCTCGTTTCAGGTTTTTGTCATGGTAATTTAAAATCTGTATTACAGGGGTCATGGTCCTTTGAAGACGACCATGGACGTAATTCGAGCTGCGCAAGAAATTTCAGTTGATGGATCAAAGGTTAGCCTTTGTTGCTGGATCAACTGTCTAGTATTTCTCCGTATTTTTTTCAATGCCATGCATTGATTTTACAGCTGAATGCTCTGGCGAAACAAATCGGAGATGAAAGTGTGGACTCGAATACCAAGGCGGATCTCTTCGCGTACTTATCTCGAATCACTTTGTATTGTCAACAACTGAATATTTGTAGTAAGGTAAGAAAGCAATGAATTATCATTAGCCTAGCTGACTTTGAAGCGCACTTTTTGTTGAAATCAAAGGCCAGGTCGGCATCGAGTTTTGGCTAAGCTGATTTTATGAATGGAGTATAAACACTACGAATCTCAATGCGCTCCTATATACTGAACTTTACCCCTTACCTCATTTGCATTTTGGAGTTATCAAAGGACATATTATACAAATAATTGTTTTCTCATTTGAACGGATAAAAAATGTTGTTCAGGTAAAAGCCGATGTGCAACAAATAGGTAACGATGTGGTTGTGTCCGGGTTGGAATCGGCTATGTCACTGATTCAAACAGCCAGGAATCTCCTGGGAGCTGTAGTATTGACCGTCAAAGCCGCTTATATTGCCAGTACGAAGGTGAGTCATTGGGAGTTACTAAATCAGAATTTGTTGACTTTTACCAAGGTTTACTTTCCTTTATCACCTTCCCTAAAAGCCATTAAATAACTACACAGTGTGCCCAAAGTGAACGCGCTCGCGTTGAAGCGGCAATGGCACTGTGTGCAACGCCATTTTTACGTGAAGACGATGACGGTAAGGTCAGCGTGTGTATAGTGTGCTTTCGAGTGTTTTTGTTTCTGATATTGAACGTTTGCGCTGTGGTTGTGGTTGAATAATCAATTTGTCTTATCTGCGTACGCTAATCATTAGAGGTCTGAAATATCGTGATGATGTTTTCTTCGAGCAGGCAATGATGTTTGCCTGCACTCTACGCTTCTCTCATGGTTTAATCCCAGCTAAGCTTATGCTTAGGAGCTAAGCAGTCGCTATGTATTGAATAACTAAATCTTTCCTTTGATGGAAGTGAGCGGGAGGTGGGGGGAGAGGGGTGGGGGGAAGGAGTTAGAAAGGTAAATCGCATAGATTTTTCAAAATCTGTTGCTGTTTACTTTGGTTGGTATGTGCAGGTATCCAACGACGCATTGAGTGGGTGCCATCGCGAACTGTCTTGGTCTTTTCTGCAAGTCGCGGTTCTATAGGAGACGCAGACAGTCCGCAATGACGTCTAAACCACACGACGATGAATACCAGAGTTTATGTGTAGTGCTGCTTGGTGATAGTATTCAGTTCAATTAATCATAACAAACCCTTTCTTTTACAGTTCCGTCGGCATAATTCACAAGCTCCGTACGTACAATGGCGAATGGCACCTCCGATGAAGCAGCCTTTAGTACCGGTTCAGAAGAAGCACGGTGTCATACGTCGAGCAAGTGAACGACGTCCAATGGCACCAGCACGAGCCTTAGCTGAATTTGTGCAGTGAGCATTCTTTTGAGTGAAAGTTCGATATAGATATCTTATTTACCAGACCCTTTATCTATGTTTATCTCTTTTAACTTTTCATGCTATTCTCGTTTTTAGAATTTGTTTATGCAGGGGTAGAGCTGCTGATTAAATTTTGGAGGATCTATTTTTTACGTGGTTTTGGCTAGTAGACACTGATGAATTTTTTCTTATATTTTCTTTAGTCAAGAAATTTTCCACAATATCTTGAATCTGCACATCCGAGCAATGAATCAATATAGTCTGGTTTTATTCGCTGTGTATTTATTCGTAAATTGTAATAGTAATGTATCGGTCTCTCATAAAGTAACGTTCCACTATATCTACTGATGAATGATGTATGATAATTTGCCATCGATACCGTTGCCTTGTTCACTTAAAGTAGCGTTTCTTGCACTACTTACCACATATGCATTGATTACATGGTCCGCATTTGAGATGCTATACACATATAACAGGTTAATGAAGATTTTATCAAATGTTTTTGTTTTTCTGTGGTTGTGGTTTGCAGGTCGACAACAAATGAGATGGCATCTCAAGCTAATAGAGGATACGCTTACCCTTACAGACTTTGCAACGCAGGGGGTAGACGGGTAGGTCCCACTAGGTCCTGATCCTACTAGGTATGGCATCTAAGGATATCATGAAATGCTAATGCGCTATCACACTGCGATCATCTTCCATTTTCCATCTATCGTAGGAGGTGAAAAAACCAGGGCGGATAATTTTGCTGCATGTCCTTATATCCATACTCAGGGAAGTTACATTTGCTTCAAAAAGCAGTGTTTAGGTGGAATGCAGCAAATTACGTGATTTAACATTTGGAGCATAGAATGAATATCTCAACATAATCAGGACTCTTTTTTGTAGTCTGCCATTTCGCACCATAGCATTTTTTGCGTTGCCAAGTTACGACCCTCCGTCGGATCGTAATGCCCCGAAAGATAGAGTTATCGGGAAATTTCTAGAACAAGTGTGGAGCGGTTGGTCTAGAAGAAGGAAATGGGGAGTACCAATGAGGGGTCATTGTGAACGATCTTGTGCCAATCGTGCTTGTTGCGAATCACATCGCTCATTCTAAATAATTAGGATGTTATATTAACATTTTCCAAAAACGCCTGGAGGTTAACAAGCCCTAACCTTGTTTACAACCCCTTTTGATTAATAAAGAGCTTGGCTCCTCAAGAAGTTGGGGTACTAGCAATATATGGTTATATTGAGCCATGATTCATTTTGACGCTGCTCATTTCGGAGGTGCTGCTGAAGATGACATTCTCATCGGCTATTAGTTTTACATGGTAAGTTTTGCTAGGCATACGGTAGAAGATTCATTAGCATAGTGAATTGAATTTGGTGTTTTAGTTTTAAGGGGCTGAAGTAATTACCGTAATCCTACGGTAGGACGTCTTGGGAATCTGTGTATCATTACGAGTCGATGGCAACGCTCGGAAGCATTCGCAATTGGTTTTGAAAAACGTTTGTATACAAATCCGAATTGCAGAAAGCAGATGGAATTAAAATACTTCTACCTCTGAAATTTATGGAAAACAGGGTCAGGTTCCGAGCGGATCTGATGGTGATCCTAAAGATTTGATATAGTTTTGGATTCTTTCTTACTAATTTTCTTTGATCGTTTCATTACCATCACAAGTATGCATATGTTATATTTCGAGTAAACAGATCAAAATAAAATAAAGTTTTGGTATCTGTGTTTGTCTTAGTCCGTAGACAATATAGCTACCGTAGCTTCTCATAGGTAGACAGGGTCTCGTCCCTCATGTACCAAAATGTCATTAAATTTCTTTGAAAACGACGATGTTAGATTTATTAGGTTGGCACATAAGTTTTGCAACTTTTCTCATAACTTTCTTATTATTTCATATAGCTTTCTCATTCTTTGCCATCATGTAGAATTTGATATGAACTGCAAATATGAGCAAACCGTTTGAATACTGATAACGTAGCAGAAAAAATTTGAGCATTTTTCGAAAAGTGTTGAAAATCAAGATTTTACGGCTTTTTTTTGGCAAACATAAAGCAATACAAAATCTGAATCAAACATATCACAAAGAAGTTATAAGCGGCATGTAGCGAAGTTGACACATTAGAATCAGTAGAAAAGAAGTGAATTTCAGAGACAAATCAAGGGCGCTTTTGAGGAGTAGAAAAAGCCAAATGCGTCAAATTTGGTGTACAGTCTGTCAGTAACTAAGCTACGAAAGCTCAGAATTCGTCAAAACTTTGCATAATAGTTTGACTCAATAGAGTATCTTTCAATATCTTTCAACTGTCGCTAAAATGAAATTCATTTTTTGAAAACTTTCGAAAGAGGCTTTTTCATGCGAAACTGGTCTCGTTTTTGTTCTCAGCATGTCGAATAACCCCCATAGGCCAAGTTTCAGCAAAATCTGACGTAATCTAAAAATTCTCCCATTATACCGTAAACCTACCTTACCTTCACATAAGATGGAATCGGCAGAAAATATGTGCATTTGAAGTTTGCATTATAACCCTTACATTCCAAAAATGAATGCGCTACGTTCAAGAAAAAAACAAAATTATTTAAAAAGTCGCATTACTTGTGTGCCAACCTAATAATTACCACAGTCGTACTGCGGGACTTCGTGGGAATCTGTGTATTATGACGAGTCGATGACAACGCTCGGAAGACATTTGTAATAGTCTGAAAAAACGTTTGTGTTCAAAGTCCACCTTTTTTTTCGACAAAAACGAGCAAAAGTACAGAAATAATAACATCGGAGTATTCCTTACTTACCTCAAAAATTTATGGAAAATAGAGTCAGGTTCGGAATGTAGTATTGGATAGTTATTCTAAGGGTTTGAAAACGCTTAGTTTTGGATTTTTTCTCATTTTTTTTCTGGTCACTTCAGTGTGTTCAAGAATGGGTAGAAAATAAACAAACAGGTTTTGGTAGCTGAGTTTGTCCTAGTCCGTAGACAATACGCTACCGTAACTTCACGTGCGGTAGACAGAGCCTCGTTTCTTATGTACCAAAATGTCATTGAATCCATCGGAAACGGAAATGTTAGGTTCGAATGATATTGGCTGTGATTATATTGCCGTAAATGGTAAGAAAAAGCATTTTGTCAAAAATTACATCGACACATAATCACTCAGCTAAATTAGCATCTGTATATGACGCCAATAAAAAATAATTTTTAGATAATTTTCTACCAGAAGCCCCTTGCATCTGACTCATGTGATTATGACGTGGATAGTGTGTTTGTTTTTTGCAACGTTGGAATGGTTGACAGGTATGTCAGCGCGATGCTCAATTTCGTTTATACTAAATAGCTAAGGGATCATATTACAGCCTATCGACAGTCCTCTTTACCAAGCGTTCCAGCGCGCTGCACTCTGATTTTCTGCTATTGGAAGGTTTTCGTAAAAATTTTTACCCTGTCACGAACTTCAATTTTTGTCAAATTAAGAGCGAATTTTTGTTGGAAACTGATTCTGAAATCCAAATGATGTTGTCGATGAACTACCCATTTCGATAGATAATTCTCTTAATTTTTGATAATTTCTAGGGCAGCCAAAATGCGCCCACCATTGGCCTCTGTTGGGGCTTTGGCCCTCATTATCTGGACATTGCTTTGGCATCCGGTCAGTGGTGACGACTACGCAGATATTGAAGTTTACGATGTCAATGAGCCGAGGTGAGAAAACCTAATCTAACAAAGAATTTTTAAAAAAATGTTTTTGACACGTACAGATCACGACTTCTGATGGTAGACGGTCATATGTGGTTTCATGCTGGACGTGGAAAAAATATGACATTCAAGACTAGTGGTGGTGGATCAATTTATATCGATCACACTGATGTCTCAAAATTGCCTGAACTTGTAAGTTTTGCTCGGTTTGAACTTCTAATGAAATATTTTTCCAAAAAAGCAAGAGACTTGGAGAAGTTGTTCACACGTTTGGAACAAGTTCGAACATGTTTTTCGTCCCATTTTGACTAGTAAAACATCCAAAACAGGTTTACAGATTTGAACTTGTTAGGGAATCTGCCCCGTTGCCTCAGACTTCTCATTACTTCCGAGTATCTGTGCTGCCTTTGATTTCTCTGTTTATCTATAAAGCGTCGAATCTGACCTCTCCGTAAAAAAAATTCCTTTCTAACTGTCCTCTGTTGCGAAAGTATACAGTGTAGTAGATTTTTCGCTCGATATAGTGTGCTTGCGGTGCCGTGGTTTTGCTGTACATCTTGCGCGTGAAGAAATAGCCCGCCTGTAACGCCGGCGACTTGCGCGGCAAGCTGACGGCATATTTGGGGCGCTTTAGCAAAATCTCGGCATGGCAAGCCCACCGTATTGAAGGGAATATTAGACTGTACTTTTTTGAGACTTTCTGTTCCTACCAAACTCATCTGTGATCTTCCACTTGTGGCAACAGGTTCATAGTCCAGAACATTTGAACGCAGTTGCACAGCAGTGAGCGTTTGAGTGTCAAAATTGAGGTACAGTCCGTGTCAATTGCATGCTCTCTTCTCCTTAAGCGCAATGAACTTCGCGCCACGTTCGCGCGCGTATGGCTCGGGCATTCAAATTGGCCTCATCGATTGGAGATCCGCGCGCAGGTCCTTGCTTTGCGCATACGTAAGTCCCATGCGAAAGTGAATAAGTAATTGACATTCGACTATGTTCGAAAATAGATGCTTTCAAGAAATTATCTCAGCTTCGATCTTTTCGGATTTTCATCACTTCTGTCGCTATCACTTTGCTCGCAACCCGTTCATGCTAGCTTGCGCTGTTGAGTACGGTGAGGTGCAGGCGGTACCAGGATTGGATCCGGATTCCATCGGGATCTGAGACGGCACCATCCCAAGGACATATGACATTGAAGTAATTTATCATATTAGTCTTCAACAAATAACAAAAAACAGCTAGTACAAAACAACTAATAATTCAGAGGATAAAGCTAGTAATGAATGCAAAATGGGATCAGAAAAAATCGTATAGCCGAGGTTATTGTATTGGCTTTGCACTTTCAACTTCTATGTATTTTAGAAGATCAGCACGATCCTCAGCTTTCTTTAATCCATTATATATCATTTTCGTCCCTGGCATGAACTTTTTGGGATTTTCGAGATATTCATCCATAGTTTCGCGCGTCCAAACAACGTTCTGAAGTATGGACACTGATCGTAAATGGTCTGAAATATTCTGGAGAAACACGGTACGGAAGGAATCAGAAAGCACCATTTAGATTACAATTTTTTGCAAGTCACAATCAAAAACGGTAAACAAACGCTTCTGCAATATTGCGTGCTTTCGGTCTCATTCCATGGACTTGCTGCGAACATCAAAACGGATTCTAAATGCTCACCTTATTCTTATTTGCATCTGAATATGTGTACCCAGGTAAAGTGCCGCTAGTTCTGCCCATTATTCCATTCAGTGTAGGACCCTGTTTTTCAGCAGTTGTGTTGATAGTATGACAGTGCAAGCAACGCAATTTGTAGAGCTAAGTAAGAGAATTTAACCAGAAGTGAGAGAACCTGTGCAAGTGTGCAACATACCCTTTTACCTTTTTCGTAGTCGCCTTCCGGATTATCCATACTGGCTTAGCGTATAGCACTGTAGCTGAGTACAGTAGAGGAATTCCTAGGCGATTGAAGCTTGAGTCATTTAAACTACCCTATTTTCCGGAGTATAAGCCGCATTTCTTTTCACCGCGCGCGGGCTGAAATGCGATGTCGTTCGCGATGCGCGAAGCCGCATAAGCAGCAAGTACTATCCATTTCGCCTAGTAATCTAATACGGGCTTCCGTTCTTTATTTGGGTTCTTCGCAAGTGTGTTTGTTTGTAACAAAATTCTCTATCTTCTCCTTTATTCTCCAAGAATCCGCTGAACAATAAAAGAACGTTTGAATACCAGTAGTAACATGGAATCGAGAGGTGATGAGCTTCAAACCAAATCAAAATCAAAATAAAAGAAAGCACAAGTTCAGCACCAGTAAAGTCATCATTGAAAAAAGGAAAGCACAGTCAACCAGTAGTATCATTTAGGAAAGAAAACACAACCTAAACACTCGCAAAGTCATATGAAACAAGAAAAAAAATAAAGGCATGACTATCCGTACTAGAACGCACCGAGTTTTCAATTTGCTATATAGCTCTTTTCAGAGGCGCTTTCGCGCCATTTTTCGCTGCGGCGGGTGCGGCTTATACAAGGTGCGGCTTATACTCCGGAAAATAGGGTAAATTTGTGAATCGCACACTATGCGCGGCAACCGACGACATTCTCACTAGTAACTCATCAGTGATTATCTACCGTAACAAACGGTAGAAATGTGTGTTACTAATAAATGACACCAATTAAAATGAAGGAGACAAGGAAACAATGAGAAAATCACAGATGAGCAAGTTTTAAGCTTACATGTCATCAAATAACGCGCATGGTGCGCACGTGAAAATATTCAAGGATATGTGATTAAAATGCAAATGAGCTCAGAAGGAGAAAAATACTGCGTTGTGCTACTTTTTGGCGGAGCCGAATCGATAATCAGAAGCCAAAAATCAACGACCACCTATTGAGGAGGCAGTCTGTTTTCTTACTTTTCTGAATTTCTTTATGCGTTTCTGTTGCACCATTTCATCATCCTGGTACTATATGCGTTTCACAATCAAAACAATGTTGATTTTTAGCTAATTTGAAGACAAAAAGAATTCCCTTTGATCTGCAATATCGGACTTCAATCCATATTAGTCAATTTGTTTTTGATTTCTTGTTTGCCTCGCACCTTTCCATTAATTTTGCTGAGGAACTAGCCGCACCTGGACATTGTAGATCCAAAAGCGTTTGCTAAGCAATGCCTGTGCGACATCACTTTACTTGCGCGGCGCTGCCACTTGCTCTAATAAGTTTCGTTGAGCCGTCGGACGCACGGACTGGTCGTACAGCCCGAAAATTGGTCTAGCGGACCGCGTCGCAAAGGTTTTGCGTCACGTCAGCTATCGTCGATTCGTCATCCGCACGGACTGCTCGAATGCTGCTGACCACGCGCGCGGCTGAAATGTTCGAGGGCACGATTTGTACAATGGCGGATTTGTACTGTTCTATACTATTTAATCTGTACCGTTCTCGCGTTAGCTCGCGCCGCGCGATCCGCAGTAATGTCCTGTCCATGCGGTCAACGAATCGACGATAGCTTGTTTACTCTCTCTTCAATCTTTTCGCTCTCTCCGAAAGCACGCATATGCAGCGCATACATCTAGGGCCGCAAGTGCGCAAATTCACGCCGACGGTGTCTGGTTTCGATTGGGACAGGCTGTTGCTGCTTTCTTTCGCAATCATCTTCTTAATCTAGGCTCCCTTACTCTCTTGAATAGGTTTATTGATATCGCTGACAGAAAAGCACAATAAATGACTCTAACAAAGAATCATAAGGCCATCTGCAGGAATTTGCACGGATCATCCGCACTCCCAAGCTTGCTTTTCTCCTCCAGGTCATATTTTGCAAAACTAGCGCGTGCGGTCGCAGTGCGGACGAACCGGTCCACTTCTGCCTACCCTGCGCGATTAAAACGACTGGTACCCAAGCTAGTGCTTGACATCTACTGTATACACGGAGATACTCATAATGAGACGACCGACGTAGACAATAGCTCTAGGTCTCGGAGCGTATCCATGGTGCGGCATATGTAAGCGAGGGTGAGCAGGATGGTAAAAGGGGTAGAGGTTAACGCCATTTTTCACTAATGGCAATGAGTAGAACAAATTAGAATTCAAGATGGGGGCTTCATCCGCATTTTTAAACGATTCTTGTTTTGCAGATCTGCTGAGGGCAAGGCATTGAATGAGTAGGGTACGATAGGGGTTCACGGGAAGAGACTCAACGATTGGGACGATTGTAATCACTAGTGTGTAATATAGGCAAAATCATAAAAATTTTCTGCTCGTTCTCCATTCACGTAGATCCACTCGAACATTGCAAAAGCTCAGCTTGGGGAGAATCACATTTTTACATACCAAAAATACTTTAAAATGTTTGTTTATTAGGTTACTATGCGTCATGCGTATTGCAGATTAATGCGTTATGTCTATCGGAAAGTAAATATGGTATAACATTATGATCTATCAATACTAAGTCATATGGGTGTCTTTGCGCTTTCGACTTCAATAAACTTGATGAGATAAGCACGTTCGAGTGCCCTTCTGACTCCTCCGAACCACATCTTCGTGCCTGGGATATACTTCCGTGGGTTGGCCAGATATTCGTCCAGCGTTTCTTTGTTCCACACCACGGCCTGAAAATGACGACTTTGTTTTGAAAAAGTTATTGTAAGGTTCTTACATAGCGGCGAATGCTTTGTGAATACGGGTAACCGGGGACGGTACCGGCTAACCGACCCATGACACCGTTCAGAGGCGGACCAACATGCGAGCGGGTCTGAGTGATCGTGTGACATCTGGCACACCTCTTTTTGAATATCTGAATTAATATTCTGGCGGTATGACGAGAGGCAAGAGACCTCTACCTTCTTGCCTTTTTCGTAGTCGTCATCTGGAACTTCCTTTGTGCTTGTCGAAGAGCTATTTGAATCTCTGCTGGTCATTAAAATCTGCAAGTATAAATGAGGAGCACTCTTAATATAATTATCCTTTTATACTGCTGCATTTTCACAGTTTGAATAACATCAATCATCTCCTGCTAACATCTCATCATATCGGTCGATCCGCTAGAGATTGAATATCGAGTCATATGTAACTCAACGTATGAGTCTGCACACAATTCGTGGCAACAGACGACACCTTACTAGTGACTTCTTAGTAAAAACTCTTCTAGAGTTCACTGGAAGTGAGCAGGTTTTAAGCTTACTAGTCATCAAGTTAGCGCGCATTGTGTGCAGTATGCACATTAAGTTACAAATGGAGCCGACAATTTATTAGAGGCTAGAGAAGTTTTCGCTTTTTTCATACGATGTCTATGAAAAAAACAGACTAAAAGCATCCTGCAGCATCTAAGCTTGCGCGTTCGACTCAAGTCGTCGGTGTAGCGAATTTGCCCGCTCGCAATGACTCATAGGCGTCGGCATAGTGAATCAAACACTATGTCTATGAAGTATGTAGGAGTGGAGACATCTTTGATTAAATGCAACATAAGAACGGGAAGTGTTGAAATCTCATGAGAGTGATTAGTTGATAATCCAACTATTTCTTGACGGAAAATTTACCCTCGTCAAATCAATATGAAACCACCTCGTTGGAAATAATGAGTTTATTCACCCTTGTGTGTTCGCACGCATAAGGAACCAAAGCTCTTGAATTTTTTCTTCTGTAGTACAGATCATCTCTTACAGGCCATCGCTTTTGTAGACTTTTTTCTATCAAGAATTCTCAGAATATTGCTACCTTCTGCTCCTTAACGGATGCTTTTTCTTCGTTTTTTTTGTGAAGATCCTTATAGCAAACAACAAGCTTTATTTGCGTTCTTTCAGGCTCAATTCACTGCTCTTCGCGAGAAAGTCGAAGCTCTTTCAACAAGGCAAGATACTTTCAAATCTCGTGTGGATTCGCATCAGTCGACTCTAATCTTGGTTGCTACAGCATCTAGACGACTCCTTTCTTCGGTAAAGAAAGATATTGCTTGTTTTTCAGCATAAAATCAAAAGTAAGCGGTTGAACGTAAATAAACCATTGCAGACGAGAAATTTCACACTCGAGCTGAAACATCTGCAAGAATGGAAACAAAACAAAACTATGAAAGATGTGCGATTGCGAAGGTTCATGGGAAGGTTACAAAAGAGCATAAAGTAAGTTAACAGCAAATAAAGTTCAAATTGCGCTTCAATAAATTTCAAGTCTACATGTTATGAACATTTTTTGGGCCGTCCGCCAAGCCCCATTTTATTTTGATTTTTTGAAAATTTTTGAAGTTCCAGTTTCTCCGGAATGTGCGGCTAAAGCCATACTCCTTTATTAGAAAATTTCTGCCACCCCTTTCCCGCGAAGAACTTCTTGAACATATGCACATAGCAGTGGCGGTCCGAGAGGGGGGGGGGAGGCGGAGAAGGGCGGGGGGGGGGGGCGAGCCCCCCCCCCCCGAGAATGGGTCGCGAAATTTTTGAAACTTACCTTATGGGTTACAAAAGTGTGCAAACGACTTGTTTATTTTTGTAAATAATTAAAATAATTTTTAAAATTTTTTAAAAATTCAAACTAGCCTCATAAAAATTTTTTGGGGGCTGACGGCTGACGCCACGCCCCCTTTTTCCAGATTTTAGGGGTTGGGGACCCGCAAAAACTTTGAGAAGTACCCCCAAAATTTTTTCGGAGTGCGTGGCTAACGCCACGCACCTTTATTTGAAAAAAAAAAATTTTTCCGCCCTTCCCCCCCCCCCCCCGGTCCGAAATCTTGCGATTGCCACTGGTACATAGTGACTTCGCATGAAACTCGAGCCGATTTTTCTCGATAAAATTTCTGTTGGAAATTTTTTTGGTAAATTTTTTAGACGACTTTTTAGAGCTCTTGCCGATATGTTGGCAATGGACGGTTGCGAATCAAAACCTTGCCAGTATGGTGGCACTTGTTTGCCTCGATTTGGCAAAAAATACAACTGCCTATGCCCACCGTATCGTACGGTACGTTAGAGTCCATCAGAGACGGCGTCATTTGACATGTTATACTACAATACCACCCGTAATTTGTGAAAAAAAATGGCGGCGGCACTTAACTTACGCGGCGCCGCCGCAGTTAGGTGACTTTTGCCGCGTCGCGCGGCAAAAGTCAGCGGAAAAAGCGGCAAAAGTCACCTAACTTTGTCGCGCAACGTCTAACCTTTTTATAAAAAAGACCATATCTTGATTCAAAATTTATGAATTCTATATATAAGAGTACCATTCAACTCAGCTCGGCGAGGCGCATCTTCCAGTATACAGATGTGCCTAGCTGTGGGTTATAAGTTTTTTTCCTGGAATTTTAGTGTAAATGGATTCAGTGTGCTGATTCCAGAGGCTAAAATGCAGGAAGACAAAGGGAAATGGTTGGAAATCGCATGAGAAGCACACATTGCGGAATGCCGTGCGTGCTGTGCAATGTACAATACCACTCACAGAACGGGAATCTCGCGAAATTCCAGAAGTTTCGCGATTCGGAATATCGCAAATTATGCAGCACCATAACTTCCTTCGGAATGAATATATTCTAAATCCGAAAGCAGCATTGTGTTCAGCTCGTCAAGGCGAATCTTTCGACATACGTCATGTCATCTATATCTTGTTTCCATTTTCTCAAATTTTTCTGAGGAGGTCCCTTTGCAAGTATGTAACGCAGCGACTATCCAACATAAAAGCTTCCAGTAATCACCATTCGATAGTGTTCTTTTTGTACATAACAGTGCGCTGAAAAGCTGCCGTAGACTTTTTTTCAAAACAGAAAAAAGCCTTGGTAAATTCTGAAAAAATCACTCGTTTTCAGATTCTACTCGCCGTAACTTTCTTTGGTGTGGATATTTTCTGAATCCGAAAAATGCATTGTGCTCAGCTCATCAAGGCAAATCTTTCGGTATGCAGAATGTCCTTGATATCTCGATTTCAGTATTCTCAAAACTTTCTGCGGACGTCTCTTCGCAGAGGTGTGAAGCAGCGCGTATTGCCCCCAGTAGATTCAGAAAGAACTTTTAGATAGTACTTCTTCTGTAGATTATGTAGCGCTAGAAATTAGAGGCACACTTCTCTCCAAAGGAGATAGAAGGGCTGGAGAATTCTGGAAAAATCATGTCGTTATAAATTTTCCTCAGCGTAACTCTAAAATATGAGGCTCTCTTGCTAAGCAGATGTGATTTTCGTAGTCAGCAGGTCGGATAACCCTTATGAGCAAGTTTTCCAAGATGTTCGAGTGATTTCATTTTTTCTCGATTTACGCTCGGAAGCTCGCCGATGAATTTTGGCCAAAATATTGATACTCTTGAATTGTAAGGGAACTTCGCTTACAGACGTTTTCGAACACGCTCTTTACGAAACTCGTGGTCTTTAAGGATAATAGGGCCTTTCTGGTGAGATACGGTGAGGTGACTGTAACTGAATCACGAAAGTGCGTAAATTTGCCCGCACTTCTCACGCATCTTTCAGAAAACTTGCCTGCTTGCTTTTATGGCTTAGAGTTGGTGTGAACTGTGCTATCGAATGGTGCATGACCCAGGCTCCAGTCTATAAAATTCTCAGAGTTACGAGCCTACGAAAACACATCCTCATGAATTTTGCCCAAAATGTAAAAATCGCATATCTCGTCGAGATTCCACCGTGAGTGCTTGTACAACACGTTGATCAAATCTTTTCACATCCTTTATGGATCTTATTGTGTTAGATTTCGTGATTTGAGTTCTAGCCACCGAAATATAATTGATATTCAACTGAGCAGCTGAAGCATACGCAAGTGCCATATTCAATACAGTGGGAGTCTTTGGGCTAAGCGAACACAACATCCGCCATGCGAGTGTCATACAAGCACTCACGGTGGAATCTCGACGAGATATGCGATTTTTACATTTTGGGCAAAATTCATGAGGATGTGTTTTCGTAGGCTCGTAACTCTGAGAATTTTATAGACTGGAGCCTGGGTCATGCACCATTCGATAGCACAGTTCACACCAACTCTAAGCCATAAAAGCAAGCAGGCAAGTTTTCTGAAAGATGCGTGAGAAGTGCGGGCAAATTTACGCACTTTCGTGATTCAGTTACAGTCACCTCACCGTATCTCACCAGAAAGGCCCTATTATCCTTAAAGACCACGAGTTTCGTAAAGAGCGTGTTCGAAAACGTCTATAAGCGAAGTTCCCTTACAATTCAAGAGTATCAATATTTTGGCCAAAATTCATCGGCGAGCTTCCGAGCGTAAATCGAGAAAAAATGAAATCACTCGAACATCTTGGAAAACTTGCTCATAAGGGTTATCCGACCTGCTGACTACGAAAATCACATCTGCTTAGCAAGAGAGCCTCATATTTTAGAGTTACGCTGAGGAAAATTTATAACGACATGATTTTTCCAGAATTCACCAGCCCTTCTATCTCCTTTGGAGAGAAGTGTGCCTCTAATTTCTAGCGCTACATAATCTACAGAAGAAGTACTATCTAAAAGTTCTTTCTGAATCTACTGGGGGCAATACGCGCTGCTTCACACCTCTGCGAAGAGACGTCCGCAGAAAGTTTTGAGAATACTGAAATCGAGATATCAAGGACATTCTGCATACCGAAAGATTTGCCTTGATGAGCTGAGCACAATGCATTTTTCGGATTCAGAAAATATCCACACCAAAGAAAGTTACGGCGAGTAGAATCTGAAAACGAGTGATTTTTTCAGAATTTACCAAGGCTTTTTTCTGTTTTGAAAAGAAGTCTACGGCAGCTTTTCAGCGCACTGTTATGTACAAAAAGAACACTATCGAATGGTGATTACTGGAAGCTTTTATGTTGGATAGTCGCTGCGTTACATACTTGCAAAGGGACCTCCTCAGAAAAATTTGAGAAAATGGAAACAAGATATAGATGACATGACGTATGTCGAAAGATTCGCCTTGACGAGCTGAACACAATGCTGCTTTCGGATTTAGAATATATTCATTCCGAAGGAAGTTATGGTGCTGCATAATTTGCGATATTCCGAATCGCGAAACTTCTGGAATTTCGCGAGATTCCCGTTCTGTGAGTGGTATTGTACATTGCACAGCACGCACGGCATTCCGCAATGTGTGCTTCTCATGCGATTTCCAACCATTTCCCTTTGTCTTCCTGCATTTTAGCCTCTGGAATCAGCACACTGAATCCATTTACACTAAAATTCCAGGAAAAAAACTTATAACCCACAGCTAGGCACATCTGTATACTGGAAGATGCGCCTCGCCGAGCTGAGTTGAATGGTACTCTTATATATAGAATTCATAAATTTTGAATCAAGATATGGTCTTTTTTATAAAAAGGTTAGACGTTGCGCGACAAAGTTAGGTGACTTTTGCCGCTTTTCCGCTGACTTTTGCCGCGCGACGCGGCAAAAGTCACCTAACTGCGGCGGCGCCGCGTAAGTTAAGTGCCGCCGCCATTTTTTTTCACAAATTACGGGTGGTATTGTAATTACAGCAGCATTCGCTGCGAGACCCACGCAAGCGATAAGCACAGGTAGGCGAGTTGCTTCCTTATTTTCTGCGGCTCTGTCATCAGAATCTAAAAAATATAACTGAATCTTTACGAGCATGTATTTTGACAGAGGGGAAGGCGAGCAACCAAGCACTCCGCCTACCCTGCATTGATTGGTCTCACAGCGAAGGCTTACTGTGATATACAGTGGCTGTGTGAAAGTAATAGTGTCCCCATTGCAGGGTGACAACTGCGAAATCGATGTTGATGAATGTGCAATGTATTCGGGTACGCATGCTGGTTGTCAACATAATGGCACCTGTGTAAATCATGACACCGGCTTTAGGTAGGATAACAAATAAATTATCAAAATTTAGTGAAGTTGTGATTTTTCGAATATGAATTGAACAAAGGAGTTCGAGAGGACATAATGTAAAGGAAGTAGAGAATTGGAACTTTTTGATCATCCCCAAAAATCTTCTACAAGTTCAGCACGCAGTTTCGCTTCAATTTGCATCTGTATAATCTAGTAATTTGACGTAATTGCGCACCTACCGTAACCCTGTACCCGACGGCCAGAAACGCTCTTGTGAGATTCATATACTGTTTATTAAGCGTAGTAAAATGATGGGAGACATGAACTTTGGGAGGGACAGGGAAGAGGAGTGACAATTAGAATCAGTATAAGGCCTTGGACAGAGTTCACGCGATTTGATCGTCGCTATCCAATCGCTACAAGACAACTGTTATGAGTTCATTGCATGCCGATCAGCTCGCATCTCGGTTGTAATCTGATCCTTTTCCAGCACGAAATTTTTGATTGTAAAATGAAAATGAGTGAAAATCGCGGCGATTAAATCGCGACGATCAAATCGCGTGAACTCTGTCCGAGGTCTAAGATGAAAATACTCGTGTAATTCGGTGGCTATCCCAGATGTGAATGCCCTACCGGATATCACGGACCATTATGCCAGTATCATCAATCAACTTGCTCACGGTCGATTGAATTATGTGGTCCTCATGGACACTGTATTGATGTGGATACATCAGAAAATGACGTGAGTATTCCAAATTCTTTTCAAAGAATCTTCAGATTCCCAAATGAGCTAATCTGACTCTGAAGACCATGTTTTTCACCCAAATGGTGTTTCATACTGAATTCTCAAAGATGTTCCTGACGAGAATCTTCCAGGCGTCCTACAAATGCCTTTGCGATTGGGGTTACAAAGTTTCCGATGACAAGCAAAATCCCACTTGTGAAGATGTGAACGAATGCTTGGACAACCCATGCCATCCCGGAGTGGACTGCATCAATTTACCTGGAAAATTCCAATGTGCTGGCTGTCCCAAGGGTTATCATGGTAGGACTACTGTATCATACGTTTGACAGCTAGATTACTGTACTTTTGCAGGGAATGGCCAAATCTGTGCTGACATCGATGAATGTGCTGCTGAAACCTACCCATGCTCTAAAAATCCTCGTGTTCCTTGTTACAACACTATCGGTTCATTTCACTGTGGAAATTGCCCGCCAGGTAAGTCCTCTCGGTACCCAAAAAAGGTTGTGACGCACAGTACTTCTACCGTATCCAGGTTATCGTGGTGATGGACGCACTTGCCAAAGAAAATCTGCTTGCGATGATGCACCTTGCTATCCTGGGGCAACTTGCGTCGAAGATCCGTCAAGTCTCAATGTTGGAGGCTTCGCCTGTCATTGCCCTACTGGTATGATGGGTGATGGAGTGGGTAAGTGATTTTATTCGGATGTATGAACACTTTGTGGGGAATCGCTGTGAGGGTTTAGGTGAAAATGGCTGTCAGAAGAGCAACTCAACAATTTGTAGAACCGAAGGTCACTGCTTTAATGGTGGAACATGCAAGGTAAATCCGCATTTTATCTCAGCTGCAAAAAGACAAATTCAAATTCAAGATGTTTCTAACTCTAAAATTCGAACCTGCTGTATCTGCGTTTGCAAACTTTCACAATTTCACACTATAATATAAGTCTGAAATTCACGAACTTTGAGGAATTGAGAGATAGTTCGCAAGTTCTAGAGAAATTCGAATGTTACCCTTTGAAATTTAGAATGATGTAGTTTTGGAGTGATCTATTATAACAGCTACTCTTAACTCCTTTGAGTTAGTTAACTAGCTCCATAGATCTCCAATACTTTGCAGAACCCATTCAATTTAACTTTTGCCTTCTGTCCTCAATTTTCTGATCCATGAATCTTTTATCTCCAGCCGATATCAGCCACTGAATATCGTTGTGCTTGTCCGGAGTTTTATTATGGAATCCATTGCGAGCAGGTAAGCTTACTTTTTGCATTTTCAAATGAAGCTGGAAAAAACTTTTTGTTTGTCGGTCTTTCACTAATTGCACAAATTCTGAAGGTATCCGCTTGCATTGGTTCACCTTGTGAAAATGGTGGCGTTTGTCAAGACGCAGGTATTGGAAAGATCAATTGCGTTTGTCCTATCGGCTTCTATGGATCGCTGTGCCAGTTTGAAGAGAACAGTGAGTTATCTGTTAAAAAAAAGATTCTGTTTTAGTAAAAATTCGATTTTCAGCTTGCGGAGGTCATTATACGGATTCATCAGGAAATCTCACTTTCTCGACGGAGACAGAATCTGTAGCCGATGATGGTTGCGATTTTGTTATCGCTACTGGAGAAGACAACTCGGTATAGCGATTTAAATCACTAAAAATAAAAAATGCAATTTTAATGAAAGAAATTGCGCGCCTACATAATTGCTACAGTATTCCTACAGTAACGCATAGTGTTACTTTCTCTTATTTCTACAAACTTTTGCAAGCCGCATCTATTCTCTCATGTATTTTACTGTGACAAAAATCTTGAAAATTTCGTTAGAACTATGGCTATCTCGAACGTAATATTCTGGAAATCTCTCGCATGGGCACTCCTCGATAGATTCACGTTTTCTAAGAAGAACTTCAGAGCGTTGCGAACTCTGCTAATGTTTTATTTTTTTCTTGGAAAACTTGATAATTGAATTCACATTTGTTAATTGTCATTCCTTCATAGCGCTTCTTATCTGCTTCGTCCCCTTTTCAGGCCCTTCAAATCACATTCGAAGTTTTCAAAGGCATGAGCGGTGACTCGTCTGCTTCGGACTGCTCCAGAATGCCAGCCAATCTAACTCTATACGATGGCTCCAGTGATAATGCTCAAGTTTTTGCCACTTTTTGTGGTGATGTCGGTAGCGGAAAGGTAACGAGCTAGGATACCGTACTTCGTCCCGCCTACGTTTACCGTACCTCAGGCGCCTGTGATTGGTGAACCAATAACGATGACAACTTCGAGTGCATTGCTTCGTTTCAAAGGAACTAAAGGATCGTTCTCGCTCAAATGGGCAACAAAGAAGAGAGGTTTCTATTTGTTCAAATTTCATCACTTCTGGTAATCTCTCAAAAAAGACTATTTTCTTGAATCACGTTCTTCTCTCGCTTTTTCTGACCATATGGCATCGAAAACGTACCTCACCAAACCTGTATATGTCGATACTGTTTCAGAATGTGGTTACCGTACCAACTTGGCCACAGGTACACTTGTTGTACCACCTCATCATATGGATACAGCTTGTGATTGGTTCATATCGGCACCGATGGAAAAACATATTGAGATTGAAATTCCTACGGTAGAAATGACCACAGGACTGCAATTGAATTGTTCTGTTAATGAGGTGGAGGTCAGCTAAGACAATTTTTGGAAGATTCACATATCTAGGTTCTTCTGAATTCTTACTATGAAATTTTCAGGTCTTTGATGGATACACATCTTACGATGCTCATAGAATTGTTCACATATGCGAAACTACTAATCAAACAACTGTAGTAAGTTTTATGGAGAAGCGGCCGTTTTGCACCCTTAAGTACATCAGGCTACCGTAATCTAGCGCAGTATTTGAAAGGCGCATGTTTGCCGCTATGCGTCGTCGCACGCTGGCTTTCATTTAGATTGCACTCAAAGCGCTGCAATACCAGTTTTTTTTTGGGCAGCACAAGATTACGGTAGCTTACGGTATATGAGCGAAAGGGCCCAAGTACTACGTTGGATGATATTGTATTATAGGTCCGATCAACAGGTCCATTCCTCACTGTTTCTTTCCGAAGTAATGTCTTCGGAGGTTCAAAAAGCCCACTGCATCGCGGGTTTACAATGAAATACAAAACTTTCGAACGTAAGTTATTTCCTTCCCCATCCCTCTCTTAAACGATAGCAACATTTTTTGTACATCCCTGTTTTCAGCTGATCGACGCTGTGGTGGCGATATCACTAACAGTGAAAAAGACTGGGAATTTGCTGGTTTCATAGAAAGTCCAAACTATGGCGGATTTTATCCTCCAAACATGGACTGCTCATGGAGATTGGATGGCATTGGGTCCGATAATACATCCACCGCAGACCAGACCCTGAAGGTATGTCATCTACCTTTGGCCAAAACTCTGGTCTTCTTTTCAGCTGGAATTCCTAACATTCGATGTCCCATCGGCTTATCAATTTTCCTCCTCAATGTGGCAGCAGCAGCTGGACTTTCCAAGAAGGGCTTTTGGTCTCTTCAATAGCATTGAGCGTAAGACAGTCAGCTAAAATTTACAATAAAGTAAGCGACTTGGAGGGGGGAATCCTCAAGATGATTAGCACCACATAAAATATGTAAGGAATTCACAATTGAAAAACTACTAATGTTTACAACCCTACAAAGTAGAAGTTTGTGAACAAAGTTCCAGAAGTTCCTGTATAGATTCATAACCCGAATATATTCAAATTATTTCAAGTTTTAATAAGAACAAAAATAAAGATATCAATTTTTTTAATATGGTTATAAGATCTTAATCATCAAAAACTGCGCGACCTTTTCTGAAAGCTTTCGCTACCGCCTTCCCTTTACATAAGGTTAATTTGAATCTTTACGAAATTTCAAGAACTTTCTCGGCTTTATAAATACCCCATTTTTCCAGGTCGAATGGGACTACCGTTCCGACGTGTTAGTCCATTAATTCCTTTCCGACGTCAAATGGTCTACCAATGCACAGAAGACTACCTACATGTGGGAGATTTTGCTCACCTATATTTTCAACAATTAATGAAGTTTTTAGCTCTATGCCGATGGACAACTGGTACATGATAGTTGCAATGCTCATCGCCCTCCAGCCACAATGTTAATGCCCCTTCCGCAAATTGTGCTTCGGTTTCATTCTGATAGTGCGACGCAGGGAAAGGGCTTCAAAATAGCGTACAGCTTAGGTTAGTTTTGCCTTTTCTGCTCCGGGGGAGAAAAGAGGAGGTGGAGAGTTTGACTCTTCTTAAATTGTGAGGTTCCAAGAGCATACTTTCAGTGTGTGAAAAGAATCTCTATGGGAATGGAACCATCCAGACTTGGAATTATCCGGATGGAGGAAGAGCCGGCAAGTGCACATACATCATCAGAGCGGACCAAAGTCATGCAATCAGGTTGAGGTACGGTCTTTTATGCTTTGTGGGGCCGCAACGCTGCCTAGGGCGACTGAACTTTTGATATAATTGCCACGGGTGCGATTAACCGAAGAGCAAAGGGGTTCCCGCATCCTGCACTCACCACCACATATTTTCTGTTAAACAAATGGGCCATTTGATGTTTTTATGGTTTGTCCTGGGGAATTACGTAGAAATAATTTTTCGATTTTTCTAGATGAATTTAAGCGCGCATTAGCTTTCGTGGAATCACGGGAGTAGTGGGAGTTGAGAAATTTTATAGATAGAGATCAAGCCAAAAAGGGGCTTGGCTGCTGAAACCTTTATACGCTTTGCAGATTCAAAACTATTGGAATGCGGAGTGCTACTACATCACAGTGCTTCTACAATCGTGACTCGCTAGCAACTGCCACGGATTACGTAGAAGTATTTTATTTACAGAAAAACCTCAATTTTTCACTTTCTGTTTATTATTTCCTCGCTGATTCAGTTCTCTGGTGGAAAAGAAGAAGACAAACAGATTAACCAACGTTACATATGCGCCAGATATCCTTTCGTGGAAGAGGGAGAGTTTATAATGAGCGCTTCGAGACCTTTGATCATTACCTACGCAAGTAGTGGTGACGAGAGGAATCGTGGGCTGTTGATGGAGTATACAACCATGGATGTTGGTAGGTTGAATTTTTTGCAAATAGGGGGGGGGGGGGGGAGGCTGCGGGGCGAAGATTGAAAATTCGAATTTTTTTAGGATGTGGTGGTGTTTTCTCACAATCAACTGGCACTATAAACTCTCCGAACTATCCTGATAAATACTTACCGCATATGCATTGTGTTTACCAGATTCAAGTCTCATGGGTAAGTTCACTTTACTCCGCATGGGCTCCCAACGGGCTACATGGATCCCTTTTCAGTCCAAGCAAGTTCGCCTTACTTTCGACAATTTCGATATCGAGGTAGTGCAAAATGACGAGTGCTCATATGATAATGTAGCCGTCTACGAATCTTATATTAGCCCTACTGAGCATGGAAAATTGCTGGGAAAGTGGGTATTCTCTCATTTTTTCAAGTGCTAGAATATAATTTTTGTTGTAGATTCTGTGGTACTATGTTACCGCCTACGCTTCTATCGAGCTCATATAAGATGGCTGTTGTATTCAGTTCGGATAGATCAATTGCCGGAAATGGTTTTTCGGCTAGGTAATTTTTTTGGATTTCAAATACAAAAATGGCAAAAATCATGAGCTTCGCAATTTTTGACCGCTCATAATCAAAAAGAAAAAATGAGAAAGATAAAGTAAGAATGGAGGGTGAAAGAGAGTTTTTTAAGCAGTTTTCTCAACTTGACGTTCTGCAGAAAGGACCCATGTGGCACTATGGTTTCAGAATTTTTTTTGGGGGGGGGGGGGAGAGCAGTTTTGTCGTGAGGGGGCGTGGCGGACTTTGAAGTTTTTAGATTTTTTGCAAGCCTGCAACCGCAGAAGAAAATAACTCGTAAAGCTATCTCGAATTACCCCCCCCCCCCCTTCCATTCTGTCTATCAGTGATATCTGGTAATTTTTTTTTCAGATTTGAAGGAGTTGATCCATCAGTCGATTGTGACCGTACTTATACAGAACCCGTAGGAGAAATCGTCTTTGTTGGTAGCCAGGGACGATATTCGCAGTGTGATTTCCACATTTCTGTAAGAAGAATTCTTCGGTAATTTTTGAATTTCGCGAATTTCGACATTTTTAGGTCCTTTCGAATGCTCGACTTGTGCTGAGGATGAATAACGCTAGCATACCATGCTTCAAATCACAGCTTATACTAAGGTAAGTAGTTCGACAGCTCGTTGCCCCCCCCCCCCTCCCTCTTGCAAATTTAGCATTATTCTTGCAGAAATGGTGCCACCGATCAATCACCTGGATTTGCTTCCCTAAATGCTGAATCGTCCATTTGTGATGAATACCCAATGCCGACGCTACGGTCCCATGGTAGCCGGGTATTCCTCAGGCTACAAACTACGGATTCGTCGAACACATACTTCAACATCAGCTATGAACAGATTATTTCATGTGAGCTGCCCCCCCCCCCTTTTTTGACTCGAGCAAAAATTATTTTTTTAGCTTGCGGTGGACATGTTGAGGGAGTTTCTGGTTCTATAGCAGCTCCACAATACCCGCTAAAGGATTCAAGAAGTCTGGATTGCTCATGGACCATTGCTGTCGCTCTTGGTGAGATTTATTTGGAGAGAATTTTGAGCTGGTGGAACTCAATCATTTTAGGAAATCGTGTTCGTTTCTCGCTTGTAAATATAGATAATCTGAAGTCCAGCGATGATAACGGTTTCTGCGGAATGTTTGCGGCAAATCGACTTGATGTGAGTTGGCACCTTTCTCTCAGAAAAAAATATTTTCGGAAAAATCAGGCTTAGCTCTTATAAGTGAGATCACAGGAAATCAGCCAGACAGTCAGCCCACTTTCGGTTTTCTGAATTCCTCTACACATAAATAGTAAACGGACCTTTTGCACCGATACAGTATACTGTCGTAATCGCGCGCGATTTGTGAAGTGCATATGATATGCGGATTTTTTCAGCATCAAAAATGAGCTCCATGAGTTTATGAAGTATAGCGCACCCAATCTTGCCTTCAGCAGTACTGCGAAGCTATGGTGGCTACGATATATTGTGCAAAAAAGGCCCCAAATTATAGGGTGGTGCAAGGGGGCCCATCGAATGTATTGTTGCAAAAAAGACCTACTAATCTATGTGACTGTAATTAGGATTGGGATGACATTTTTCTTTGAGTTTTTTTCGATAATCTGGCATTTTTTTCGCAGTTTATTTTTCTAGAATTTATTTTTTCGCTTACAAGTAAGAATAGTAATAATTCGAAAACCTGTGGTCGTACAGGTACTTGATAGTCCGCACAGTGACGCTCGACTTATGCGCCGTTATTGTCGCAAAGTGGTCGGAGCCGAGCCCTTGACATCAGATGATCATGAAATTGCTGTACGGTATAAGCAGCATGGTGGAGCTATGCTTGGTCCTTTATATGGATTTATGGCACATTTTTCCACAGGTATGGTATAAAATATTAGGTCGGTCCGAAAGTTCGTGCCGTTTTTAGACCCATGCTCAAACTATTTAGAGTAAAAATAGACAAACGCTGTAAGCACTACCTGATGCAGAATTTCTTCCTCTTTCTAGCAGTTATGTATTTGTCTAGATACCATTGATGACCGCGCAAACAACTCTCAAAATCTCCAAACCATGATTTTCACCTAGAGTTTGGCTTTTTTGAAATTTGCATTTTCAACTTTTGAACTAGCTTTGATGACAGTTGGATAGAATAATCAAAATGCAATACAATACAGTTTTCTGGCTTCTCTAGCCGGCTTCTCAAAATTTTGAAAATATTTTTTTGATGCTACCAAATTCCATATTTGGGCATTCCCAATCGTCACGAACAACAAACGACTGGCAATCAAGGTGTCATTCGATGCAGCCTTTTTTCCTCCTTCTGAAAAACTTCTTTTCTCTCTAATCTGTTTGATATTTGAATAAAATCATTACAATATTTGTTTTCAGACGCGTCCCAGGCTGTTCTCAGAAAATTCGAGATTCAATAATTTGAACAGCTAAAAGCTCAGTTGCTTGCTTATATTAGTGCTAAGTCATAATCTGTTTTTGAAAGTTCAAAATTGCGATGATTTATCACTGTTTGAAGCGATTGTATGATTCGCTACTTCGCAAAACTGATGGCTTTTGGAAATTTATCTTAAAAATCAATGAAAATTAGTTAATGAAGCCAAAAAAATTCATTGTATTGCATTTTGTTTGTTCCATCAACTATTATTAAAGTTAGTCCAAAAGTTGAAAGTGCAAATTTAAAAAAATAGCCAAACTCAAGATGGGTGAAAATCATGGGTTGGAGATTTTGACAGTTATTTGCGCGGTTCAATGGTATCTAGACAAAAACATAACTATTAGAAAGAGGAAGATCTGCATCAAATAGTGCTTACAGCGTTTGTCTATCTTTATTCTAAGTTTAAACATGGGCCTGAAAAACGGCAACTACTTTCGGACCAACCTAATATTTTCTTTTGTCGTTATCAGCCTATTTCACTTCTTACAGTGTGCACTGACATCGTTTTGACTGATTTTATGGGTTCCATACAATCACCTGGCTACCCGAATAATGTCTGGAATTCACAGTATTGCTCATGGACCATCAAGGTGAATTCGCTGTTCGTACGTCCTGTTCTATCCATCCCTGGAAACTCTTAACTCCCTATATTCCGCAGGTACCACCCGGAAATCGCATTGAACTCGATTTCCATAATTTTGTTGTCGATAGACGTTATCGCTATGGCGTAATCCCTGGAAAATGCTCAGATAATTGGCTTAAGGTGGTTCAAGGAAAACTTTAACCATCGATTTTTCTATGCTGTATTTATTCAGTTCGGAGAAGGAGAAGTAGCCAGAGCCACCGTAAAAGTTGGCAATTTCGTAAACCTCACCAGCAAATTAGTCGAAGCTTGTTCTGACGTTGCCAGGCCTATGATAGTGAAGGTAAAAACAAGTTTGATAAATATCTGGAAGCCAGGTCGACGTAATTTTTTAGAGTAAAAACAATGTCATCCACTTAACATACCAGTCCAAGAAACAGGAACAAAACCATTTCTGGTTGACATGGACAACCATCGGTGAGTAGAGTCTTCTATATGTAAGAGCTTACCTAAAAAACGACAGGTAGTACTAGGGCGCTAGTTACGGAGTTACCTTCATTGCTCAGATAACTGTTTACTCCTTACCTCGTTTGTAGCGATTTAGAGGAATTAGCTAAGCTATTACCCAATAGAAAAACCCATATAACTTATTTGTGGAAGATATATGATTCGAAACACAGCACACCCTGTTATTCCAAGCTAGCTGTCCAGTCAACATCCTTTGATAAGATAGAAAACACAGCTCTAGTTGGAACAAACAGAGTAATTTTTCAACCACGAAAAACTTGTGAGCTCTTGTTCGAGCATCAGCTCAGTTAAAGGGCCGGGCATACTTCACGCGATTTCAGTCGCGACGCGACTTGGCAATTTGCCAGAAGTCTTCAGATCCAACATTGGCAAACTGCACATGCATAGTGTGTATAACTTACGTAGATTGATAAAATGCCCCATCTTCTGTACATTTAGAATCCTACAGTGAGTTATGGACACTTGGAATATTGCCAAATCGCGTGAAGTGCCCGGCCCTTAAGGCCTTCCAATCGGATACTCCAATCCGTTTCTACATGAAAATCTCCAAGTAACAGACCCTATTTTAGTACAATACAATATAATACAAGATATTGAGAAGGGCCAAATAGGACTTTTAGTAGTAATTATCCCACTTCTTTGGTGGAGAGCACCATTTCGAGAAAACAATTTTGATATCACGCTAGAATAAAAGCATTTTTTCAATAGGTATTGCAGAGTTGTTAAGCTAAGCGATTAGGAACATTTACAAAGAGCAAATCTGGAGAGAAAAGGGTCTGCAAATTCAATTTTTATTGTGTCAAGGTTGCGGAGGAACTCTCATTTCACCATCGAATATATCTGCCAATATCAATAGATTGGATCGTGACTCTGAGCAACTGGAGTGTGGTTGGCAGATCAAGGTATGGGTCTTCATTTGCAAGTTTTGCATTCCTATAAATAAAATTTTGTCTCGACCAATGCACACGCATCTCACCTGATTTATAGGCACCAGTTGGTAAGCGTATACTTCTTATAGTGGATACGTTAGCGATCTTTCAAAAAAGTGAGGCCAGCTGTCAATACAATGATGAGAAGCAAGATTTTGCTGGAATGGCGGTAAGTGGGCAACCCATTCAAAGCAAAATGGGAGCGGGAAAGGAAATAAGGTGTCATTTTTGAAATTTTCATTTTTCAGATCTTCGCTGGTCCTTCGAATCGCTCCGGATTTCCACAGTACACGACATGTACTAGTCTTCGCAATTTTACTTATAAATCACATACAAATGAGCTTTTCCTTCAACTTAAGGTATACGGTGATTTGTCAACTATTTTTCAGCGCTAAAATCAAAAATTTTAGTATGGAATGAAGTCAGTGATGCCGGATGCTGGAGGCTACTTTTTCATGGCTAATGTCGCCTTTATCGATGCAGACACTACGAACAGGGACGAATGTGGAGGAATTGTTGAAGGTAAGCGGGGGGGGGGCATCACGTATAGTCAAATCTTGCAAAGCAATCTCCTTCCATATATCTGTATATGGAAGGAGATTGTATTATACTGTCTGTATCTCATCTGTGAGGTGGTGCATCGTTTACGATGTATTTGATAAATAAATAAATAAATAAATAAATATCGTCGAGTCATACTTAACATGTGAATCTGCACACTATGCGCGGTAACCGACGACATTCTTGCTTGTGACTCTTCAGCAAAACCCTTAGCATAGTAAACTGTAGAATTGTGTGCTACCCACCTATACAGGCACAAGCAAACAAAGAGATATAAGAAAACAAGGAGAAGCATCGGAAATGAGCAGGTTTTAATCTTACAAGTCGTCTGTAGCGCGCATAGTGTGTAACACGCATATTAACTCACAACTGACCCGACGACATGAACATAATGTTTGCTGCAAAAGCTATTACCGTAGTCATAGCAAATTTTCTATCGTATACCACGGTTCGCTGATTGGTTAAATATGGCACCACTGCGGAACGTAGAATTGAGCCTACACAAGTGGCATCTGTCCTTTGTCTCAACAAATGTTTCTCGAAAAATCTTTTGTAAAAAAATCGAAAATTTTATGAATAAACTGAAATAAAAATTTTTGTTTAGTCACCTCTGCCCAGCCTTCCACTATCCACTCTCCTAAATTCCCAGAGGAATATGAAAGGGGAACGGAGTGTCAGTGGCTGTTTAAGGTATAGCACAATTTTTGGTACTTTTTATTTATAAAATCACACTTCAGACACCTCCCGGATATTACTTGATCTACACCGTCAAGGAATACGTAACACCAAATGCACATGAGCAACAAACTGAGAAGAAATGGATGCCTAGGGCGATGAACAATTTGACGTTAGTGGCATATGTTTTTCTAGTCAGAGAAGGGTGAAAAGGGGTCTTGAGAAGAAAAGAAAAAAAAAGAAAATCTTGATGAGAGAAAGCCCACAGATTTGACGTAATCTTTGATTCTCTTTTTCTTTTCTTGATTTCTTTTTCTCGAGTCGGGATTCATCAGATCAAAAGTGAAATGTCCCACTTGGACAGAATACCTTTTTTCTTCACTCTCCATTTCTTTTCCTTTTCCATCCTTGCTTTCCCTATTCGAGACCCATCAACTGAGCTTCAATACCACTCTATTTAGGTGCCAGGACCCACTTCCTCTGATTGAAGGAGCTCTCACGATCTATGGAGGAAACGATACGTACGTCTTTGAATTTTCTCAACTAATGCGAACTCCCCGTTCAAAATTTCTTCGATTTAGAAAATCCGAGAAAATTGAGCGAATATGTTTGGATATCGACAAGCCCAAGGAAATTCCTGTGTTTACAAGAGAGGTATAAATATTACATATTAGTTGGCCTACTGCGCCAATAAATAAATTATTAACAGTAAATAAGAAAATAAATCTGTTTCGTTCCATGAAATTACATATTTCATTTCAGTCTCTGGTCACATTCCGTGGAGCTGCCGCAGCTAGAATACATATGTCAGGAGAAGACCAGCATGTTAAGAGAGTGAGTTTAGTGGTTTAGTTGAACGGGACTTCTGTCTACAGTATGCTACCGTATCCGGTGCAGCAACGAGGTTACGCTAGCATACTGTAACAGTTCAAAAGACGCAAGGATGGTGCTCTGCTCGCAGTAACCAAGTTTCCAAAAATCATCAACTATTAGGTCGTTCCGAAAGTAATGTCGTTTTTTCAAGTGAACGCTACATTTCATGGAAGCAAAGTTTCTATAAGATCTTGATAGCATTCGATGCATCATTTCATCCTCTTTCTAATGGCTGTAACTTCACTGCAGAATACTCAATGGGCGTTTGAAAAATTACTAAAATCTTCAACCCATGCTTTTTGGGAAGGTCAAGTTTCACAATTTTTCTAACCTTTTGTAATAACTCCCGAAAGGAGTCCAAGTAATGGATGGATAGAGCAAACCCTATAGGAAACAGTACCATTTTTTTCTGCTTTCCGTATCTTGTCATAAGTTTTGTAGAGATTTTTCAATGAAGTCACCGAATTTTTGCAGGCTTGTCTCAAACACGTATGCATCAAACACCAATAAACTTTCGGATTCTGAAACTTACAAAGATGGATTATGGTTTAACACTAATTTTACAAAGCATATGAGCATTCATCGCTTCAGATTAGCAACTTTCGGAAATTTCGGGTACAGCCTGGGGCGCCCTGGAAAAGTTGAATTATAATAATTTTACCCGGAAAACGTGATGAATCAGAAACAAAAACAAGTGGTAGAAAGAGGAGAAAAAGCTGCGTCGAATGACATCCGAGTTGCTTGCCGGTCATTGTTCTGTGAGGTTTGAGTTGACCATATATGGAATTTGATGGAACTGAAAAATTGACTCCAGAAACTTTAAGAAGCAAGCTAAGGAAATGAGAAAATTACTCTATGTCCTATAGAGTTAGCTCTATCAACCTGTCACTTGCTCTTCTTTTGAAATTAGGTACAAAAATTTAGAAAAATAGCCGAACTTGACCATGGCAAAAAGCACGTGTCGCAGATTTTGGTAATTTTTCGAGAACTCATTTAACATCATGCAGTGAAATTAGAACCATTAGAAAGAGGATGAGATGCTGCATTGCATGCTTCTAAGATCTCTTGAAAATGTTGATTCCACGAGTAGTGGCGTTCATTCGAAAAAAGCGACATTACTTTTGGAACGACCTAATATATGGTAAAGAAATGTTTTAGTTTCAAAACTGACATTTATATTCTCAAATTTTTCCTCGTTCAAGATCTCTTCTTTTGGAAATTGTGTAGCTATATGGTTGTTAAGCAAAGGTTCAAAAATTATTCTTCCAGATTGGCTTCCTGCTTGAAGCTCGAACTGCCTGTGGTGGTTTAGTTTTAGCTGAAGATGTAGAAGGTGTGATGACATTCAACGACCTTGCGGAGGAAATTTGCAATATAACAATACGTAAAAAGGACGAATGTAGGCCTTTGAAATTTTTTGCTCCTTGTTGAAAATTGAATCTCAAGAAGTAATTTTTCCAGCTGCTTCCGGTATCTATGTCCGATTGGACGAGTTTATCAGCCGTGGAATTACAAAACATCGCAGTAATGATATGATGTTCGGCAATAGCTATATAGATATACAAATAGATGGTGGAGAAGTGTTAGTTTTCCAGAAATTTAAAAAAAAAATATTTTTCACGTTGTACCATTAAAGAATGTCCCGTGAAGCCAAGGGTCCCTACCTTGTCGAAGCTTCCACTGCTCACGAAGAGTTCCGCGCAAAGAACGAAATCAAACTGGCCTTTGTGAAGAAGAATTCTTTGCTTGCTGCTCGGGTCGTAATTGCGTACTCCACAGTAATTGACAGTACGTTTATATTTATTACTTCTTTTTTTACCATTTAAGATGAATTTTTTTAGACTGCGGTGGCGAGATCACATCTCGGGAAGGGTTAATAAGCATCCCGGATATTGAGGGTGATTTCGATTGTGTATGGACGCTAAGAGAAAACCCTGGCAATGTAGTGAGAGCGTCTGTTAGGTGAGTTGAATCTGTACATTTGGGACAACCCCGCCCATAGATTGATTCGCTTTTCTTTAGTGAACTGAGAGTGCCATACTCTCCGAACTGCACCGATTCGTATTTGGAATTCCGAAAATGGAATGCATCAGGTCCGCTGATCGGACGTTGGTGTGAAAGAAGTACATCGATGTTTGGCTTGGTGAGTTTACTATTTTTTTTCTACCTCGTTCCACCCCTTCCCCGGTCACGGATTTCAAACAAAGGGATTCGTAAGCAAGCGGTTCGGAAAGTACTGAAACTTCAGTATCACCATGCCTTTGAATCTGTCTGCTTTCTCCTCCTACCCAACCCCTTAGTATTCTCAACGCGGTCCTTAATTTTTTTTAGGAAGAAGTGATTTGGATGAAATTCCGCTACAGCAGGCCAGCAGAAATTGACAGCGACGAAGATTTGATCAAACCTGCTATGAGAATCTTGTTTTCGAGAGGTACATAATTTTTTCAAAAAAGTTTGGGTCCTTTAGAAATAAAGAGAGTTTCCTTTAGTGCATGGTGGCGCCACGACTTCCCATATAATCCAACAACCACTGGTTCTGATTGATGAAATGTACACCAACTTTATGTGGATTGTTGAGGGAGAACAGGACAAGGTAAGTCAAGAAGTTCTGAAAGCCTACAAGTACTCTTCTCTTTTTCTAGGGACTACTCGTCCATATCGATTCTATCCGCATTCCTGAGGAAAATTATGAAGGCTATGATGGCGTCAACAAAATTGGACTTTTCGTAAGTTTTCACAAAATGCGGAAAATTTCTAAATTGCAAAAATCTTCTTTTCCTGCTTTTCAAAGCCATGAATTCTCCAAACCTGATATTTTTGGCTTGAAAATAAACCTTTTTTCTAAAAATGTGAACTTTTCGTTTTAGCTTTCCGAGGCTACGGACAACCCAAGTCCAAATTTCGTCTTGAATAATGGTCGACCAGGAAGCGTTAGATTATCTGGATTCATTCCACCGGCTGGTACGGTCATGTCTGGAAATTTTCCGGCATCATAGTAAATTTCTCCCAGATATCTACTTACCGTATTCGAGAATGGAAGTTTCATTCTTTGCGCCACCACGAAGTGAATTTAAACTCAAGTGGAAAGTTGTCCCGAAAAGAAATGCGAACTATACGGAAGAAACGGACCAAAAGAATGCCACACGGGGTGAGCCCGCCCCCCCCCCCCCCCCTCCCTCCTCTTGAGAAAAAATTCGATTGTCAAGAACGTCTAGAATTATATTTTTCTTATTTAGTGTATACCTGCGGAAGTACACTTGTACCAACCTGGGATTGGCAAGAAATTAGCAATCCAACTGCTCCTGGAGAAAGTTCGCTAATTTTTCTTTTTTCTTGAATTTTCTGCAAAATTAAATGTCAGTTATGCTTTAGCAAATTATGAGAACAATTTGCACTGTAAATGGACTATAGAAAGACCAATAATGACTGGATTGCGTGTTATGGTAAGATTTTCCTTTAATGGAATATTCCTGGAGGTTACTGACTTTTCTAGATAAAAATGATGGATTTGGAAGATGTGAATGGCTGTCCATTCGATTTTATCTCATTGCTACCAGATCGTGATATCGACGAAGGCGATGGAGAGTTAGTAAAAATATTTGATCTGAGGTACAAAAAGAGAACAAATTAATAATAGAATTAACAGAATAAAAACGAAAAATTCGAACATCAATGTGGATTTCAGACTAGATGGAAACCAAAACGAACTAAGTGGCCTTCTCTGGATAGTAATGTAGGAAGGCCATACGAAATTAAATGCAAAAATAAAATAATAAAAGAGTAACCTAAGCTTCCTTAGTAGAATCGTGGAGCTGCTAACTTAGAAAGTGAAATCAAGAAGTAAAGTTATATGAAGGAGAACGTTTGAAAGACAGTGTGGACAAAAGAAGTATTTTCAGCTGAAAAATTATAATTGATTTTTAGCGAGTTCCATGCCGGTCAGAAATACTGTAGAGCTACACAAGTGAACACTACGTTGGACTATTCTTACAACAAGGTAAGACCTTATTATTTGGAAATAAATCTGCTTAACGAAATATCAATAAAATCAAAAATTTCTGGATCAATTTTGGTCAGCATTTATGCTTCGTATAAGTTGAGATCTTGCTCGGAATTCCAAACTATAGTTTAACTCGTGAGCATGAAAAATGCACTTTTCACTTTCTTATTTAGGTGCTTTATGTCCACTTTGTTACCGATCGTTCCAGGACCGGCCGCGGATTCAAGCTACAGTATCGACTAAGTAAATCTAAGAATTTCCTACTAAAAGCATTTTTTATTAGCTTTACTGAAATGGAACTGTTATAGCTTGCAACTCTTTCGACTACATTCGTCCATCATACGGACTTTTAGAGCATATGCTCACAAGCCCTGGATATCCAGAACCGCAGACTGATCAGGTAAATTATTGAAGATTTTTTTTCGGAAAGTGAATCCAATAAAATTCGTCTTTCTGGGTTCAAAGGCAAACATGATCCTCAGTGCTTACTGTAAAAGCAGAAGAAAAGTACTCATCATTACTTATAATAACGGGCTAAGGGTTGTTTGCGTGTTTTTATGTGTGTGTGTGTCTGAATATCTGTCTGTCACGAAATTCATAGCGCGAGTTCCAGGCAACGTCCTGAGCCCAAATTTTGCATAGCGCATGCTACCAGCATAAAAGTTCACCATGCGAAAGCACGAGTGGATTTGTTAGGTGGATCCCTCAGAAATTGCGCGTCAGCCGGGTCCAATTGGCTATTGGCCCGCATAATCGGATCCATATCACCACTTTTTGCAAAGTCGTGGATGTGCTTGGCATCTCAATGTGCAAGCCATAAGCTTTGGTCCAAAAAAGGGATCAAAAATCCATTACTTTACGAAAACGACGCCGAAGAGTATTGATTGCTCGATGGACGATCTGCCAAGGTTTTACTTGAGCATTTGAGAAGATTTTTACACAGAGATGTGGCTCAGGGTGTTATTGACCTTATAGCAACTATCCAGCCAGAAAAAAAGTTCAAGAACCTATTCAAATTTGCATTTGTTCTTCTGCGAAAAACTTCATCCTATCAAAATTACCGTTCTCACATAGAAAAGCTTTTGGAATGAGTAGTTGTTTACACTTTATTCGTAACCAGTGCGTCACCTCTGCTTCGCAGAGGCTCGCACTGGTCTTACTTTATATGCTTTACTTGTTCTCGCCCAATGATGTCTTTGAAACTCACCGTGCAATGACGACTACCACGAATGAAATGTAAACAACTACTCATTTCAAAGGCTTTTTCAAGTGAGATCGGTAATTTCGCGTGGATGGAACTTTTCGCAGAAGAACAAACGCAAATTCGATTAGGTTTTTAGACTTCTTTTGGCTTGGTAGTCGCCATAAGGACAACAATTACCGTGAGCTACATTTCTGTGCAAAAATCCTCTCAAATGGTCAGGTAAAACCACGGCGGTTTGACCATTTGCGCAACCATTTCTTTTTGGCGTCGTTCTGGTAAAGTAGTAGACCTTTGGTCACTCTTTCGCCTAAAGTCCATGTCTTGCACACCAACATGCCAAACACATCCACGACTTTGCAAAAAGCGTTGATACAGATCCAATTTTGCGGGCCAGAGGCCAAGTGGATCCGTCTGACTCGCAAATTCTGATGGATCCACCCAACGAATCCGCTCGTGATTTTGTATGGTGGTGTTCTACCCTGGTAGCATGCGCTGCGCAAAATTTAGGCTCAGGACATTGGCTGGAACTCGCTCTATGAATTTCGTTACAGACAGACAGACAGACACACACACAAAGTCACGTAAACACCCTTAGCCCGTTATTATAAGTTACCAGTCCGATCGTCCGGCTTCGCCGGACTCTCAGACTGTGGCTTCAAACGTGCACTGAAATTAAGTTCTGACGAATCCCATCATGAATGGCAGAGGCATACCTCTTAGAACTGAGACGCTCCATATCAATCTGCTTTGATTATATTATCAACAAAAAGTAAAAGGTACGATTATTTGCGGAAAGAGAGAATTATGCAGCTAAGCATTTGTAGAAATCACTCCTTTTGAGTTTCAGCTACTTTTCTTTGACTATGTTTGACTAACTTTGCTGATGATTCGGACTGAATCACTCTATATGAGAGACATTCTTGTTGAATAATCCATTATCAAAAATTTACTGCGATAAATTTCATCATTGACAACAATGAGGTGAGCACGAAATCACGGAAAAATCTGCCTTATGCATCGTAAAAATATGAGCAAAGCTTTTGACGCGAAGACAATGAGAAATAATGATACGTCCATAATATCTATTATCTAGATGCAAATGACGAACTATTCCAGATTGATGTGAAAGCAAATTTTGCAAAAAATATCGGATTCAAGGCCCCCATTCATTTTCACTCTTTGACGTAAACATTTTTGGTAACGATAATTGCTGCTCATGTCCTAAGTATGGCAATTTTGAAAAACATCGCAGGCTTCCTTATCATTTGAGCACACGGTGAAAATGTTTTCAGCATCCTTCTCAAGCGAAATCGTAATATCTATACTTGCTACATGTTGACAGTAAGCAAACGCTGCTAGCAGTTGTACATGATATAAGGAATTCCTGTAAACATGTTTATGCAAATTTAGTCTTCTATCAAATAAAAAACATGCACCTCGTGTATGAGAATTCCGTGATTCAGCACAGCTCATAGGCTTTCGTGTGCTCACTTTACATGGCACAATTTACTCTTGTATAATGACGGAGGTGATTGCTGAAGTAAACGAAAACAGTGCTGCTTGTCTTAGCAATCTTGAAGATTATCTACGTACATCGCGTTTAAAACCTTAGAACAGTCATGGAAAAAACTTGCTAGTGTTCTCGAAATTTGACTCGCCATAATTGATTCTTACTAAAGAAGCAATGTTCTGTGCATTTCTGCCATCTAAAGCAAATCAAAAAAAGCTGCTGTCAAGTTAAATTCGATACCGCTATCTTACTTGTCCTAATATCATTGCAGAAATACGAATCATCTGGTTTCTATCAGGTTTGTTCACCAAGTAAGTTTGATTTGCTCTTCTGACTAATCTCAGCATTGACTCAGACAGATGGATGGAAGGAAGAAGTACTTATGGAAACTTGATTTAACTATTTTATGCTCTCTTACTATATGACTCTTTTTTCTTACTTCTTTGGCATGAGTCATTTCATTTAATTACGTTGCTATCAAGAAGCTGCATAATTCTGATCTTTCTCTCATTTTCTTGAAAACCAAGTAATAGTCCGAGTAGTAGTAGTTAAAGTTGGTGCAAGTAAAACGGATTAGAGCAAAACCTCCTCAAAAACAATGTTTCGAACTGTTCTTGTTGGTGTACTCACTTTCAGGCCGGCCGGTGTTCGCACTCGGGAGAAGGCAACATACAGCTGCCCGTGACTAAATACATCTTCAGGGAGATAAACACCAACTTTTGCAAATGTCTGCCCCTGAGACTTATTAATCGTCATTGCAAACGCGACTTTAACGGGGAATTGACGTCTTCTCAGTCGGAATGGTAGTAGTTTTTCGCAATAGTTATCGATCCTCGGAATAACGGCTGGCTGGTCTCTTCGTTCCCCACAGATAAAACGGCAACCTAAGACAAAACGCCCTAGGGTTTCAATCCTCAGTCGTGTGCCATTGCAAAGGCCGTTAGTTACATCGAGGTTTCTCAAAAGCATAACTATGGCTCCCTTTTTCAGTCTCAGCTTATGAGGAGGCATTCCTGATGGTTCCAGGGAGTTAAGATACTCAACCGGGTAGAGTTCGGAATCCCCTTCATGAAGGATAGCATCGTCTATGCTTCTATAAACTTTCTCGTCGCATTCATTATCTACATGTAGACGTTGCATCGCGTCATCATTCAGTTGTTTAACATTAACATTTTTTGGAGCCAAGATGGCCCGTTCATAAAGAGTCTCATTTGTATCAATGACTTCGCCAAAAATAGCCGTCACGATATTGTCGGTAGTACAAATAATATCTTCATTCAAAGTAACGCGTCCATCTTCGCCGCTCGATCCGTCTCCGATTTCTAAAAGGAACTTGTGCCAATCGCCCCCTGCTTCCCGAGCGCGCACGTTTATCTGAAGCCGGTGTACCTTGAAGAGGGTCCAGAGCGGGGATCTCGTGACACATGCTTCGACGACGTCTTCTCTCTGACCATGCTCGATGACCGGTAAAATCTGACGAAAGTCCCCACCGACTATGAACAACTTGCCTCCAAATGGCCTATCATTTTGCATGATGTCACGAAGCAAGCTGTCGACGGCCTCGAGCGAGCATCTTGGTGCCATAGAGATTTCGTCCCAGATGATGACCTCAGTGGCCGAAAGCTCAATTGCTTCCCGTTGTTGCCTTTTCATTAATGACGAACGATTACCGTCCGCCATGTTGAGCTTAAACGCTGATATTGCAGTTCGTCCTCCCGGAAGCAGATTCGCAGCGATGCCGGTCCACGCCACACAGAGCACACGGCGGCGCTGAGCCACAGCTATGTTGTACAGCACTGTGTACAAATAAGTTTTTCCTGTGCCTCCCGGACCATCAATGAAAAAGCACCTATCAAAGTTGCGTTCCATGGCTGCAATAATGTCGTCGGCTGCCCTTTTCTGATCAGCATTCAATGTTTCATAAAGACGTATTCCTTCACTGCGGTATTGTTCGTAATCTATTGTGTCACTTGGAATAACAGGGCGCATGTTTGCAGGAGGTCTTATAAGCTGCCTCAAATCTCTCCCTAAAAGTGACAATTTATCTGCTACATCGAAATACGCCATCGCAGCAGATTCCTGTTCGTCGAGGCCTCGATTCACATAATCGTCACTCATTGCCATCACAAACTCATTCCAAAGTTCTTGTGCATCTGCTACTTCGCAATAGCAGAGCAGACATGCAAAAAAGCTTCGCAAAGTAGCCGCTGTTTGAAATTGAACTACTTCCTGTATACTCTGTCTGTAGTAGGTGTCATCGTCCAGGAAGCCCGAAGCTTTTGCTGCATCCGAAAAAGTTCTATAAGTTTGCCCATCAACTGTGCGAAGATCCTCAAACGAACATTTTCCTTTTGTATTGAGTAGAAGTATCCGGAGGCAGTAACGTTCAGTATCTCGCGGTGATACGGTGTACATTCTACCGATTTCCTTGCCTCCTCGTCTCCTTGGCTTCCAGCCATATCGGGCAGAGAACGTAAAATGTTCTGGAATTTCGTGATAATAGAGTTCGCGGGCATCCACAGTTAGGTCCGTAGGTTCGCCATTATCAAAGGCTCTAGAGCATCGTACATTCAACTCAAAAAATGCTGTGAGTGTCGTATACATGGTCTGTGCGCGATTTAGGTACTGTTCTTCCTCTCCAGCAATAAAATGTACGACTTGGTGTCCTGGAAGGTGAACAGCCAAT